CCGTTCGTCTTGCTCTCTTGCTGCATGGTGAATGAGTTATCTCTTGTCGCAGCTCCGGTCCCCGACTCGGCATTCAAAAGAGGCGAGCATTTACGAATATGACGGCTCGGCTTGTTGAGACATGAAGATAAATTTTGCTGTGAGCAATTTAGAAGATGCGGGCGGGGACAGCGAAGTGCAATCTATGAGCGCGCACTCTCGTCTCCTTCGCAGAGTAATTACCCTCCAGGAATGCATTCTCGGTACTCGCACTCCGTGTCCCCCATCCGTGAGTACTCGTGGACCCAAAGGTACGAAGTACTAATGAAGCAGCTGAGGTCTTGGACCAGCTTCGATTGCACATGGACCACGACTCTCTTGTGCATTATAAAGGTTGCCGCGCTGTCACTCGCCCGCCATCGGTCAGTGAAGCCTGCGTTGTGTCCGGTTTCTTTTACGTCAGGGGAAAGGGTCCGACATGCAGGTTCGACTTAAAATTCCGTCCATGGCACTGGAGCGAATGAACTCCAAGATCCGTCTTTTGGCTAGATTTCATCGTTCTGGCCCCTTTCCTCTGTTCCAGGCAAATTGCGGGATTGACTCGAGCTCCGGACAATTTGCACACTCTTATGCGTGGGTAACGGCTTCCCTTGTTCACCGATGAGTCGTCAAGGAATGAGGGGTACCACAATATCGTTCCAGATATCGTACACGACCCAGAGAATAGGCAGGACAATTCCATCGGCAATCCGGGTCCAGGATTCCCAGCACAACCGCCTTGCCTCGACTGCAGGACGTTCCCAGTTCGTGCTTCGGCCAATCAGAGCCTCTATTCCCTAGTTCACTCTCAAGAAGCCACCAATGACCCACAGGTCTCTCACCATCAACACTATCTCGGTACCGTGATGTTCCCCCACAGATGGATGGGATGACGGATAACTAGATTACTTTGTAGTTTATAAACTACGATTTCGTACGTAGGGTACCGCGTTGTGTTTTGGTCTCGTAAAATCGCACGCATGTAGGAGGATATATTTAGGTTCCGGACAGTCGACGCCTAGCATATTCCTAGATGACAATCTAGCGGAAACCTTGAGCGACGAGCCGAGTGGACTAAAAGCGGCTCAATAAAGGCCAAGTCATTTTCGGCCTCTTGCAGGTTTTCTTCATGGTCGGGTCTTGCATGCCAGGACTCGATTGTCGGTAACAGCCCTTGCCCGTCAGAAACAGCAGTGTTAATGAAACCTGCCATTATTCAGATCCATGGCCTGTCTGCGTGGTGTGCTCTTCTTTGAGTACGAAGAAGATCGAAGGTCTCTGGCTAGGTCAATCCGAATGCTGTGGAGACGCTGAGAGTGAACATGCGGTGGATTGGGATGCGTGAACCTCCGGGCCCCATCTGGTGACATGACGATCGCCCTCCCTTACAGCGTGCTTCAGAGGGAGCCGGCCACAGACTAGCAATACGAATATGTGCGGAAACATATTTCCGCACAGTACGGAACGGGGGGGAAGGAGCCGAGTGAATCGCGGAAATCTACTTCGTAGACCACGAAAACAACTAATCTAATATCAACAACTCCGGAGGTTAGAGCTGTGGAAAAGGAAAGATGGCCGGGCTATTTTGCGCTGTACGGGTGGGGATGGATCATGAATCAGTCGCAGATGCAGGATGAAGTAAGCGGCTTCGAAATGCGAACACGCTGACGAGAGACTCCAAGGCCAGCTTGGTGCTTCGTGCCAGCCTTCTCTCTCTCCTTGAACAGGCCATTGGTTGAGACACGCAGCTCCCGTGCAAGGAAACAACAGGTGGTCACCTCAACTTTCTCGTGTTGCCAACCCAGGATGCCCGGTCTGGCGTAGGGACGGACTAAGCGTCGCCTCCATTTGCTTCGTATGCTTCTTTCACACAACCCCCCACAAGCCATCTCGAATCTTGGCCAGGGCCATCCATGAAAATCGGGTTCGTTCGTTTGGGCGTCTATTGGACAGCTCAATCTTGACTCTTGGGGCGCCATATTCTCGGCGCAGTGCGCATGCGAAAAGCCTAACACGACGAACTTGCACGCTGGCGATCTCACCGATTGGCGGTGTTCCCTAGTTACTGGTGTTTAGCGAAGCTGGACAAGCAGCTTTAAATTCCACGGTGCCCATTCGCTCAACGTCACAGTCGTGAGCAACACTTACAAGTAAACGTTGGCTTTCAATATCTGCAGTGTCACTGCCAAACTAAGACGGTCTCTAATTATCACACATGGCGAATCGCCAGTCCTCGCAGACCGCCGAGATCTCGTACGAGAAGCGGTAAGCCATGGCCTTTTCACAACAATAACCTGCGTGGACCAGGTTGCCAACAATTGAGACCGCCGGCAAGTAGGTCTCGGGACGGCCAACGGTGCCCGCATTTCTCGGGCAGCACTGTAAGTGTAAGCTTCCAGTGAGGAAAGAACTCGGATTCACTTCACTCTCGTGTTCATGGCACATTCCAGGAATCAATTGAGCGTTCCTTGTTAGGCATTGTGGAGAAAAACATCAGCTCGACAACAAGACATACGCTCAGCCTCCCCTCCTTTAGTCTGTTCGGTCGCATACATACCCGAGACACGGGCTGCTGCCCGGTTGATAGTTTTCATCTCTGGCTGTACGCTGTCTTGGGCGTTGGAAGTAGGATGGTCGTTGTCTGGCCGGGAGCGGGATCCATAAGCCCACTTCTCTATAATCTTGTCTATCCTCCTTAGAGAAATACGTTAAATTCCGGGGTTTCATATGCTCTGCTGTATGGGCCGGAATTGATTATCTCGTTCGACTGCACTCATCAGCTCTTATTGCTCGACAGTAGGGGGACCAAAGACATGGCCGAAAACCCGCATATCCTAGTATCAGAGATTAACTCAACGCTAGCAAGGCGGGTTGTCCAAGACAATACGCACGACGCTCGCTTCTCAGCAACGCCAAGCTAACACGAAATTTGAGCAAGTCGTTAAACCGGATGGCCAGGGAGGGCAATGGGGATCACATGAGATGATTTGTGGGACCAGAGACGGGAAGTGATGCTGTGCTTGCAGCTTTTGCCAATTTATCCAGAGTGGTTGGATACACCGATTGTATATTAGGTGTGGCAGCCAACTTTGGCGAGTGGCATCAAATCCCATGAGTGGCGTGGACGCGGATGTATGTATGTATGAGACGTCGGTTCCAACCAGGTTGAATCAGGGGACTGGACGAACTCAAAGCGTGCCATTGTACACAGGTAGTTTATTACTCTAAGCTCGTTGGATTGAGTACAGTTGTTGATACACCTCGTCGTCCGAGATCGACTAGCTGCTAGATCGAAATGGTGTTAGAAGAAGAAAGCCAACTAGCAAGAAAGAAAACTTGAGGCGAAAGGGACTGCTAGAACCGATCGCCAGCAGGTATCGTACAATTTGAATAGGTAGCCATCCTCATAGAAATTAAAATCCATTTAAACAATCAATTGATAAATCGTTGTTCCCTAACGTCGGCAGAGTCAAGACCTGGAGGTGAATGGCAACAAGGGACGGCGTGTAAGTTATCGCCTCAAGGCTGGCTCGAGTCGGACTTTCCCTGCGGAAGAGAACGGGTACGGCTTGAGTCATCATGTGAATATTCATGATATTCATGAGGTTTAGTTGTCTTGTGCTCTTCGTAGAAAGGAAAGCGCAGCTCACAAAAGGGAGAACTGGGGAAACGGGGGAGCCGCGAACATGCACTTAGCTAATACTTGCGCCTACAAAGCCGACCTTCCTAGTTGGACTTCGATCGATTTTCCTTTTCATCAGACCCCAGTGTTTATGCAGGAGCGAAATAACACGATTCGCGGAGGCAGGGCATCCCCAGCAAGCAATGACATCCCCCGCCTTTGCATTTGATGCTTTTACGATCTCGGTGACCGAGTCCTTCTCAGCGCATCTAGTGTAATAGTCCAATGCAGCACGACAGAAACCCTGACAGTGGGAAGCCATGTGGTCTGGTCTTGGTGGTCTTGGACCCCCCAGAAACTCTATCAATCGAGTCTGAGCCACACTGGTGTTGATTCAAATTGTTGTCAGTTGCCAGTGGTTGGCACGGAACGTTAGCCTGATTTTGTACGAAGTTACTATCCTAATTCCAGCGAAAGCCAGGTGGTCGTTGAATCTGATATCCAGAGAATTAAACTTAAAAACTTTCTGGGGTCCTCATCGTTATGTTGTATTGGACAAGTGGAGCTTTTGGAGGAATAAGGCTATGGACAACTTAGGTAGAGAGAACAGAGAACGAAGTAACACCAATTTGTACACTTTTGCACTTGCGGTCTCGCCGTTCCAGGGTCGGATGACACTGTTCTTCGTACAGGTACATCACATCCATCGTCCATCTCCAAGTACCTCTCGATATCAATGCAGTTCTTTTTTGCTTGGGGAGGTGGAGGTGGGTCGAATGTTCCTTCGCACTGTGCCTCGTGTGCCCCATGTCGATTTGCTTGGTACACAATATGATGTCCGGAGAAGGAGCGAGGGGGGTTTTAATATGTATTAATTATCCCCCTTCTCTTCCCACTCAATAGCCGGTCACTGAGGCTGCCGTGCCCCCTCCACCGCCGGGTCCCGTTTCCGTCCTCCATTCTCATCGTCCGTTCTTGGTCGCCACTAACTGAATACACTCGCTCTTGTTTTCGCTCTCGCCGTCCTCGGTTTTCCTTACCGCTGCCACCACTGCTGCGTCTACCTGCGTGTACTTCTGCTACGCTGTGTAATGTTCGCGAAATCTTCTCGATAATTTTTCCCTCGACCTCTCAAGTAACACTACGGTCGAAAAGCGCGGACACGACTCTAAGGCCCAAAAGCCATCGACGGCCTTTCGTTGCGAAATGATTGCGAGGCGAATAGATCACGCGCGGAGCCCTTGATACGCTACTTCTCGAAAATCCCCATGTCATTCCCAGCGCTCTTCTGGTGACCCTACGCACCCTCCAGGCATCGACGGCGTTGCTTGTGTTATACATGGCCTAGGGTATCGCGACGATGCGTCCCTTTTGTCTCGCGGCGTTGGTCCTGTCGGCCTTGACAGCAATCTATGCTCGCCCGGAGCCGAGGTCTCTAGTGGGAGAAGGATGGTATGTTCGGACCTTCACGACATGCTTCAGTTCATACTACCGATCTTGCGATGCAGTTTGCTAAGGCTTACTCTGGGTGTATAGGCATGGCATTGATGGCAACTGGTCGACCACTCAGTTGTGGGTCGGCAATGTCGATGTATCTGAGGCGACGATGAATCTCATCATCAGTACAAGTCTTTCAGAAACCTGGGTAGTAGGCTCTGGAGGATGTGTTCAATGTATGTCAATGGGCCTCATTCTGCTCTAGTAACGCCGGAGACCTTCCCCTCCAGGCTACTCCTGCTAACGGTCTCGCAGATGAGCAACTCTGTCCCAAATACCGTGGCGGAACCCTTGATATTTGGGAATCGAAGACGTGGTACTCCCTCGGCGACTGGCAACTCAGTTTTCCGTACGCAAATGTCCAAGCCAACGGCAATTACGGCCTAGACACTCTCGTTATTAGGGACTCGCAAACCAAGACTCTGGTAGCGTTGGACAGGGCTCTTATTGCTGCCTTCAACACGACTGAATTTTACAGCGGCTTCTTTGGTTTGGGGATCGTATCCGGCGAATTTGGGCATCAGGTCTCCGATTCTCCCTTCAGCCAGATGGTAGCCAAGCACGGGTGGTTCCCAAGTTATACGTATGGCTACACTGCGGGAGCTTACTACAGTACGTTACAATCTCGGCCTATATGCTGTCTAATTTACAGATGACCGCAAACTAACTCCGACTTCGTAGAGGGCTCTGGTATGCCGTCATCTTTAGTCCTGGGAGGTTACGACCAGAAGAGATTTGTACCTCACGACGTCGAGTTCACTCTGACAAGGGAAACTGCCCTTCCACAGGCCCTCGTTCGCGGGATTGAAGTCTCTATTCCCGAGAAGAGCAAGCCCGACTGGTGGGATTCTAACCGACGTGTTCTGTCTGACATGAACTCATCATTTGAGGCCATCATCGACAGCTCGACTCCGTTCCTGTGGCTCCCCGAATCAGTCTGCAGCAATTTCGCCGAGGCCTTTAACCTAACCTACAGGACAGAGTTCGGGGCATACCTCGTGAATGATACATTCGACCTGCTCAGGGCTGATGATTCCTTCTCTTTCACCTTCAGCTTATCCAGCTATGACAACAATGACGACTTCGGCCAGCCGCTTGAAGTCCCTGGCGTTGTCAACATCACACTCTCTGCCCACGCATTCGCCCAAGTTCTAAAGTACCCTTTTAACAATATGGCTATCGAGTACAAGGCTAAATCCGTGCCATACTTCCCCATTAAAGTGGCCCCTAACGACACTTTCATTCTCGGGAGAACCTTCCTTCAAGAGGCCTATCTTCTAACAAAGTACGACAGTACCGTATTCTCCGTTCACCAAGCACTCTTCCCAGACAGCCTAGACACCGAGATCAAGGCTGTGGAACAACCTCCAAACAGCCCATACCCCCCTCCCTTGGATACGGGCGACAAGCATGGGCTCTCGAAGAATCAAATGATTGGCATCGTAGCTGGCGTGGTTGTCGCTACGCTCATCGCTCTCTTTATCTTTTGCTTTTGTTGCAGACGTAGAAGAAAGAGAACTCGAACGCCAAAGACCTTACTTGAAGAGGATACCAAGGACACGTCCTCATCTATTCTCACGGAGACGCCGAAAACCCCAGTCAGTCGGATCTTTTCCAAGATTATCCGACGAAAACGGTCCAGAAAAACCGAGTCTGTCGAGGCGTCTGGGACCGAGACGAATCCAGCCGAGGTTGGCGCGGATGCTACTCACGAGCTCTACGAGCTACCAGCTCCCTTGCCCCCGGTAGAGCTAGACGCCGACACTCATTCCATCATGAGCGAAACTGAGTTGGGAACTGAGGGCAGCGAAAACCTCAGCGCCTATGAGATCGCAAGACGCAAGATGGAACGTCGTCTCCAAGGGCCAGTCCCAGCATACAGCCCACCAGTCGAAGGTACCGCGGCATCGGGTGCCGAAGCGTCCACTGGAGACAAGACAATGCAGGACGTGAGCCCTGTAGAGACATATAGGCCTTCTGACCGTGTCTCGCCAGCCTCCTCTCCAACCTACGCCAACACCGACTCTTTACCTCGGTCCCTGCCTTCTCCCATGAGTCCTCGTGGCGACTGGACTGAAAATGGCGATATGCCATCTCCTATGACAATTCCGCCATCTTTCCCTTCTCCAATATACGCCGGGGCGACTGGCCGGTCCGGGACTGTGTCTTCTCACGACCACGCACGCGATGCATCATCTCTGAGTCGGTCTAGCTCTGCCAATGACGTTTCTCCAATATCTCCTTCCTCTACGAGCTCTAGTTTGGGTAAGATCCAACGAACGCCCATCGACCCGACCAAGATCATATGCTTAGGGCCTCTCCCGGAGAACGTCCAACTGCCAATACCAAGCCCTAGCCGGTCCATAATACCACGTACACCTGGGCCTGAATCCCAAAGTCCAGGCCTGCCCGTGATGTCAAACCAAGATGCGCGCGTGTCAACCGATACTCTTGGGAGCAACTTCACGGATGTCGAAGAACGGCTCGCTCAAGAGGCCCCCAATCAAAGGAGCTCGGGCCGCAACAACGGGCCACCTGTCAGCCCTCTGCAGCCCACTCACCACGAGCCCAGCAGTCATAATCTCGAGAGCCCGCGCAGCCTCGAGCGGATAGATGCGGGTGCTGAGTTGGTGCACGTTCCTCAACTAGCCGAAAGGCGGTATAGCTGGGAGGAGGATCGGTGAGGAGTTAGCGAGAGCCCTCTCCCTTACTCCCACCTATGCATATCTCATCATGCCTATACATATATCTCTCTCCTTTTTCGATTTTGCTTATATTAGCAACATGTCATTCCCTTTCTCTTTATTTTGGGACATCTTATAGTGGCAATGGAGTCACAGGTGTTCTTGATCTCATATCTTTGTCTTTATAGCGCGGCGCCTGACTTTTTTGTTTCCTTTTGCCCTTTACTTTTGGAACAAGTAAATAGTTAGGCGTTTTATTTACGGTTACTAGGATGGGAATCGACTCGGAAGCGCAGCCTTCTAATGGGGATATTATATGGGTGGGTGTTAGTACTTGCCTGACATGGCAAAAATCGGCGTTTATCTCGCATTTTCTCTATGTTCAAAATCGCACGGTTGACGGAAGATGTTGGAAATTCTGGACAAACATTGAAATCATGGGTCATGGAATATCGAGGCTTGCTAGGTCACGTACAGAGATGGGCAGCGTAGAAATGTACAGATGATGTGTGTGCTTGGCCGTTCTTAATTTCGTCGAGGTGGTTTAGGAAACCTAAGATATATCAAGAATTAAAATGAAAACATCTATTCAAACCGACTTTTTTTTTTTTCCCTCCTCTATCATGATCATTGCAATATGTTGTGTCTATTCCTTCCATCCCTTGTTCTGCTACCAAATTTCCTGGACCCAGTTCAACCTACCAAATACCTCATCCCGCCCTTGACTGTCACGAACACCCATCTCCGTCTCTATAGCAAAAAGGACAGCCTCCTTAACCGCCTCAGCCATCTTATGCGACCCGCCACAAATAAGAAACACGGCGTCGCGACGAACCATGTCGGCCACGGTACATGCTTCCTTCCTCACGAGATCTTGCACGTAGGTTCCTCTGCGGCGTATTACCATTGTCCCGGGACTGGACGGCGGCGGCGCCTCCGTCTCGGGCGGCGCGGGGCGGGATTCGGCCGGGTGGATTGTTAGGAAGGGGAAGGTGGGCCAATCATCGGCGAAGTGGAAGTCTGCCTTTTGGTTTCGGAAGCCGAAGAAGAGGTGCGCCGCTGGTGGGGCGGAGGGATTCTCGCTTTCTTCCGCGTCCTCGGCCTGTGGGGTTTGGGAGTTGCGGTGGTAGAGGAGGGAGCGGATGGGGGCTACTCCGGTCCCTGTAGCTACGGCCACGAGCGGTTTCGAGTCTACGGCGGGTCCGACGAGGGTCGTCAACGATTTCTTGTGTAGTGTGGGGATGATGGTGCCCGGGGCGAGGGTATCAAGGTAGCGCGAGCAGAGGCCGCGGCGTTCTTTACGGAGGATGGTCTTGTATCGGACCAGAGCGACGATGAGTTCGATGCGCTGGAGACTCGGGTCCGTCGGGTGGCGGAGCTTGTCTCCCGCGTTGGCGATGCTGAATTCTCGCCCGCGGATCAAGGGGAAGGTATCCAGCGCGCGTTCGGGGGGAACCTTGACGGAGTCGAATTCGTGGAGGACTTCGAGGATGGTGCGGCGTGGGCGGGTGGTGTAGTCGTAGTACTCGTCGAGGAATTGCGGTGAGGTGAATTCGAGGAGTCGCTCTTTGTGGTCCGGGTTGGAGGCGAAGTAGGATATGTTGCGGAGGAAACTCCGCCTGGGGACGGCGGTGATGTCGAGGTTGTGGGTAAGGAGGTCGCGGAGCGTGAAGGTGTCGTCCACATACATCGTCGTGGGTTTTTCGCACTTGGACCAGTCGATGGGGGTGTCGGCTATAGATCCCCATTCCATAAAGTCTATCACTTTTTGAGCATCCTCTGGGGTGTTCTTCGGGAATATCGTAACAGTATCGCCGGGGTTGAGCTCTAATTTTGAGCCGTCCTTCTCATCGGGGAGGTCGAACTTCAAGAGGCGAACATCCTGAAAGTGCTCTGGGGCAGTGATGCGTTCGTTTGATACGAGGGTTAACAACCGTCCTCCAGCGACCGGAAGACTGCGTTCACGGCTACGATCATCATGCGAGGTCTCTGTTGAATCCCATCGCAGGACGAATCGAGGCGGGAGTGGCACCTCCTCTGGCAACGGCTTCAGCCCCCCCGAGATAGGATATGCTGATAAGAGCCACTCCTGAAGCTTCGCAACCCATCTAAGGTAAAGTCCGTCGGTTCTGAGAGAATATCTTAGCTCATATCTCACTCAGAAAGACTACCAGGCGAACTTATACACACCCTTCAGCATGCCGCTCATCAGCTTCGCCACTGGGAAACACCTCCAAAGCCCCAAGCTGCTCAAGTCGGCGAACGAGCTTCCTCGCGGCCCAGTTGAATCTAATGAATGTCAGCGGGAGAACCGGATAATGTGAATAAATAAACAAATTGAGAGAGAGAGAGAGAGAGAGAGAGAAAAGCACAACGTTGGAAGAGACCTCGACGTACTTGGGATAAGAGCTGTCGCCAAGTCCAAAGGTGGTAAATTTCACGGCCGCGAGACACCCATGTGCGAGTTTCCTCCGTAACAGTTTCTTCCAAAGGAGCGTCGCATTCCTAGGGACGTCGCCCTGTCCCGTAGTCCCGATCACAAATACAACAAGGGAGTATTGAAGCAATGTGCTCTGGTGGAAATGGTCAGTCAATGCATTGACTCAACGGCACCAGCCTGAGGGGAAAAAAAAGAATGAATGTGTCCGTTCGAAGATGGAAGAAAGAAACTAACAAGCTGGACGCTGTCCATCTCTGCGAGTCTGGACTCGAAATGTAACCGCTGAACGCATTTGTCGAGATCTTCCGCGATTTCCTGGCTGTTTCCGGTTTCGGACCCATATAGAATGAGTATTGTCCGGTTCGGGGGCGACTCCGACTCATTGGGGATTCCGGCGCTCATGATGGGCAAAAAGGCGCTTGGAAGTCTAGATGGAAAGGAAGGACAAAGGAAACACAGAAAAGCGGTGCGTTCGGCATGGATGCTAGCGTTGGTGAGATGCAAATGCCGTGAAGATTTTAGGTTGTGCAGGCACAAGAAGTCCGAAGTAGAGTCATCCAGTCTTCACTCCAAGTCCGCTTATCGATCAATCAGAGCCGTTGGATGCCGAGATCGATAAGAAGGAGTGGAAGCTCATTTTTTGGAGCGCCACAAGCTCGACTCTCACTCCTGGAACTAGCTAATACTTCGATATATGCGTAGTCTATTTAACCACTTCTCTCCCTTTGATTTTATTTTTCTCCCGTCCCCTCCAGATAAGCTGTGCTCCCCTTCCTCCTGCATTTATTGACAGCCTGTGCAAATGCGCGCAGATGGAGGGTTTCCCCCTCTAAATCTATCTAGGTAGAAGTCCTCGAAAGGGAAAGATTTGCGAGATGACGTTGGGGTTAGCTGATGGGACTCTGTCGAGATGGCGGTGACGGAGGCGGGCGCGTCTCGCTCATCGGCACTGGGTGCGTGCCTGGGTAGCTGCGTTGCGTCTTAGGCTTGCGGTTGGATTTGGAATCGACCCCTCTCTCGGTTGACCTTCTTGGACCGTGGCCTGGCTTCTTCGATGTGGCGAGAACGGGGAAGTGAACAGTGGCGCTGCTGTACGACGTGAAAGTGAAAAAGGCTGCTACCATAGGATGGACGTAGCTCTGCAGATGATGTCGGTAGAGTTATGTGGGCTACGTTGGGTGAAACAGAGCCCGATGCAAAGCTCGCGTTAGTCTCGGCTCTATTTACCTCGAGTTTGCGACCAAGCCTAACATGACTGATGTGTTCCCAAGCGAAGAAAGCTCCAGCTAAGGCAGCTAGGAATGGAGCTCCTAGTTTCCCTGAGTGCTGTCCATTGGAAGACGGCAGTGGACGAAAAGACCGCACTGCCTATTTTCGGGATCTAAGACGCCTGGCCAAAGCTGCCGCTGGTCAGGCTTCGCAATTTGAAAGTTGGCGGCGGAAAGGGGCAGCCTGGTTGTTTCTGGAAGGTTGAGTACAATGGTATTTACAAGTACTTAATCCTCGGAAGCTGCGCATGAAAGTTCGCGGGTAGGAGCAGGCTCCCAGCCCACTTGCAAACAAGAAGTAGGGAAGGCGAGAGCGCGATGTTTGGCCCCGTTACTTGAGACTTCGAACTTGATATTGTTCGCACTATACGCGAACATGTCAGTTGTCAAGTATTTCCCCCCAAGCACCATAATGACTACCTGGTGGCGATTCAAGACCTGTGCTGGTTCTGGAAAATTCCGACACTCATCACGTGTTGATCTCAACGATGATGGATTGCTCGACCTGAGATCTTCGTCAAGTACTTCGAAATTAGTTAGTACATGGCCGTTCGCCTCACCATAACGGGCAAGATGGCAGATGACATGGCTTGCATCAAGATCCAATATTGCGTGTAGCCCTTCTCGTTAGATCTAAGATCAGTGGAGCATCAACGCCGAGGAATGGCGGAAATTAGCTCCGATGGGGCAGAATTTAAAATCCTTGTTAGAGACAGGGACCCACCCAGCCATACCGACCATAAGGCAAAGCGCACGTTAGTGCCTGTCGAAGAGTGAAGAAGCGGAGAGAACAAGCAGTTTCGAGGATCCGGGACAGTGGAAAGTGGAAACTATGACCAGGCCCTTTTCGGTTGAGCTCAGAAGGAGCATCAGCCATCCCATCCCCATCTCGATGAAGAATAGTGTAAGCCAGGCAATGGAAGCTATGGTTCTCACGGCCTGTTAGCATGGCGAGAAGGGAAAGAAGGCGCAGGTGCGGATGCGTGCTGTCCGTGTGAGCCATCCATTAATGACTTTCACCGATTGACACCTTCCCCGGTTAGAGCTGCGGCTTACTATCTCCTGGTGGCTCTCCCAATATGATATTGCTCCCTGCGCCTTCTTCCTCCGATTTCTGCGCCTAGCCGTCGGAAGCCAACAAATGACACTAGGGAAGGGCCATGGCAAGCACTGTGAAGGCGGCAATTGTGATGGGTTTGCTTATCTCGAGTTTTGTTTGATGGTGCCTGCCTCGAAATTGTCCTCGTCAAGGTTCAGTGATTCGTTTCGCCTCTGGAAAAGCCCATTGTGCAGGTAATCTTTTTATAAAATTGCCCGATAATGCAATCGGCCCATCCAAGGGTTCCCGGGCCATCATTTGAGGATTTGGCGTGTCTTATTTTGGTGACTTGATGACGAACAGGGCCGGCGTAAAACAAGCGGTTGCTACCGGGAGTCGTTACGCATCCACATCGGGAAAGCTCCTGGCTCTGGAGCTAGTCTGACCACCGTCGCACAAGACGCAGTCGCGAAGGTAAACTGGGGAAAGCAGGAGGCGGAAAGGAGGAGGAACAACCAGGCCCGTTATCCTGTGTTATCCTCCGTGCTGGCTTACAAGTACTCCGTGGTAAAACCACCTTTGTATGCTCCGAAGTACTTCTTCGTATTACGTTTTCTGGAAGCACCGTGTCAGATCCGTACTGGATACGAGGGTTCGTCGGTCTGCGACTTTAGCTGTGTCTGGCGCAATTGCGCCCAGTTCCTTCTTAGTCACTGATGCTTGATAGGACAAACCTGGACTGGACCTGCCTGCCCTTCTATTGATCCTAGCCACCCTGGCCACACCCTGGTCACTCTGACCCTCCCAAGTTTCCTCGAATTGGCTGCACAATATCCTGTCCGCCCCCTGCGCCTGCCTCCAGACTGCACCCCTCCCCTGTCCCGTGCTTTCCAGTCACCAGTCGCCAGTCGCCACGGCGAACAAAAAAATATTTGTTTTCAACAACTGAAATTTTTGGACCTCCTATTCCTCTCCTTTCCCTCTTCCCTCCTCTCCATCACAAACTTTTCAAATAACTTGTGTCATCGCGTATTACGCAGTCAAGCCATCACCTCCTCCCTCCCCCAAGTTTTCTAGGGCACGAAGCGACCCTGTAATTCCCCCTCATTGATCCAGAGTTTTTAATTCTTCGGAGTACTCTCAAGTTGCTATCCTTCCGAACAGAATCTTTGCAAGATTTCTCAGTTCGGACGTCATCAAATTCATTCCGACCAGACCCATCCATCACAGTCAACCACAACACCATCAAAAATGTCTGCTACCAACGTGGAGAAGGCCTCTGACGCCTCCGTCAATGACGTTACGAACGCTCTGGCCAATACAAGCATTTCCAAGGCCGACGAAAAGACCGATGCCGTCCTCGCCAGCGCGGCTGAGGGTCGACGCCTCTACATCGGCAACCTGGCCTACGCGACAAAGGAGGGGGAGTTGAAAGAATTCTTCAAGGGTTACCTTGTGTGAGTCGTGCCTGTGCCTTGTACTGCATCAAGCTTTCTTTTGTTATCGTTTTACACACCCTCGGATTTTACCTGCATGCCTTTGGGACCATTGCTGCCTTCTGCACGTGCACCTTTGTTGTTGTTCGAGATGTGCTTTGTGGATGGCATGCGTTTGTGTGTTTGTGCATCAATAATGGATTTATGGAGATGAGCGATGCGAATGTTGGATGTTGGTCGACCTGGCTGATTCCGGATTCCGGATTCCGGTTGTTGTGCATCTCACCTTCCCTTTTCTTAAACACCTGTTGCTTGACGCAAGTCGTTGTTTAAGCTGGAGCCCTCCCCCTCCCCCGTCGCCGTCATTCTATTATTCTGTAATGCATCACACTGTTTACCCTGTACCGTGTTTAATTTGTCAACGACACTCGGCTAACAGCTTCTGTTTGTCCTTTCTAGGGAGTCGGTTTCCATCCCCAAGAACCCTCGTACTGACAAGCCCGTCGGCTACGCCTTCGTTGATCTCTCGACTCCCAGCGAAGCCGAGCGTGCCATCAGCGAGCTGAGCGGCAAGGAGATCTTGGAGCGAAAGGTCTCCGTCCAGCTCGCTCGCAAGCCGGAGTCGAACGCCGATAAGAACGAGGCTGGCGAGGGCTCCGGAGGTGAGGGCTCTCGCCGTCGTCCTTCGGGTCGCGGTCGTGGCCGTGGACGGGGACGTGGAGGCCGTGCGGCCCGTGGCGGCCGTGCTGCTGTAAGTAGACAAGCGTGTTGTGACGGGGCGCCGCCTTTTCTCTTTCATGTCGATTCCGTTGACTAACTGGACTTGTTTTTAGGAGGGTGTCGCTGCTGAGGGCGCTGGTGCGGCCGCCGGATCGACCGACGCCAACGCTGCCCCTGCTGAGGTTGAGCCACTGGCGGACATCACCAACAAGGAAAATGCTGACCAGGATGGGAAGGCCCAAAACAACCGTCCCCAGAGGGAGCGCCGGGAGCGTGGCCCTCCTGCTGATGGTATTCCTTCCAAGACTAAGGTCATGGTTGCTAACCTCCCATACGAGCTTACTGAGGAGAAGGTTTGTCATTTCGTTTGCTTGCTCCCGGGAACTGCCCGTATGTCGGTCGAGTTGTACTAACGTTTGCTTTTTTTTCCCCCCTCACTGTAGCTGAAGGAGCTCTTTGCTCCCTACGAGCCCCTTTCTGCTAAGATTGCTCTTCGACCCATTCCCCGATTCATGATCAAGAAGCTCCAGGCTCGTGGTGAGCAGCGCAAGGGTCGTGGTTTTGGATTCGTCACTCTTGCTTCGGAGGAGTTGCAGCAGAAGGCCGTTGCTGAGATGAACGGAAAGGAGATTGAGGGCCGAGAGATTGCTGTCAAGGTTGCCATCGACAGCCCCGACAAGACCGATGAGGCTCTTGCTAAGGCTGCCGAGGGAGAGACTGCCACCAACGGTGGAGCTGAGGAGGCGGCTCCTGCTGCTACGGCCAGCGCCTAGAGGAACCAGCCCCCTAGTATGGATGATAGTCCCTCTCGGGCTATTCATTAGGAACGGAGAGAGCCCGCGGACGCGAAACCTCTCTCTCCCTTGGGCCATGAGAACCCGGGATTGCGACACAATGCTGGGATTTGGACGGATGAAGTTTCAAATATAATGGTAGACAAGCCCCTTCCCCCGACAAGTCACTGGGAACGCTTTTGGGAATGGGTTAGACGTGGATGGGTTGTTCTCGCGTCAAGAATGCACTGAATTGTTTTTTCTTCCTTCTTTTTACGAGGACAACAAGGGCAATGATCACTTAACTGATTTCTGTCTTTCCACATCCCCCCCAATGCCCAATGGTGAATTCCGGTTTTAATATTTACACACGTTATTCCCCCTCACACTCTCCAACCTTTTGATTTTTGATTTTTTTTTTCTCCCTTACTTTTTCTTTTCGTCTGCTTGAAGCAACTGCATCAAGTTCATGCCCAGACACACTACGCAGCACCTATCCCATGGATGGTGGCAAATGGGTTCCGGTTATTCTCTGTATTTCTTACATACCTAGACGTCTTTTCTCAATCACACCCTTCTCTGGGTTGTATATTAGCTCAGACTTGGAGGCGGGCTGGGAAAAAGCTGGGATAAAAAAAGTTTGGCGCATCGAGAGAATACACGGGAACTATTATTTTTCTAATACGATGATACCACTAGGGATGGCCCCCTTTTTTTGCGCTTTTGCGTGGTGTGTAAATTGTGTGTGCTACAGTTGGTCCAGCATCTCGCCATCAGCCATCAATCGCTGCCTGAATGCATTAATAGATGTGGCCACAGAGAGGGCACGGCAACGATGACGAAGGACGCACAAACAAAAGGATCTCAAAATGTTGAACTTGTTCACGTGCAGAGGGTTGAGGCTCCTCTCAACCTTGAATGTGTGAATCGTTTGGCTTGCTTTGTTCTCAGTCCGCGAGTCTCTTATTCGAACTGTGTCGAGTCTTGACACTCGGACGTTGAATACACAGGTACGGAGTACAGTGCCAAAAATAGTCCCAAACGAAAGTACTTCGTGCTCCAATTTAGACCCCTGACCAGCTGTCATATTCCCTCTGTCAGTTGTCTGTTGCAGCCCAAAAAGAGCAGTAAGTCACCCGCACCAGACAATTGCCCCCTTGCAACGACCCTTCCACAATCTATTTGATCGTATCGATAATAACATCCCCGGCAATGTTATAGCAACGGCCAGCAGCGTTATTTGTCCTCAAAAGCCGACCCGCTACGATAACCCCGAACCCTGCCGTTCTCCTCGAATCGCTCGACGCTCCGAGATCTTAGCCTTCTATCGATCACTCGAATCTCGGATTACCTTGGCTAAGAGTTGCGTAAGGGGTTGTGTGGTTCTCCCTGGCTCTCCCCCCTTTTCTACAGCTAGATCCGGAGATATTTGGACTGGACGACCGGAGGCTTCCTCGCTGCTACGATGGCGACTAGTAAGGCAATGTGGGAAGTTGATCCCGAGACACGGTCAAAGGTATGGTTCACTCTCCTTTTTCCCGCACCCTCACCTCTCCATGTTTCCGAAAAAAGACTCCAAATGTCTCGAAAGACCTGATCCGAGACTAACCATCTCCGAATGCCCCTACAACATAGCTCCTCGCAATCGGAAAAGAAGGCAAAAACAACATCTGCTGCGACTGCGGCGCCCCCTCCCCCCAATGGGCCTCCCCCAAATTCGGCGTCTTCATCTGCCTCTCGTGCGCGGGCGTGCACCGCGGTCTCGGCGTGCACATCTCCTTCGTACGAAGCGTATCGATGGACGCCTTCAAGCCTACCGAGATCGAGCGAATGCGCCTGGGCGGCAACGAGTGTTGGCGCAAGTTTTTCGAGGAGCACGAGGATACGGTCATGATGGGGCTCAGCTGGGACGAGGCGACCATTGCGGAGAGGTATAGCGGGAGTGTTGGGGAGGAGTGGAAGGAGAGGTTGACGTGTAAGGTGGAGGGGAGGGAGTATGTTGCTTCTGCTGCCGCTGGGGGTGAGAAGAAGAAGACGACGGCTACGGGGACGGCGAAGCCTGCTGCGCAGGCGAGAAGTGGTACGCCGCTTTCGGGGAGGAGGGAAACGGCGACGCCTCCTATTTCCGCTGCTGCTCAGGGACAGGCCGGCGGTAAGATCAAAGTCGACGATAAGTACTTCGCGCGCCTGGGCGCTGATAATGCGAATCGGAGCGAGCACCTACCGCCTAGTCAGGGTGGGAAATACGCCGGGTTCGGAAACACGCCGGGACCTGCTGCCGGGAGGGGGAATGGGAATGCTGGCGCGCCTTCGCTGGACGAGTTGCAGAAGGATCCGCTTGCTGCGTTGACGAAGGGCTTTGGGTGGTTTGCTTCGACGGTGACGAAGACGGCCAAGGACGTCAATGAAGGGTATATCCAGCCTACTGCGCAAAAGGTATTGTTAGCCCCTCCCCCTTTCCCTATCCCTTTTTCAATCTAATACACGTCTCTAAAAATTCCCACCAGATCGCCGAATCCGACATCGCGAAACAAGCCCAACTCACCGCCGCCCAAGTCGCCCGCCAAGCCCAACAAGGCGCCCGCACCGCCAACGAAGGCTTCATGCGCTTCGTCGAGGGCGACGGACCGGGCGGCCAAGCACACAGCGGACGGTACCGCGCGGCGCCGCTGGATGAGTCCCGGAAGGACTTTTGGGACGACTTCGCGTCGTTGGCGGATCAGAGGCAGGGTTCTAGCTCTATTGGGACGGCGGCTATGGGGATGGGTGGGGGTGCGAGGGGAGGGGGGCCGGCTAAGAAGAAGAAGGAGGATGATTGGGACGATTGGTGATGGGCTGGGATGGGCGAGGGAGTAGAGGGGATGAAAAGGGGGTTTTACATGATCTGTACGAGTAGCAAGTAGATAGCGAGGGAAATAGCAAGTCTTTTCGCATCTTCCTTGGCGTATGCATCACACGAACCCGACGAAAACAGTCCGGAGCCGAGGAGCGGAGGGGTGGCGCTGAGATGTCTTCCTCTGAGCCTCAGTGTGCAACGGACACTACAAATAAAACCTCAGGAGATATTACCGGGGGCTGGGGTAGATTTTACACAACTGTAGACGAACACTCCTACGAGCAACTGCAACGATTCCATAAATGTCATTTCATTGAATTGCCGAAACAGAATATGCGCTTCCCATACAAAGTCTCAAAGGTGCAATCTGTTTTTACCTGACACACAAGGTAGAAGAGAAAGACAAGAAACCATTTGAGCTAAAAACCGACTAAAACCATAAAAACACCCAATATAAAAACGAAAGATATATAACTCCATTGCCTTTTTCAAATCACCCAAAGTGGAAACATGTATTTTCCTCCCTCAATGTCTCCGTCACCGTAACCGTCACCGTCCCCGTTTTTTTTTTCTTTTACAAAGCCGAGGCGAGAGGAGTGGGCTCGACGCCAACACGCTCCTTGCTGAGAATGTCGAGCATGAGCTGAGTGGGCCTGTTGTCCTTGTATACGGCCTGGCTAGCCTTGAAGGCCCGCACATTCTGGAGGTACTTGTCGAAAAGGTACGAGCTGTCCATCGGTCCACCCTTAGCCTCGGGGTGGAACTGGGTCGAGAAGATGGGGCGAGTCTTGTGGATCATGCCCTCGTTGCTCCCGTCGTTGAGGTTGACGAAGTACTCCTGGAAGTCGCTGGGGAGGGTCTTGGCGTCGACGGCGTAACCGTGGTTCTGGCTGGTGATGTGGCACTGGCCGGTGGTCAAGTCGAGGGCGGGGATGTTGTGGGCGCGGTTTCCGTACTTGAGCTTGATGGTGCGGGCACCGACGGCGAGGGCGAGGAGCTGGTGGCCGAGGCAGATGCCCATGATGGGGACCTCGGAGGTGTCCATGAGGCGGGCGAGGTTGTAAGAGGTCTCCTGGCAGTGGATCGGGTCGCCGGGGCCGTTGGAGATGAAGACACCGTCAAAGTTGGAGGCGACCTTGTGGATGGGGTAGTTGTAGGGGAAGACGGTGACGGAGGCACCTCGGCTGACGAGGCTGCGAAGGATGTTCTCCTTGACACCGCAGTCGATCAGGGCAATGTGGAACTCGGCGCCGGGGGACTCGACAACGAAGGGGGCCTTGGTGCTAACCCTCTTGACGAGGTTGACCTGGCCAGGGTCGAGGAAGGACTCATCCTCATTGGCGTCGTACTCCTCACCGACGGTGATCCTGGCGAGAGACGAACCCTTCTCTCGGAGGTAAGTGACGATGGCACGGGTGTCAACGCCGGAGATGGCGGGCACACCCTCACGGGCGCACCACTCGCTCAGGCTCTCGACGGCGGTCCAGTGGCTGTACTGCTCGGCGACGTCGGCGACGACGACACCGGCGCACTGAATGTGGGGGGACTCGAAGTACTTGAGAAGGTTGTAGTCGTCTCGTTCGTTCGAAGGCACACCGTAGTTGCCGATCAAGGGCTGGGTGAAGACCAAAATCTGGCCTCGGTAGGAGGGATCGGTCATGGACTCGGGATAGCCGACCAGGGAGGTGGTGAAGACGGCTTCGCCGGAAATGTTGTTGTTGGCGCCGAAGGGCTTGCCATGGAAGACGGGACCATCCTGTAAAGAAGGAAAAGGAACGAATGTTAGCTGCCCGTAGCTCTCGAAGGCTTGACGTTGGGTCATTTTCTTCCTTCTTCTTTTTTTTTTTTTTTTTTTTTTTTTTTTCCTTGGGACTTACATGAATGGTCAAAGTGGCAGTGGAGTGCTTGACGGCGTCGGGGGAAGAAGGAGTTCGGTACTTCTGCTTGGGCATGTCTCGACCCCTGCTGCCTCCAGCAAATGCCTTCTGGGAGACATATCGAGCTTGGAGGAGGGAGTGGGCAGGCTTAGCAGCCACAAAGCCAGCACCCTGAGCGGGTTTGGCGATTCGAAGGGCCAGTCGAGGAAGCATTATGAAGGATTCGTGTAACAGGACAGTTCAGGTAAAAGAAAAAGAGATGTAAAAGAGAAAAAAAATCCAATGAGGTGTTAATAGACCTTTCAAGCGGCTAAGGCTCGCCACAGATGGTCTAGGTTTAGCATGTTAGTTGAGGTTCTCGTTTGCTATAGAGTTAGAGGAAGAAGAGAAGGGATCAATGATTGGGGCGGTGTGTGTGTGTGTCACGATGACTGTCTAGAGGCACGAACCTGAGAGATAGTCCTACAAGCCAGCGAATTAGTATACCACTCTAATAAACGAAGGAATGTATAATTCTATGATGGAAAACAAATATGCCAAATGATTGAAGGATCTCGAGGTCTACTCGAGACACAATGGGGAGCAATAGTTTGGGGAAGAGGTGCAGAGATTGACCATGGACCATGGGTGATAACAGTGATCAAGAAATTTTGGTGGGGTGGAACTCGGACGTTGCAGTCACCGCCGCCAGGGTCTCGGCGTTTGGCTGTGGTCCCCCGCGAGCGGCAACAGAATTTTTTTTCTGCTTTTTTTCTTTTTCTTTTCTTATTGCTTGCTAACTTACCTGGGAGGTAAACTCGGAAGGGCGCCCAGTCATATGGGGCTTAATTGTCAGGGGACAAAAATTAACGGGAGAAGGGAGTCACAGACATGCAGTGACTGTTGTTTTGCGAGTCGGTTTGGTTTTTGATGCGGCAGGGTTTTGCTAGAGCGAGAAGAGTTTGGCTTGCTTCAAATGTCGGAGTGCAGTTTTGAGGGAGCAAAGATCAGGAAAGGACAGGCAAAAGAAAAGAGTTGAGGCAGGGAAAAAATTTCCAGTGGTGGAGTCACAGGGGCGTCTCGTGATAATAAGAGCATTTGTGAGTGTTCTGGTTGGCTCCTGCCGCTAACGAAAATATTTGGTAATGGACTCGCCGATATCGTCGCTTCAATTCATCCATGAGTATCCCAAGCCCAGCAAGCAGCCAGCAAACTATTACTCACATCTCCAGGCAGATCTCAGTGCATTGATTGCTCTTGTGTGTACCGAGCCAGGCTAACAAACACTGCACTACACGACGCTAAGCTACACCACTCTCGGGTCTGTGGCAATTGCAGTGGAGAATATTGATGGACCCTAGGAATGGCCCCGTCCGAAATCGAAAACCCAAGTGAAGAGATGGATTGGATCAACTCAATTGTAATCTACAAACCCACTCTCTTCCAGTGGAGTGCAGCGCACTAACAACGTTTGCAGTATGGCCTGGCCAGCTCGAGAGAAGATGAGGTGCCCTCTCCTATGTTAGTGTCTTCCCAGTGCCAACAAGCCCGCAGGCGATCCACGGGAGGCCTCGGTGCAAGCCTTCATAGAATTGGAGAGCTTGTGGGCTTGCAGGGTGGTGACAGCATTCCGATGGGAGATGGAGGGGTAAGGTTGGTCTGTCGTCACTGACATCAAGAGAAGGAATCCAAATATGTGATGGATGATCTGTCCGACCTGAGAATCTGAGAACCTGCAGGATGCTCCGGACGTCGGCCTCCATGTTTATCTTGATCAGCTTTATCCGCACTAGGTACTCTGTAGTGTAATACCCATCAACAAGCATTGGTCCTGAAAATTGATTGTAAGATTATTTCACATCCCCAGTTGCCAATTGACTCCAAGACTTGGAGACGAGAGCACGCGAGCCCTGCATGCATCCGAGATCGATCAAATGTCAGACTTGCTTAGCTCACGCGAGCACGAGGGGCAACCATGACGATGAAGCACGACGGTGTCCACGACCGACAATTTGCCGCTTGGCTGTCGGTCCGCCCGAACATTTTCCAATCTTCTCCACACTCAGTGAATCTCACCGACCGGTAATGATCTTACCGACAGATGGGTACAATTACACGTACCTCGGTATAAACCAGATCGAGCCTCTCGGAACAAAAGATGAAAAAGGCCCACCCGGTTGCGGAATATACAGAAACTCGATTTTGGGAAAAAAAAACCGCCAGCGACGCCAGCAGGAGGAAAAGATCTAGCTAATAACCCCCCCTTTCCCTCAAAGTCTAAATATGTCTATCCACAATCATGGAAGAAGATGTTACAGGTAGCGCGAGGTGAATTTCCGTTCAATTTACAAAGCACCGAGCTCCTTGAGCTTAGAGACGAGTCCACCGACATCCTCGACCTTGCCACCACCCTGGCGGGGGGCGGGTTCTGCGCATCAAACAGTTAGCAAAATAAAGAAGTAAAGAGGGAAGTAAAAAGGAAGGGAAGAGGGCGAAAGGGTCGTGGAGACAGAACATGACCGTTCAAGGAGACCCCAAAAGATCTCAGGCCGGGGGAAAAGAAAGAAAGAAAACGGCATTGAGTCGTAAAAAGATGGGGTAGAGAAAGGTGTATATCAAACTTACCAGCAACCTTGACAACCTTCAACCTCTTTGCGAGATCCACACCAAAGTCCTCGGGCTTCTTCTTCTCGAGAGGCTTCTTCTTCGCCTTCATAATATTAGGCAACTTCACGAACCTGGGCTCATTCAACCTCAAATCCGTCGTAATAATCAAAGGAAGCTTCGCCTGAATCGTCTCAACACCACCATCCACCTCCTTAACAACCTTGACGCTATCGCCCTCGCCAAACTCGACCTTGCTCGCCTGCGTAGCCTGTCCCCAACCCAAAAGCCCCGCGAGCATCTGGCCCGTCTGCCCCGCATCGTCGTCGATGCTCTGCTTGCCCAGTATCACGAGGTTGCTCTTCTGCTCCTCGACAACCTTCTGAAGGACCTTGGCGACGCCGAGGGGCTCGAGGTCCTCGCCCTCGGCGAGCTCGACGTGGACGGCGCGGTCGGCGCCCATGGCCATCGCCGTGCGGATGACCTCTTGCGCCTTGGGCGGGCCGGCCGAGAAGATGCAGATGTCCTCGACGCCGCCGGGGGCGAGCTTACGCTCTCGGATTCGGACGGCTTCTTCTACGGCGATGTCGTCGAAGGGGTTGATCGAGTGCTTAACGCCGGCTGTCTCGACACCGGTGAAGGTCTTGTTGACACGGGGCTTGACCTGTAAAGAGGGAAATTAAAAGGTTAGGCGTCATTGTTCATTGCTTCTACTTGCCAGATAATTCTCGACACTCTATCCTCCGGATATGCTTCCCTTTGCGACAGAAGGCATATCGGCGGGGAAGACGAAAAAATAGATAAAGACTAAAAGAAAAGATCAATGAAATCAATTGCCAAAACTTACAGCAAAGTCAATTACCCTCTTCACGGGCACAAGAATCCTAAGGGCAGACATGATGGGCGGCTGGGAATATGCGTCAAATGCCAATTGCGATGGCTTGCGAAGGGAAGTTCAAAAGGTTCAGAACTTCGAGATGAGGACGGGCCTATGAGGGGAGCTCGGTCCGATCTGGTAGGGCAGATTTGGACGCTCGAATACCCGCAAGCCTGAAATTACCCGGACGAACCTAGGCATTGCGAAGTATACTCGGTTACTACCGGCTACTAGCCACATCGACAGTGTGGCTCGCCACGCCGACCAACAATGGCCTATGTAGAGATGCAAGGTCGGTCGCTAGCGATGCCCAGGGTCGGAATTGGGAGGTTAACTGGAGAAGATAACTGGAAATAATATCACGAAGCAGCGAATGAAAAAACGGCACACGGAGATGCATCCTTGATAATTCATAGACAGTAACCTCTGTATTTTCTCTGGGGTATCCCAGCTGACTGTAAAATGCACAAACGACCGACCCTCTTTAATACCGACCGAATCCTCTAGACCATATGTATTCGTTTTGTGCATCTTCTTTACAGAACCGTGATTGTCTTGTTACCAGCCTCCTGTCCAAACGCCCCGACGTCCGCCAAGTTGCGCCAAGTGATTCCTTACTCTGAGGTCTCATTATTCCTCTCTGATCTCCAGGCTTTCGCGTCGTAGATCAGTAGTCGCGAGAGTCCCTGTGATCATCCCTACTTTCACGATCATCATAGCGGAGCCTTCCTTCATTATCACCGAAGCCATCTCTCCGCTTGTCTCCACGGTAGGGGTTGTCTTCATCAAAAAACCTGCGGCGACCCCCGTCAAAACGGGACCGATCATCACGATCCTCCAGGCCAGGGAGATATCTATCACTCCTCGGCCGGAAAGAAGCTCCACCGCGCCCTCCTCCCCCTCCCCCTCCGAATCGTCGTCGGCCTCGGCGCTGTCTTCCGTGTCCCTGACGCTCCCTCTCACGATGGGGAGGGCGGATACCCTCGAACACCTCGGTTCCCCTATCAACAAAGTGAGAACCATCCTCAAAGGTATATCGGTTAATCTCCTTGCCGAGATCGCGATGGGTATCTTTTGTGTAGTATGAACGCATATCTTCCAGTCGTTCACGGGCGAGGTCTTCCGAAACCGTCTGGTACGTGACATACGGCCGGGCGGACGTCGTGTTGAATCTACCACCAGGGCGACCGGGTGCACCCCGGCCAGGCCCTCGAGTGGGTTGGAACTCCTGCCCACGTTGCGATCGAGGACCCAGGGGGACATTGTTTACACTAGTAGACGGCATCAAGGGTGAAGGCCGAGGGTGTGCCGGCGGCGGAGGCCCACGCATTCCTGGTCCCGTCGGCACACGCAGGGGCTTATCGTCCGTTTCGAGTCGGGCGATAATGTTGCCCGAATGGTCCTCGCCGTAGTTGACAATCCACCGCTTCGCCGTCGAGCTTCTGCCTCCTCCCTGAGATTCCTCTGTAGAAATCCACTCGCCCACTTTCTCCGGTGGGACAAAATCAACCCAAAGAGACTTGCGATTCACCTCGTCAGGCCAGACGCAATCGTGAAGCGCATTTCTAACTCGGGACGCCGCCGAAACACTCTTAAATACCACGAACGCGTGGGTGCGAATCTGGTCCAGAAAGAATTCCGTGATTTCATCCAACGGAGGCTCAGTACCAGGTGGTGCTGCAAGCTTAGCCAGGTGATTCTGCACATCTGGTGCTCGCAGGGGTCTCATGAAATTCTTGATGTAGAGCGCCGATGTAGCAGGGTGGATTGCCGGGTCGATGTCGCGCTCAACCTCCATCTCGTAGCTCGGTTCAAGGATCGCATTCCCAGAAGTTTCTATGCCAGGATATTGCCGGACCTCGACCACATGATGATTATTGTGGGGCGAGGGTGGATGTTCCGGAGAAGGCGCGACCTCGTTCTGTGTGGAAGTTTCCGCAGCCGACGCATTGGTCGCTGCTTCCACGGCCACGGACGGCTGATCTTGCATATCCGTATCTTGCCCCACGTCCCTCGTTCCTTCCGCGGCGGCATCGGCCGGTTCGTGATCTTCAGCATCCTGTTTTTGACGTTTTCGGGCGTCCTCATCGGGCGCCGGGGAAGCGCTGGTGGATCGCTTCCGCTTCTGAGTGTCCTGAGACGGCTGGGAAGTGGACAACCCAGCATCAGGTGAAGGAGGAATATCAGGCTTTGATTCGGTCGCCGATGCGCCTAGATCTTCGGCTTGCGCGGGAAGGACGGGTGCGGTTTCTGCCTCGGGCTTCGTTTCCGGGGAGATTTCGGGCTTTAACTCTGTGGCCTGATCTGCGATCTCCTCGGGTGCTGCACCTGGTGTACGACCTAGAGGTGCGGACTCCGTCTGGCTGTTCGGGCTCGACTCGACAGTGTTCATTTCAACATCTTCCGCATCGCTCGACCCCAAGTTTTCCTCAACTTCGGGATCGCCCAGCGCTCCGGGGGGCTCCTTGACAGCATCTGCATCCGCGCTCGCCGTCAATTCCTCAGTAGGCTCAGGTTCTTGTTGTGGCTCGGGACCAGGCTGCGGCTCTGAGGTCTCGTCGGCTGCGGCTTGCGGTTGCTCGGTATCGGCGGCTTCGAGTCTAGCAACCAGATCTGCTTTCAGGCCATTCTGTGGAAGACCGCAACTCTTGAGCTCGGCCTTGAGCTCTGTAACCTTGAGTTTGGACCAGTTCATGGCGATGATGTTCAATGGGTAGCTTCGCTTTGGAGCATTTCTTCCTCAAAAACCGTCGTTGACGAGGGGTGGGATGCCTTAATGATGGGAATCGCTGTTGAAACTATGACCATGTCAAGGAACGTAGGCAGAAAGAAACAGGCCCGGGAATTTTGGGGAAATTTCTTTGAGGGCGGGATTTGGATGTTTTGCGTGGCAATAAAGAAGGAGGCAATTGGGTTGTTTGAAAGAACTGGAAGGGAAAGTAATACAAGTCCAAAGTATCGCGTCGCGCACTGAAAAGTTGGGAATTGGTGCTACGAAGTACTTTGTACCTAGAACTTGAAAATTGCGGCTATTTGCCGGCAGGGGTGTTCAAGCGACGTTCCGAAGGAAAGAGTGGGGAATGCGATCGAGGTAGGAAGGTACAAGGTACTTTGACCGTTGGACTCGACATCAATTTGACTTGATTCTGTGGGGGAAAGCACAATCGTATTTCTTACATAAGCTTATGCACTGAGCCTAAGATCAACATTGAAATGCAACAGATCATGTCACGGTGCCTCAACCAGTCCCTGTGCCCAGCTTCAAGTGTAAGTGACACTTCACCACGTCGCAGTGAATAGTCTGAAAATGGGTTTCTCTACGCCTTTGCCACTTTCAACGAAGTAGGTATCGTTGCTTAAAACATGGTGGTTTAACTTCTTAAAGTTGTAATCTTACATGGTCTAAGACATCTTGGGTGGGAGCCTGGACTCTAGATGAGAGGATCACAGACTGCTCCGGATATGCAAGAGAGCAAGCTAAACGAATCTACAAGACTGCATCATTGGAAAGCGCCTCTAAGGAGATGCTAATCTTATTAGTATCCACAGGCCTAAGGAGAAGTTTGAGAAACCCTTCTTCTCATCACGTACCTCTCTATCCCCATTGGTCTCCCCGTCCACAGAATCCTCTTTCAGCATTCCAATCCAAACCAATGCCAGAATTCCGCGAAGAAGGAGCATCTAAATACATGATTGACAGGCACAAGTTCGCTGAACATCAGCACCTTGAAAATGACAACGCTGCCCGTCCATCTCCCGAGTCTTAACGATCAAGAGGCGAGAAGGGCCAGTTTATTGTGCTACCCTAACTAAGAACAGCGTACATGGGGGGTCCACGAGGAAAAAATAAAGAAATGGAGTGCTGAGCGAGGCCTAAAACCTATCCTAATAATTGAAATGCCATCAACGGCTGTCATGGCTGGTTGCCAGCTCTAGCTTCGCCCATCAGTTAGCGGGCCATGGGGACGCCATTCCGGGAGGCTCGCCCTCCCACGGTTGACTTAACCCAGTTGGTGAACTTGTCCCAGAGCGACGTGAACCAATCCCAAATGGACCAGAGGATGCCCTTGAGCGAGGTCAGAACACTTTCCCACGGGATGAAGTACACGGCAGCGGCGACGCCAACACCAAGCAGGACAGCAGGCCCAGCTGCTGTCCCCAGCATAGTCATCGCAGCCTTCGCCTTGCCAAATTGAAAGGCTCCCAGCCCGGCGACTTGGAAATTGACAAACATTCCACTGGCAGATGCCTTCAAACCTGCAGTAAGCTTGGACCCAGTGACAACAACCCCAAGGATACCAGCAACGTATCCCCTCCATTTCTCCCACCAGCTACCCTCCATTTCAGTGTTACGCATCCGGTCCAGTTTGCGTCTCACCTTCTCTCGATCCTTGGCCGAGAGATTAGAGGTCGACCAACGGTCATTATCGGCGGAGTCGATCCATATTCCAATGCCCTTCCCAATAAGCAGACGTCGGCCCCTTCGGTGTCGATTTTGCCATTGATCGATGCGGGCACCATGGAATTCGGAAGAACGAGTGATGAGGAGCTGGCCACCTCGGGTGCCCCCGCGACGGCAACGGAGGATTGTGAGGGTGTTGATCCGAGACCCTACGCTGAAACTAATCGTAGAGACATCGGTACTAGCCAGGATGATCATGCTGCTGTGCTTTTGAAGATCGTGTACCTCCTCGATGGTCTCCTGCAACCAGTCGCTGGTGGTGACTAGGACCAGGGACCTCCCTGATGACGCATTGGCGGTTAGCACAGATAAGCGACTCAGTCGGGTGAATATATTTGTTTCCGAGTATCCGTAATCGAGCTTACCTTTCCAGATCTCCCATGGGCGCCTTTCGCATTTAAGCTCGAGTTCATATGAGTATTCTTCTGGTACGACAGCAATGATGGCGAGCTCTTTGTTGCCTCTCTGTTCCTTTATGACTTCGTACATGTTGGTAACTTGTCTCTGCATGGCGCCCCATGAGGGGCCTGCTAGGGTGGACGCATTGTCTGACCAGACGGAAGACATCGTTGCCGTTGAGTGAGATATGAATGCGGATATACGATGAAGGGCGGGTGCTCTAGGATGAGGAGTAGAGGGAGCAGAACGGCTTACCCTCGTTCGCAGCTCATCGGGCTGCTTAAATGCCTTGTACCAAAGAGGAGTCGAGAGACAATCATTGCGCAATATGTATGTTGCCTTGTTTCTTCTTCCCCTTCGAGCCAGGGATGCCGAGTGATGCGACCAATACTTTGGGAGAACATATGAATGCAGCAAACGGCCTCAATGACTGGTTCGTTGGATGCTTTGTGCTGCGGGCTTGTAGCATGAGCGGAGCACTCCGGACGGCGTAGTTATGAGCAGGGCGGGCCACTTGCAGATGCGAGGACATTTAGCATCGTCGAATCACGGTCCGAGATAGCAACGCGTTCGAGTCGTGTGGGATGCGGGACTACGTGGTATGGCTTGAATTGGTAGATGGAACGGAGGAGCCTGGTTGGCGAATACTCGAGCTGTCTACTCGTTGCCTATGGCCATCAGGCAAGTAGACTTTAGTCGTTTCTTGTCGGTGCTCGTAAGTCGGCGGGTATAAATAACCTCTCTTGAACCCGGAGGTGTTCACTTTTCCATGCCATCAGCGCCATCTCCAACCACTTATTCCAATCCTGAATACACCCAAGATTCTTCGCCCAGATCCTGAAAATGGATCCGTCCAGATACCCAACATTTCCAAATTTTCAGCACCAGCCTGAGTACACCAATGCCGGCGACATGTCCGGTCCAAGCGGAGCCTGGCCCGGATACTATCCCGCTCCCGGAGCCCCACCTATGGCGTGGGACTTCGACCCCCAAGGCCAACTCGGCCCAATGCAACGGGAGCCCATCTCGAAAGAAAAATGGGACCAAATCAAAAGCGTCATATACGAAATATACATCATCGAGAGCCAGCCCCTCAAAAGGCTCGAAGAAGTTATGAAAACGAGATTTTTATTCCAAGCGTCGTGAGTGTCTTCCAGGCTTGTTGCGTTCTGGGTTGTTGAGGGCTCGTTCGTATCTGACCTTACGTGCCTGCCCAGGGACAAGATGTACAGGTCGCAGTTTAAGAGATGGAAGCCCGCTTTCGACAAAAACGAGACGAAGAACAATGGCGGAGCCATCCCGAACGAACCGCGGCGAGCTCCCCGCAAAAGACAAAAGGTAACGCGAGGAGGGACAGTATCGGTAAATCGGAGGTACAACAATCGAGGGTACAACAATCGACGACCATGCAATCCACCACGAAGTATATCCTTGCCACCCCAGGATGAAGAAAGAATGGCGTACATCGTGAAAATTTTGGTCTACCAGGTTTTTCTCGATGGTTCGCCGGCTTGGTCAGTCAACGACCTCACCTGGGTTCGTCCATCCTGGGCTAAGTTTCGGGGGGATTCGTGGGAAGTTCTCTCCCACAGGTGCGAGACCATTTCTGCTTTTGGACGCGCAGGGATGCAGACTCGCTTCAACTATGCCCTCCAGCAGGTTTTCAACGACTTTGGAAGGGCCGCGGTGGATAAAGATCCAGGATTCCTCGTTTATTTCTGGAGGATTGCCTTTACTCTCCGCGATATTCGCCTCCGAGGTGCGCAGCGGAAGAAGAAGAACGAGTTCCCCTTCCTCGGCATGTTCCTGAGGTATTTGAGCCTTGCGTTCCAGAGACGTTCCAGGGACCACCCTTTCCTTGAATTTGCAGCATGGCTAGATGCGAGTTTTGCCACGTCGCCTCGGGACTTTAAAGACGTCATGAGATGGGTTTATTCTCATGTCATAGTTTGCTTCAAGGAAATGATGGGTAATAACCATCCGATAATACTCTCCATGGTGTCGCACCAGGCTGGGATTTGGCAGAGGAAGATAGACTATCGCCCATCGTCCATCCGTACGCAGTACGAGACGCTCCGGTCACGGCTGGTCCAAGCCTATGAACATACGGGAGAGGAAGCCTATAGCCGCAGTGGCGATCATCGAGTTTCAATCCTTCTCGACTATCTACTCGCGATGATGGTAGGCAACCTTAAAGAGAACAGGCAGCAAATTAAGGAGCTAGCCATCGAACTTCGGGACTGCACTGTCACTCACTGCAAACTGTTCGCAATGTTGGATCTAAAATTCGACATCCAAACCCGGGCCTTTACCGTTTCCACGGATTGGCTAGCAAACCACATGATGGAGGACGGAAAACGTGAGTTGGCTTTCAATCACCTGAACGAGGCCATCGATATCCTGTGGAAAGGCGATGTCGAGTGCCGGATGTGGGCGGGTGTGTTTTCGAGGCGCCTGGGCCTATGGTTAAAGCTTCGGCGGAACCTCAAAAGTGACAATGAAAATCAAAAAAGCCAGCGAGGCCTGATAGTCGAGGGCGACAAGGGTAAACGTACCCACAGAGAAGAAAGTCAAGTGGAAAAGGAGCGGAAAACTATCCGGGACAAGGCCTACAGGGAGGAGAAGCTCAGATACAGGGAAATCAAGTTGAAGATACCCGAGGGGCCGCTAATAGCATCCGAACCCAAGGGTCCACGGCGGGGTAAGGAGCGAATCAAGCGCATACGCGAGAGGACTCTGGAAGAGCAGAAGGCTCTTATCGACTGCGTGTCGAAGAATACAGTTGGTGTAATTGGGGCTGCGGTACAGTCACGACAGCTACTCGGCGATACGAGCGAGATTTGAAAACATGGGCGGAGAGAGTGACGGCGATGAGTTATTGCGAAGGACAGGCCTACAGAAACTGACTCTTGAATTTGGGGTTTGAGCCGCTCTTTAAACAAGATCGTTCTCTTTGCCATGATATAAGAAATATTATAGTACTACATTTTCCCCTCCCGTAAGTACGAAATGTACGAAGTAGAGTTAATATTTCAAGTGGAAGGAGCATCCTGGCATCGTGCAACACCAAATCTTACAAAGTAATTGAAGAAGGGGCGGGTCGCCAATTGATTTGATGCCTCACCATTCTGCCCATCCCAAACCCCAAATCCCAACTCTTAAACTCCCAACTCCCAACCTCTTCCGAGCCCAAACATTTTCAAGCCGGTATCATCTCTTCTTACACCGCCTCTTGTAGTGATATTCGTTCATCATTTTCCTCCGACAAGCGACCTTCTAATAACCACATTAGCTCCCTACGTATCCTCGGATTTTCTCACATCTTTTTTTCATCGATCTCCAGCACGCACGGCCGGCCGCATGGGCAATTTTTGAGAGAGTATTGCACACCGAAACGGCATTCCTAATCCAGCTTGTACATAATATCGTACGTAGCGCCTCACAGAGACGGCGACCTCTAACACCAAACGAGATTCTGGGGCTATTCCGGGGCTGGGCATACAACTTCGGCCTTCATTCTGGACCTGGCTTTCTTGATTTAAGCTTGCCAACTGACGAAACTTTACATTCCCCCCCTTTTTTTTGTCCCGAGCGCACAGGAGGGCCCTGTCTCGTTCAAACTGATCCTCCCACACTTGTCTACTCTACGAAACCAAGGCCTTCGACCATCCAAAATAAAATACAACAGCTGGGCAGAACGTTATTATGAACTAATTTACCAAGATGGCGCACGCCCCAGAAGCTTTGGCCTCACCAGTCGACACACCACACCAACCCAAGATAGGCCCGAGAACCAAGACGCCTAGCACAGCTAGCAGTAGCCGACAGTCAAGCACTCGCAAAAGGGATCGCGTACTTGCTGGCCGGATACAGAAGCAAAGGAGGAGCATTAGCTCACCTCTAATAAACGAGTCGCTGGAAGACTACGACTACGATGAGGGCTCCAGCAGGCTCGACGAGGTGGAGAGGGAGCTCGAGGCGGATCGGTACGAGGAGATGATGCAGGAGAAGGCACTATTCCCAGGCAGCGGCGAATGGGCTCCGGATGAGGAGGAGCTCTTTCGGATTCTCTTCATGAGACAATATAGTCCCCTCCTACCACCCCACTGGAGTTTCGACTTTCGAGGTATTCCGGTACCTGACATCTTGTTCTCTACGTCTGAAGTCGATGAGCCGGTGGTGTACTCGTGGTCGGGCCAAGATTTTCGTGGTATGTTCTCCTTCTATTGAGAAATGTCTATTATCTCTTTCCAGCCCATGCCCATGCATGCGAGGATTCGGCGCGGCATACCCTGCTTAGCTCTGCCCTCAAACTAACAGCTCCCCAAATTAGCGACCAAAGCAGTTATTCGCCTGATTGACCTCACAACTGTTGTCAGAGCCTTGGTCCAGACGGGCCAAAAGGCCAAAATACCGGCATCCATCCAGAAGGAGGTTGACCAGTACCTAAAATGGGCCGCGAAGGATGGGGGTTACGATAACATCGACATTCTCCCCAACATTTTCGTTGAAGTCGTCGATGTGAACCTTGGAGGCACGGGGATTTCGAATTATATGCAGTCGCAGCTGAGGGACTTGGCGCGCTCGCATCGAAGGTTCTGGATTAAGCGGAAGAAGGAAGCAGGAGGGGGTGATGAGGAGGACGAGACGATGGCGGACGCTCAGGAGCCTAACTTCACGACTCAACCACCTGTGCTTTACGGGCTCTTCATCGTTAACACGACTCTTCTTGTTCTGACGATCGACCCTACGAAAGGAGAGGACGCGCAGGTCAGTTACCAGGTCGAAGTGAATTTCAACAAGAAGAACCAGGGGGTGTGGAATGCGATGACGGTAGCCATCGTGGGTTGTCAGGCGAGGAACGATACGATCTGGAGAAAGCAGTACTATGCGGGTCGTCTTAAAGGGTGATGAGGTGAGGCCGATCACAGAGGCATTTACATCGGTCGGTGGAGGGTGACCCTGAGATTCGGACACGGCACAGGTGGCGGATTCCCTTTGTTGGATGGACATGAACTTGCAGGATGCATACGAAGTAGATGTTTGAACGACTGAATGTTATACCCCAACTTGCTAGCATTTACGAAGTGGTATTCGCGACATTTTCAAGTCTCTTTTTTTTTTTTTTTTTTTTTTTTTTTTTTTTCTTTCTTTCTTTCTCTTCATCGCTCAGGCCTGCTCTTCTGAGAACCAGGAATATCTCTACGCTGATTGAACCTGAACCTGCACATGAAATGTAATATCATCCAAGTACAAGTTGAAGTTGAGGTGTGGGTGCGCCGGCATCATGGTCTGGCTACCAACAGATCATTGGTCGTTGATGAGGAACCTTGCATAAATTGTTCGCATCCTTCGGTACGCTAATATGGTCTCTGATGCATTGTCCTACAACGTACGCAACAAGTACTCCGTACACTACGAAGCACACAACGGTTTCTTCCTAAAAATAAGATTCGGAATATTCGGGTTTCTCGCCAAGGATTGATGTCAAAGTACATAACTCCCTTGGGCAGTGCAAGGTATCCTTCTCTTTATCGACCTCGAACGGCCCTCACGGATCATCCTCACTTCGTACTTGTACTTTGTGCTCCACATCGACCCGCGATCCCCGTTTGCCGTCTGCCCACGCTCCTGCTGCTGCTGCTGCCTGGCGACTCGCCCTCCGCAGCCTGGAGCTGTTGCTTCTTGACCGTTGGTTCTCGCTCTCCGAGCAGCACTTGATTGATTGATCCGATGCTGTGCCTCTTCAAGTGGGGAGGAGTAAATACTTTGGGGCAAGTCTCGCCCTGTGAAACCTATGCTGATTTTGACGTTCGATTGTGAACGTCGTAATCATTACGAAGTACCCCGATGTAATAAGCAGCAGCCCCCCTTGCCCCCATCCACTCCTCAACCCTCAACTCTCCATTTAAAAGCGATCCTTCACGGTTCTTCCTCTTCTCCTGACAACAAGCATCTTGAAAAGTTTGCCGTCTGAGCTCGTTTATTCTTATCAATCATACCTACAAGTAAAAAACGGCCCAAGTTCGACAAGATGCTCACACCCAGAGCGATCGGCGAGATCGCCGCCCCCTTGATCAAGCGGCACCTCGATGGTGATGGCGACGAAGCTCCCGTCCCGTTCCCCGAGTTCCCAAAATGGCTCTGGGCTCTCTTCGGCGTCGACTTTCTCATCTTCCTGCCCATCGCCCTCTTTGTACGTCTTATATCATCGAACGTGCTTATTTTTTCAACTTCCCTCGATGCAAAAGGCTAACATTCCCCGAGATTGGTTACACCGTGGGCAACGTCTACCCCGTCCTCGCCAGCGTCGAAGATGAGAACGCTCCACCCGCCTACCAACCTCTCTCCCTCGACGACCCAGCCCCCGGCGCAAACGCCGACGTCGAAGCCTCTGCCGCCCCCAACAACGGCACCAAGTCCGAGTCCGAATTCCCCGTAACCTCCAGCCTCCGCCGCACCTACGCCTTCCTCAAGTCCACGGGCGGCTGGCGCGCCTCCTTCCGCGGATTCTTCTGCTACATCGTCTACGTCTTCGCGGGCTCCTTCGTCTCCGAGATCTTCTCGGGAATCCTGGGCAAGTCCCTCAAGCCCCTCGGCTTCCTCCTCTCCCAGCTCGCCCTCGTCCAGCTCAACACCGCCTGGATCCACATCGTCCTGACGCCCTCGAGCCCTCTGAGGTGGTGGAAGCGGCTCCCTCCCTTCGGCACCACCTTCCGCGCCGTCGCCTCCCCGACTCTCCTTCATACCGCCGCCGCCCTGATCTCCATCTTCGTCCCCGCCCTGATCGGCTTCCTTGCTGGCATTCCTTATCCGATCTCGCCCTTCTCACCCGCCACCCCCACCGACGGCAAGGGCGCTGCTCTTTGCGTCGTCCTCGTCCTTCTCACTTTTATCCTCCAGCTCGTTCTCGTACTTCCTACCCTCGTCATCCTCGTTCGCATCCAGGCTAGCCTTCTGCCCCCCGAGCAGGACACCATCATCCCCTTCGACCGCTCCTTCGGCGGCCGCATCGAGCCCGCCGTCATTGGCGGCAAGCCCTTCGCTTCCGTCCGCGATGCTTGGGCTACGCTGTCGCGCGCCACCATCAAGCGCGTCGCTATCCTCTTCGTCAAGATCTTTGGCGTGAACATTGCGTTTTGGCTCGCTGTTGCGGCGTTTGTCGTGCCGCAGCTGTTCTTGGGCTGGCACTTCTCCAAGACCCCTAGCAACAATGGCTTGTAAGAGAAGGGGGGGCTATGAGGTGAGATTTGTGAGTTGAGGGCCGTGAGGTGATGGGAGGGTGATGCGAGATAGGTGGATATTCTGCCTTTGCTCCTTTTTTTTTTTGGTTCCCTTTGTATGTGCATTTCTTTGCAATTTGAGGTTCGTCCGTTTTTGAACGTAGGGCTCGATTGAATATGTTTCTACTTGCTCGTCTTGCATTGAAACCGAGACTCCTAAGATTGTATTATCGCAAGTGAGCTTGCCTGAAATGACAGCCAGTCTCACCAACACACCAATTTATAAAGTGGTAGTTAAATACAATCCCGTCGTTAAATCGAACCTCCCCGTCTACCCCTAGGCCCCATCGTTTCTACTCTCATTGTTCAAGAGCAGAGTGGACAGGAGACAGACAACGGCTGCTTTGTAAATGTTCGAGTTTCTGGGAGAGAGAGAAGAGCAAAAGAAAACAAAAATTATCGGATCATATCGTCTTGACATCTAAACTCTAGACGCAGCGAGCATAACAAACGAAACTAATCTTGGTCCCCTCGGCAGAACCTCTTACATCCGGCCCCCACGAATCCTACAAAGCTCCGAGCTCATATGAGAAAAGTGATAAAAGGTACTAAGCGGGACGGTAGGATCTTTTTTTTCAATGTCTGCGTGTATGTATATGTATCTGGTGACGTGTATGTGTCATTTCATTTCAACCTCCCTTTCCTACCCAGCCTACTCCGTACTCCTCATCCATGCATTTCCGTTACAAGCTGTATCTTTCCGCCGGAGAAGAGGAATCAGACAGACAGAAGAAAAAAAGAAAAAAAAATCGTTCTAAGAGAGATGGAGGAAAGAGGCGAGAGAGGGATACATGACGGAAGGAGTATAAAAAGAAAAAGAAAGAGAAGAGTAAGAAGGGGGAAAACAGGAGGAGGTCCGAGGAAGAAAATGCCCGAGAGAAACAAAACTCAAAACTGGTGGGCGTCCCCGCCCTTCTATGGTAACTACCTACACATACGCCGACCTGAGGCATCTAAGACTTCTGGAAGAACCAGCTGGATCGCTTGTTAGTCGAACCCTCGTTCTGCAGAGACGAAATGGCAGGGTTGGTGGGGCCGTCACCGCCGCCTCCTCCGCGGAGGGGCTTGGCGATTCTGCTGCCCGCGTTGGCAAAGCTGAATCCGCCGATACCCGTGGGTGAGTTGATGCCACGCGTGCTTCCGGCCTTGACGACCTCGAGCCTCTCCTTGACGGCTGCCAGTTGTACCTCGAATCTAGAGGGGTGGAGCGTTAGTATATACGACGCACTGAAACGGAATCATGAAATAGGAAGGGGGGATATATATATACCTCTGGTTGGCAGCTGCCATCTTCTCCTGGCTGTCTTGCAACAGACCCTCGAGACTCTGAATACGCTCGTTACGAGCAATGAGTTTCCTCTCAGCGATGGCAACCTCCTTCTTGAGCGCAGAGTTCTGCTCAACAAGCTGGCGCTGCACCTGCGTAAGCTGCTCGAGGTTCCTCTCGAGGAACGCCATCTTCTTCTGCTGCGCGCGGCTATTCGACGAGCGCAGCACATTGTTGTACTGCTCCCTGGTCTCATCGAGAGAAATCTCCAGCTCGACAACGCGCTCGCAGCGGTTTTGCAGGTCGCGCATGAGGTTCTTCTTCATGGCGTCGAACTCGGCCATCTGCTGCTGGACGGTCTTGCCGTTGGCCATGGCAGCCGCGCCGCCGGAAGCGACGCGCTTCTGAAGGTCGTCGATGAGGGTGCTCATCCGCTCGATCTCCGCAGTCTTCTGAGTGACCTCGGCCTTAAGGTCGTCGACAAGTTTCGTCTGAAGCTCTTGCTTGTTGGAGTAAGCCGTCTCGAGACGGGCCTTGATCTCCTCGGCGTCGGCCTCACCAAGGTTCCGCTCCAAAAGCTCTTCATATTCAGTCTGCAGTACCTGCAGGCGCTGCTCGAGCTCCTGCCTCCTACGGGTCTCAGCGGCGCTCGAAGACGAGTTGAATGACGTCGATAGCTCGGCCTGTCGGACGATGCCCTGAGTCTCCACAAGACGCTGACGGAGGTCCTTGAACTCCTCGGGTGGGATAGGGTCGCCGACGGTGCTGTGCTCCAACAAGTTATCGAGCTGCTTGATGGCATCCGCAATCGACTTCTCCTTGTCGCTGAAAACGTCGGAACCCAAGTCAAAGCCGGCCATCATCTTGGCCATCTTCTCTGCCTTCCTCTTCTCCTTCTCGTCAAGGACGGCGCTGGACTCCTTGACGCTCATCTTAACATCGAGAAGCTGCTGCTTGACCTCGTCGAGCTCACCCGTGAGCTCGGCGTTCTGCTCCCTCAAGGCATCCATGGAAATCTGGGCTTCCTTACCCTCGAAGGTGAGACGTTCGAGCTGCATCTTGAATTCGTTGACATCCGCAGTAAGGCGCTCATTCTCCTTACCAATCTTGCTATCGTGCTCCTTCAAGATGGTCAGCTCCTCCTTGGTTTCTCGCAGTTGCTTCTCGGCGTTAGTTGCTTGCGTTTCCTTCTCCGCTAATTGATCCTGAAGCTCATTCTCGCGGCGCAGGAACTCTTCTCGCTCGTCCTTCTCTAGCGGAATGCTTGGTGTCGAGGACCGTTCTAGGGTCGGTGTCTCCGCTCGTGGCTCTGCCGCCAACCTAGACGGTGTAGACGGCCGTGCATCTCGGGGCGGCGCCTTAGTCGCTCCGGTGCCATCGGCAGCTAGCGAAGGCACCCACCTGTCCTTCGGAACACTTTCACCCGCGCGCCATAACTGAACTTCGCCTTCGAGATTCGAGATGTAGCTCTGGAAAGTGGTAACCTGGGTCTGTGCCTTCCGTAGGAGAGCCTTAAGTTCCGCGGGGCTGAGTTCGGCGTTGACCTTGGCCTTGTTCTTGATGGCTTTCGCTCTCATACCGAATCGCAGAGTACTTAGAGTTTCCACGTCGTTATAGCTGCTGGGGGAACAGTTGATAATGAGTGTCGTCCGACTGTTACCACCAAGAGATTCTTGAAGGATTCGTGTCAATTTGGAGTCTCGATAAGGAACGTAAGAGGATTTTCCGTCCGTAAGGGCGTTGATGACCATGCCGAGAGCACTCAAACTCTTGTTGATCTTCTTGGCCTCCTCTAACGTCTGGCCACTCGCACCGGTCTTGCCAACCTTTTCGCTACCTGCAAGATCGACCAAGAACAGCTGGCCGCTCTTGGACGATCCCGTCTCGACGTGCTTCTGCGTGATGGTAATGACGAAGATGGAGTGTGAACGCGACGATTCCTGGTTCATGTTGGTGGCGGCGACGGCTCGCGCATTCCCTCCTCTCCTCATAACCTCCATGACCTCCTGAACACTGGAAACGTAGATCTCGAGCAGTCCCTTGACGTATACACCACGGCTCTTCTCCTCGTGCACGGGAAGGTTATCGTTCTGCGGGGCGAGGAGATCGCGGATTTTCTCCATGTAAATTTCCATGTAGCTCACCCGTACGGTATACTCGATTGTGGAGGGGCTGGTCATGATGCTGGCGAAGATTTGGTCGACGATACGGGGGATGACACCGCGGTTGGCCTCGTCGTCGATGCTTGTTCCCATCATCGTGTATGATTTACCCGCACCGGTCTGACCGTAAGCGAAAACCGTTCCATTGTATCCGTTGAGGATGTCATCGACTGTAGAGCGGATCGAGAAGTCGAAGATGTCGGATTGCTGCGATGTCATGCCAAACACGCGATCGAAAGTAAATGTACCCTGTGCATCTTTTGACTACAAGTAGGATTTGGTAAAATAGACCTAACCGTCAGCACTCCAAGAAAAGGAAAAACCCAGTCATCGTGAACGTAAGAGTCGATATTAAGCATGGGACAACGGAGCGTCGTTGACCTTGGTGAAGCTATGCGTGCTGCAAGCCGGAGTCGGCGCATGGCGGTGCAGGGGGGGAGCGGGAGGGGCTACGAGGGGGCAAGAGCCGCAAAGCTGAAGCAGCGAGGCAAATGAGACTGGAAACCACATACATCCAGGATACAGGTATCATCTCCTTGAAAAGAAACGACAGGCTTGCCGCCATATTCCAACTCGATCTTGTTTTGAGGTCGGAATCGGGCGACGACCTTGATACTATTCGCACCCGACATGATGGGCGGACGTCCTTAGCTCGGACAGGCGTCTACCGAGGAGGGCGGTTGTTAATGGTATTCCAGCCGGGCGCGAACGAAAAGAATCGCGTTGTCTGGCGTCTCCGGCATGCAGGGAAGCGGTGGCGGAATGTGGGAAGACGGCCGGATGTCGCGAGAAGGGGGGAAATCGGCCGTGCTTGCGCAAGATTAGTCGATGGCTCAGGCGGGGAGTGTCGCCGGGAGAAGGTGGCAGATCAAGTGTTTGGCAGATGTGGGTGGTGTCAACAAGTCACAGCCCAAGTGAGGACGCACAGGCACAGGCGACGCAGCAGGCCCAGAAGCCAACAGGCCTCAAGTTTGGCAGCGGACAGGCCCCAAATTCACCAAACGGGGAACCACCCACTTGGCACTTTAGTGGTCGATAGTGAGGGCAACGGAAATGCCGGCTGCAATAACCAAGACCGGAAATCGGGGATGAACGAAGGTAATCGCAAAAGGAAGAAAAACAGAATCAAAACGAGGGAAGGGGAATCGTACGAAATACTTGGATGGGTTAAAGGAGAAGAAGAATCAATAATGGGTGCCTGAGAGGATTGATGACGCGACAGGGGAAACAAATGCGCGTGCAGGAGGAATAATCAGTGTCGGATTGGGTTTATCAACAGCCGATGGATGTACTCTGCCATAAAATTTGTTATTAAACGGTACTTTGATTTTTGGCGTAAATTACGAAGGTAGTGGAGGGGCAGAACATGAAGGGGTGAGCAGTATCAGAAACCGTGTGTGCTGCGTCTGGTCCTGAGGTACATTTGATCAGCCAATGCCACTTATCGATACTGGTACCAGCACAGTGATATTATGGCGCCAGACTGAAACTTTTCAGGGCGCGTTTCATCTCCCAACAGTGGCTGTGGCTGTGGTCCGTTGCCCAACAAGAACTTCAACCGAGACCCTAAGTGGCGTAATACTTCGTTCCTTGAACAAAGGTATACACACTGTTACATAGGTCAGCCAGGCCCAGATAATTGATGCGTTCTGGACTGTTCCACTCGGCTTTGACAGAGTTCCATAGCTACCACCGCGGCGGATAGGTACCTTGTCGCGAGCAGGAATAGAACACGGAGACCCTCTGTGCATAAAGTACTCGATGAAGTAATTATAGTCGAGATGCGGCAGATAGTCAATTGAGACAATATCCCAAAGGATTTAATGAGCCACACGGAGCCTATCCTAGATTCATACCAAGTTCAATGTCTCTGTGGGGCATGATTGATGTTTGGATCGCCGATAATGTCTTAGACGGACATCATGGGCCGATGGCCAGGCCAAAGAGATCTTCTCCCACAGTCCAGAGCAAGACGACTATATAACCACGGACGGGAACCATCACTCCTCACATCGAATAGGAGCCGGGCCTCCCGCTTCCCATATCAACTCAACTCCCGTAAAGGTACTTCGTACTTGCTTTTTACCACCATGGCTTCGGGAACTAGAGCGTCTTGCCCAATACTTTTTCTTCACGTTCCCATCTCCGCCGCATTGACGTAAACTTCTCTCTTCATGTCTACATCTGATCCCTGCATGTAGAGAGTCCATTTCTAGTATCAATGTCAGTAATAATATGAACGCATTGGATTTGGTATTGCCCAGGCAAAAGGGAACAACCAAATTGCTTCAATGCAGTGGGGCCCTTGCTGTGGTTTATGGCTTAAATCTTACAAAGTACCGCTTAGAGGAATATTGACGGAATTGTAGACCCACTCTGTCGCTCATGGATCCTATAACGTCGTGTGGAATGCAATGGGAACAGAGTGGTCCGTCATCGGGGGACTTAGGGAAGGAAGATGCCAGAGGAAACATAGACGACGGCCGATCTCATATCAAAGGATCACAGCCAATCTTCCAAAATAGCTGACGAACCATACTATATTCACGAAAACGCAACCTATCAAGAATGAACATGTGCAGTCTGTTAAACGAAGAAGAAAACGAGGAAAGAAACTATGTATCCCTGGTATACCGAAACGCTTTGTAAATGCATGACTACCATTGCTCCCTTCGCCCCCGCCTAAACTCCGTCTTGAAAACTAAGGGTTCTTTGGGTGCAACGGAGAGAGAGAGGGAGAGAAATGACGAAAAAGCAAAAAAGACCGCGGCCTCGATGATTCGGATGGCCAGAACGAAGCTTATAACGTTGCCCAAGAGCAATAAATCATCAAGGACGCAGATAGCCAGATGATCGATGATCGATGATCGATGATCGATATGTCGTCGACAAGGAATGCCTCTTCCCCTGTCTTCCCGGTCCGAAGAGGGAGAGCCGTTAACGCCCAATATCTATGTCGTCGCGTCTTTCCGTCGTACTGGGAGCCGGGGTGCTGCCATCGATGGGCCACTCATTACTCATAAAGAACCATTCCATCGTGCGTGATTTCCATTATGCCCTTCAAAGGGCTGCAATATGATGATGTACGGCCACCATGGTTGGGCCAAGGAATCTTGTCCGTAAAAGACAAGAGAGGTCGGTCTCTCTACTCCTCCCAGGATTTCTCCACCGTTTCTCGGACGCGTTTCTCGTACTCTTTCTGGTTTTCTCGATACAGGTTCGATGCTTCGACGTTCGCGGGGGACCCGGTGTTGGGATCGTTTAGCAAACTGCAGGGACAGGGTTAGCCTGGGATGATAAATGAGGTGAGAAGATAAGGGACGGCGAACGGCGCACCTTTGGATGCTTGTAAGGACAGCGGCAACGTCGTATGTCGGGCTCCACCTGTTTTGTAATATATCAAGGCACAACTCTCCGGTTGCGTAGACGTTGGGATGGAACATCTGGCTGATGAATTTGACGGCTGGGGGTTTGTTTGGATATTGCTCCTCAAACTGCATTACCAGCCTGAAGGTGCCATCCTCAAAGGGCGTGTCGGCGGGCCCAATAATGACGGCGTTCCTATATCGGTCACCGATGTTAGCACACGACTCGATCGTCTCCGTGGGAGTTTCGATATTTAGCGTACCAGGTCATGACGTTATCGGGTACTGGTGATGCGGAAACACCAGTGGGAGGGTCGGTTTGCATGCGCTGATGAACATCTCCTTGTTAGGCACCAAAATCGCAGCGTGACACGAGAGCCTTGTGGCCAAGGGAGAGGCGGCCGGAAGGAGAATCACGCACCTTGAAGTCGCGCATGAGGCGACGTCGGGCTGCGGTAGACATTTTCGGATAGATGAAGAATGGCGGAGGGAGTCGAAGATGGGTCGGTATTCAAGTGAGGCGTGTGAGAGGGAGAGATTTACTTGGATCGCAGATGAATTGGAATGGATTGAATGTGAAAAGGGGTTTGACTCATGAAAAGATGGGGAATGTAGTTTTAAGTGGGAGGAGGCAAGGTGAGGAGACTTCGCGGTTCAGGCGGAGGATTCCACGGGCGGCCTTGAGAAACGTCCAGAGGGGGCGACAGAGCCTGGTCTATCAATGACTGTTTCTTGATTGGTAAATCGCCATTTCGACGCAGCTGGCAACCGCCGTCCACTAACCATTGCCGTGATCAGGAGTTAAGGCACGTGATGCATCAATAAGTAAATTCCGAAATCGTGTTGCCTGCCTCGAATTCGACTAAACGGGATATGATACATATGAGGCAGGCGTCAAGTAAAGACATTATTAGATTAGAAATCCACTCATTCCCAATTGACGCGTTTGCGAATCTTCCCGACGCAACGCGTTCTTCGAATTGTATGTAAACTCTACTTCCAATTGTCCTTAGACCTAAGCTGCAAATAAGCCAATTGAATGCATCTCGGCTTTTGCTGGACCAAATATTACTAAATCGATAAATTGATAGCGCTGGCAAGACAATTGTAAACTTCAATGTTGGGCGGCTGTGTCGTCTACGCTCTGAACTGTCCGCCGTCTTGCGCTTCTCGGCTCAACTCTCGCCACTGCACAAGATTGTAACATATCGCAAAACCTCGACAAAGCATTCTCTGTTCCCCAACTTGACCATGTCCAAAGGCCAATTTTGTGTAGGACAATGCACTAATGTCATTCTTTAGCGTCCATATGACCGAGACTCCTTTGCAGGTAATGGGGGCGTCATCATCTTTCTTCGGACGGACTATTATTTCCATGGCGAAAGAAGGATGATACTTGCGATGCCGAGGTTGACTCAGGACAATTATAGAGTAAGTCGGCTCTGGCGTTGACAAATCCCCAGTTATTCCCCCAATGCCGCTTGCGAGGCCAAAACGCCATGATGATTTCATCAATTGCCTTTCAATCATTCTAGGGAAAACTTATGAATAAGCATGTGAGGTCAGTAGCTCGGGTAAAGAAGGCATTTACATCAATTTGATGCGCTGAAATGCCATCGAAGGAAAGTAGTGATCAGTGATCACTCCGGTCGGTGTCTGCGACAACCCCGGGCTAACAAACACCGACGCCCTCCGTCGTTCTGCCTTGGGCCAGCCTTAGCCGAAGTTGGCCGAGCCGGCGCCAATCCCTTTGCCTGCTCCAATTCTGGCCCCTCCACCTGACGGAATCTCCACCCTGCGAAGACCGATCTGGATTTTGTTGTTGACCCTTTTTTAATTCTCGCACGAATCCTCTTTTTTTTTTTGCCTTTTTTTCTTTCTTGTTCTCTTCGTGTGTGCGGTTTTTCGAGTTCGTGATATCATATACCTACTTTTCAGCAACAAGATGGTGGCGCTTCCCCTCAGGCAGTCTGCCTCTATGACCAGGCGCATTGCCCAGCTCAATGTCCGCCGAGGCTTCTCCAGTCGAGCCCCCCTCTGTCAAGAGATCCGAGATGCTTACATTCTGAGCGCTTCGAGGACACCCACCGCCAAGGTAAGATCTTTTATCTTTCCGGGTAATCCTTTCTTGAAATCGTAGAAGGGAGTGCTAAAGTGAATCGATTTGCATTAGTTCAATGGCTCCTTCGTGACCGTCCCCGCGCCCCAGCTCGGCGCTGTCGCGATCAAGTCGGCGATCGAAAAGTCCAAGGTCCCCGTCTCCAAGATCACCGATGTCTACATGGGCAACGTCCTCCAGGGTTCCGTCGGCCAGTCCCCCGCCCGCCAGGCCGCGATATTCGCCGGCCTCCCCACCAGCGTCGAGGCTGTCACCGTCAACAAGGTCTGCGCCTCCGGTCTCAAGGCCGTCGTCCTCGCCGCCCAGAACATCCAGCTCGGCCTCGCTGAGGCCCAGGTCGCTGGTGGTTTCGAGAACATGTCGAGGGTCCCCTACTACCTCCCCAGGGCCAGTGGCCTCCCCGCTTTCGGCAACATCAAGCTCGAGGACGGTCTCATCAAGGACGGCTTGACCGACGTTTACGAGCAGATCCACATGGGTAACTGCGCCGAGAACACTGCGAAGAAGTTCGGTATTACCAGGGAGATGCAGGACGAGTATGCGATCCAGTCGTACAAGAGGGCCCAGGCCGCTTGGGACGCCAAGGCTTTCCAGGACGAGATTGTCCCCGTGACGGTTCAGCAGAGGAAGGGTGAGGTCGTTATCGATACCGATGAGGGTTTCCGTGACGTCAAGCTCGAGAAGGTTCCCACCTTGAAGCCTGCCTTCGTTCGGGACGGCACTGGCACCGTCACCGCTGCCAACGCCTCCACCTTCAACGACGGCGCCAGCGCCCTCGTCCTCGGCAGCAAGGAGATTGCTAAGGAGTTCGGTGCCGACTCCAGGGTCCTCGCCAAGATCGTCGGCCACGCTGACGCCGCCGTTGATCCTATCGACTTCCCTATTGCCCCCTCCAAGGCTGTTCCTATTGCGCTCGAGAGGGCCGGTATCACCAAGGACCAGGTCTCGGTCTGGGAGTTCAACGAGGCTTTCGCCGCCGTCATCCAGGCCAACGGAAAGGTAAGTCGCTGGAAAGCAGATGAATTATGAAGAGTCTTCCGTTCGACAACACACGCTAACATTTGGTCCTCCTAGCTCCTCGGTCTTGAGAACGCCAATGTTAACCCCTTGGGAGGCGCCATCTCCCTCGGCCACGCCCTCGGCAGCTCCGGTTCGCGTATCCTCACCACTCTTCTCCACCAGCTCCAGCCCGGCCAATACGGTGTTGCCGCCATCTGCAACGGAGGTGGTGCGGCCACGGCCATCGTCGTCCAGAGGATCAAGTCTGTCGAGTAAGACACTAACATATGCGACTGCGGTAAACTGAAGGGCGTAAATGCCCAGACGAGGGGATGAAATGAGCTTTTGAGGGAGCCGGAGCCTGCCTTCGCTTCCCTTGAATAGTGCGATGTATCTTGGACAGAGGACATGCACGACATATGGGTATTTTATCACGATCTATGAATGGGGAAGATGGCCACAAGCCCTCTGGCCTATATCGCCTGGCATGATTTAAGTTTGCCAGCTAAAGGCCAAAGTGGTCGGGCCAGCGAGGAGTAGGGTGTTAAGTGCCGATCCCTGATGGGAAGTCATGTACCATTGTAGAAATTGCATATGAATTAAGAAGAAAAAAACTCATGAAACCTATCTTGAACCGCGTCTGCTCCGCTTCCCTACTTCTAAGAATCGTGTTGTGTCCGTGATTTGGTATGAGGGTAAGAAAGAGGACTGGAGAGCGAAGATATCAATCGAGGCAAGAAGCGCGATCCAACCGCCCTCGAAAACGCACTCACGTCCCCAAATTTTCACACTGTCCTCTCAACCTCACATTCACAACAAACGAAACATTGAAAGTGCACCCCCCAGCCCATCACCCTTCCGACAGGGGAATCCTTCTCACCTTCTCATTCTCATCTTTCTCTATTCTTAAGTAATTTCATCAATTTACTGAAAACCCCAAACCTAACAAATGAGTCTCGTCAATGAATTCCTCACCCAGCTCCGCAGCTTCGTCCGCGCCCAAGACGGCGACAACCTCCGCGCCTGGCTCCAAGTCTCGCCCAATGCGTCTCCTCAATACTACAAGCTCGCAGGCGAGCTCAAGGAGCGGTACGGAGGCGGTGACGCGGCGCTAGAGGCGGCCGTTGAAGGGGGGCTCCCGGAGGAGGACGACGTGAGCGAGGGGCAGGGGTCGCCGTGGCCCGGGTTCGTGACGTTCGTGAAGGATTATTTTGGGTTTTGGAGAGATGTGGATTTTCAGGATTTGTCGAGGGCGCATTCGTTGTTGTGTGGATTGGTAAAGTATGTGGTCATCCTCGATGAGTTGCACTGCTATGGACGGAGCAGCGAAGAACGAACCTCAATCTTCCAAATAACTTGTTTTTCTTGGTCGCTGACATCGTGTCTTTCGAAACCAACAACAGCTCATGCAGCACCGCCTTCGCAAATCCCACCTACGGCGGCATGCTCCTAAAGACGAGCATGTCGCTGAGCGAAGTCCTCGCCCAACTCACCATGATGCTTAACAAGCGACCCGATCTCACCAGCAGACTCCGCGGAGGCGACGAAGAGGGCAGGAAGTCCGTAGCCGAGTCATCGGCCGAAATCATCCAAAAGATCTTCACGACGTGCTTGACGGATAGGTCGAGCGCGCGATACGGCAAGCCCGAGGGGAAGAAAGTGGGCGTCTACATGTTCGCGAACCTCGTGCTCAAGTTACTCTTCGCTGTATGTATTTCATTTTTTTTCTCACTCATCTCCCTCAAGCCTTGATAACTGACTCCTCTCAAAAGTGTCGCAAAACCCATCTCGCGAAACAAATCTTCACCAACATCTCCACAAACTCCCCCCCTCTCTCCCTCTATCCCGCAGCCCAACGCGTCACCTTCCTCTACTACCTCGGCCGCTTCAACCTCGCCAACAACCACTTCAGCCGCGCCTCCGCCTGCCTCTCCAGCGCCTACCTCCAGACCCCGCCCAGCTTCACCTCCCACCGCACCCTCATCCTCACCTACCTCATCCCCGCGAATCTCCTCCTCGGCGTCCTGCCGTCCCGTGAGCTCCTCTCCCGACCCGAAGCGCAGCCCCTCGCGCCAATCTTTCACCCCATCGCCGAAGCTGTTCGCAGGGGTGACTTTTTCCTCTTCCAGGAGACCCTTGCGGCCCACGAATCGTGGCTCTTCGAGAAGGGTATCCTGCTCACGTTGTCGAACAGGCTGCGTCCTTACCTCTGGCGTTCCCTCTCCCGCCGCGTCTTCCTCCTCACATACACGCCCCCGACGGACCCCAACTCCCGCAAAGCGCCCCTCCTCGACCTCACCCACCTCCTCGCAGCAGCCACGTACCTCCAAAACCGCCTCGAGGGATCCCCACCAACAACAACAGCCACCTTCCCATCCCCGGCCAGCTACAAGAGGAAAAAACTACGCCCCAACGAGGGCCTGATCTGGGGCAATGCCCCCGTCACACCCCAGGACATCGAACTCACCGTCGCCGCGCTGGTGCAGCAGGGGCTCCTGCACGGCTATCTCGCTCACGACATGGCAAAGTTCGCCGTGCTGGGGGCGAAGACGAAGGGCGCTGTTGCGGCCGGGTGGCCTGTTGTTGCTCGGGCGATTAGGGAGAGGAGGTACGAGGAGGATGTGGATTGGGATGATGTGCCGGGTTGGGTGAAGGCGTGAAGGGACGGGATGCTAAGGATTTTTGGGGGGAATAATAACGACCTTTTTTCTTGAGCATACGAAGTAGTTGGGTAGCACGAGCACCACGCTTTCCGCCCGGATACAAGTCAACGATAGGCTTTCTAGTATAGTTATAATATATATGCGCATACAAAGGCATTCATCAAGTCAACGTTCACATCCAAATGTCATGAGAGCCCAAGTTTTTAAGCTATTTTCAATTCTTCCTCTCCAACATAAAACCAATCAATCATCCCCTCAAGTACATCGTCCCTTCTTTTATTTTCCTAACCGCCGTTTCCATGCCTCGCTATATATACTCCCCCTCTGCTCCTGCTCAACTGTCTCGAGCTCTGGCAGAAGGGACATATATATACGCATACATACAAACACCTCCCAGTTCATCGTAAACTCGTGAGGAGTAACTAATAAAACCCAAAAAAAGCCAAGAATGATCTGGAAAAAAAGAAGAAAAAAAGATCCCAACTATCCCATCGCCTTGTAATATCCACCCCGAGAAAAGAATGAACAATAGTGTTTGGTCCCGGCTCCCTTCCAATGTATTCCTCAAATTTATCCATGAGAAGTTGTAATAGCTCCAAACTGTACCTGTCCTTCAATCCCCACGGACAGTATAGAAGGCAAAAAAAGAAGCAGCCTCTCCAGTCCGCTCGCCGAGGGACGCGAAGGTTCTGGCATGTTGTAAAGAGAACGTGTGACTGAGGACACGAGGTTCTCGAGTAACGAGAGAAGTCGAGGAAAAAAGTGAGGCCAATTCAGGATTGGCCAAAAAAGCTCCCGGGCTCGTCAGATCCGGGAATTGGGTATATCGTTTGAAAGTAAAGTCGCACAATCTGCAGATTTGCGGTGGATATCGAGGAATGGAAGTGAGCCGGAGACAGAATAAGAATAAACAATATTCGCCGGTAAGTGGCTGGAAGATATAATATGTCGTATGGCAGGTTCTAAGTGCAGTAAAAGCAGAAAAGAAAGAAATGTCGCATTCTTCGCCTAGGCCATACGGAAGTTGAAGACGGTTTTTGGTCGACATCGTTACACATGATTGGCACCGGGCAGATGAGGACAGGCCGAGAAAATCAAAACGAAGGCAGCCATATATTGGGAAGGGGATTCATCTCCAAAAGAAAAGGCGTGTTCGTGATGCGGTCGCGAGGGTTGAGCGTATGGGCGGTTCTCTCAGGCGGCGTGCAAATGTCGACGGAGACAGCAACGAGAGCGCAGACTGCGATCGGCGCTGTCCCGATAGAAGAGGCACGCGGGGAAATTTGACGCGAGAAGTGAAACAAGGGTATCACACCCTGGCTGGGAAGCGAAGAAAATAAGAAGACGCCAAGCAGTAATGACCAAGGGAGGCGGTGGTGAGATCAAACAGTGAAATCAGTACAAGACAGCTGCAGCCGCCAGTGCGACCACGAGGCCAGCAACAGCAGCGCTACCTTGCTGAAGACCGGGAGCCTCGTTCTCGTTGGACTGGGACTCGGTCGGGGTCGAGTCAGCACTGGTGGGAGCCGAGTCATCTGAGCTCTGGGTAGAAGGCGAGTTCGACGTCTGCGCATCAGTTTCAAGGAAGATACCAGGCTTGACGGTGGGACGGGTAGAACTGGACGGGCCCTCAGTCGTGCTTTCGCTTTCAGCCTCCGCGGAAGATGAAGGTGCATCGGCTGTGGAGCTTGGCGAGGGTTCCTCCTTCACTTTAGTGGTCTCAGGTTGCGGCTGAGGCTGTGGCTTCTCCTTCTCCTTGTCCTTATTGTTATTTCCACCACTCGAGCCGTCGGTGTTGAAAACAACAATATTAGCCTTAGAACCAGACGGGACAGTCACAACGCAGAACGACGAGCCACCAGCTCCGACGGCCGACTGATTGCTGACGACGTCGCCCAATCCCTTCTTGGCCGGGTTGAGCTCGCAGGGGAGACCGTTGCATCCACCGCCAGGGCACTCGATCTTGACGCCGAAAGTGAGAGGGTTCTTCTCGAGACCAGCACCCTCGAATTCGAAAATAGGATTGAAACCAAGCTTGACGAAGGTCTGACCACTCTTGTCAGTATTCGCACCGGCAACATACGGAGCCCAGTTGCCGATAGGCTTCGAGCTGTCACCCCAGATGCAGCCTTCATCGCCAACACCAGGAGGGTTGATGTAATAGCTACGGAGTATTCTTGTTAGTGATACGGTTCGAGACAAGTATGGTGGAGACATGGCTTACTGGGCAGCAGTCGAAGCCCAGTAGCTAGGATCAGGGACAGCGAGAACAGCGCTGCTGTCAACGACGGTCGGGATCAACATGGCTTCATTTCCAGGGAGGACCGTCTGGCAGAAGGACACCTTGCTTCCCGCCTCATTCACAGCATTGATGGAGCCGGTTCCATCAACACAGTAGGGAGAATCCTTGAATGGCTTCTGCGCCTGACCATTTGAATCGCAGTACAGGCCACCGTTCTACGATATGAAATTAGTACATATTCCGCCGAGCAAAACGCGCCATGATAACCACCGCCGAGCAACTTACCATCGAGGAAGGATAGTTGTAAGACGACCCAGGTTCCCACTGGGCCATAACCTTGCCGGGCTTGCAAGCAATCGGGCAGTACATGCCGGCGGTGCAGGGCTGATCGGGGCTCATTGCGAAACCGTTGTTCATGCCGCCAGGAACATAGTGGAGATCGCCGTCGTTAGGAAGCGAGCAGGTAGTACGCTTTTCGATGGCAGGAGCAGGGTCGTTCGCCCTAGGACTGGGTCGGTGCACATGGGCTTGTCGTCGGTGAATATGGCGGTGACCGTGACCGTAAACAACGTCGACCGAAAGCAGCACCAAGGCCGCGGACACGCCAGAGAGCCTCATCGCGGATCGAACTTCGTGTAGGCGTGCGTGAAGAGTAAGAGGGAGAAAGGACCGGAGTTAATCGGGACTCCAACAGTGACGCAGGGACACTGCTTGTCAAGCGCGGCTTGCGCGTGATATCAGGAAAGATTCTTGTTGAGTAAACGAAGGCTTGGTTGGGTATATTGCGTAAAATTCATGTAAGTTGAAGCAAGTTTCTTGACGAGGCGAGTATCAAAAAGCAGTGAGCACCATGTGGCTCCTAGATGTGTGCAAGTCAGATATTCTTGGCGCGAGACTCGAGGTGTTGGGTCTCGTTCGATTCCGATCCGTACGTTCGACGAGGTGTAAACGAGAGACTATCACGGACACGGTAGGACGGGCGCTGGGCAATCTCGAGTAGTTCGGCAAATGAGTGTCGGGGTGAAGGGGCAAAGCAGAAATCTCAACAACGCGAGCGAGAAAAAGTGAACGAAAACGGGGAGAAAATGAATGGCATGTACTCTGTACAGGGGAAGGAGCGTGGACAGAAAATGAGTGAGGATAGGACCAGGATGATGAGGGGAGGCAGAAGAAGGGATAGGATGACAGGAGAAAATCCTTTGGCCTGGTCTCCATCTCATATCCCAGTGCACCAGGAGCCAGCGTTAGCCACAGCCAGGCGAAGAGTTGACGGGGGTGGCTTTGAAGAGGGTAATTCCAGATTGGGTCCTGCCGCACAGCTTTCCGTTCGCGTATGTAGTGGAGGGGTATACTTACTCCTCGGGGTACAACCTTGGGCGTCGACGGGTTAACGATCTGAAGCAACGGGGTACAGGGGGGTCATCAGAACCGTAACTATACATGGCAGTTACACTGCCTCGCATACAAGAGTCACGTCAGGAACTAGAAGCGAGTGTGTCATGGTGGTATCCATTGGGTACTTCGGACGATTTAGCACACGTCGAGAACAATGGGGTACGGGCCTCGTCTCAGAGCCATTTCTCTGACCCGCGCCTACCCATAAGCAGATGAAGGGGAAAGCCCGAGTGGCCTTCATTAAGAAGGCCATGCTGTACTTTGTACTGAGAAGTACTTCCCAGTGAACTTGGAGAGCGAAAATGGTCCAATTTTCTGTTTCTGGGGCAAGCATAACCCCTCCATAACCCCTGGAGAAATCTCGACGGTTCTTTCTCGTCGTCCCGCCCCACCCAAAGACAGGGGATCCGCAAGTGATCGGCTCGAATGATTGGGTCGCGGGGCCGGAAAATGAGATGAGGTACCGAAGTAGCTCAGGTACCTCGCAGGAGCTTAAAAGGCTAGCCAGGTACCCAGGGTTCCAGGGACCAATCAGAGCTGGATCGCAAATTGAGCTTGACCCGGAGCAGGTACAAACGAAATGAGCATTCTGGCACTTGGACATTTTGGTCTTGATGCACAACCAACCAAGGGCAGGCGCTCATTTCCTCCCCTTCTCTTGGGCCTTGACATGCCCTCTTCCACCTTCCTCTGATGCTCAAGAGGCGCCGACCACAATATAAGTGCACAATCCACCAGCCCAATGGCGACTGCAAATATTGATTTTTAGCAAGTCCAGACAAGCACTCGCAGAGCAGGGATCAATGTCGCTTCACTGTTCGGTAATTGGACCACGATGGTGGTAGCCACGATGGACTGCAGTGCACCATTGGCGAGAGTGTCGTGGCAGACCACATGGCACCAAGAACATGGGTTGCCCTGTGGAATTTCAAGGATTATTACCTCAGCCGAAATTCTTGCTGGGCTTCACGGTGAGTTTCCATGTCCTGGAGCATTTCATTCAACTGTTTTCTAGACCAATGTTCGTGCCGGATTAATATTGTGATTGTTATGTTCGGCGGCACAAAATTTTCGAGGGTTCATTTCGTCTCCAAGTGAGATCGGCAGCAGCAATTCTGATGCGGACAGTCCTTTGTCCTTTTTACATCTCAGTTTACCTGTGTACTTGTCATGCCATCGGGTACGAAGTACTTCGAAGTGCCTCTCATCCATCAAGTGACAGGCTCTGCGCATCACTAACGGCTCCATACGGCGTACCTCGCAGTAATGCTGATGTACAAGTCAAGCCGTCGTCCTGCATTAGGATCTGCTGATGCTCTCGTCTTCTCCACAACTTTGACTCGTCCCTGCAGCTAGATTAAGATGATTAAAAATTTCAGGTCTTCTCTTAATTGGCCAACGCCCTAGGGTCTCCTTTCGCACGCAGGAATTACCTCAGAAACCGGCGGGGAGTTATCGTGAAATCGTTCGCTCTGCTCATTTTCTGCTGTGGGTTCATTCACCTTAGCCGCAGCCTAAGCCCCGAGGAGGCAACGATCTGACCAGTTCACCGTTAAGAAGTGCACTATATGTGCACTAAGAGGCAGGAACCCACATTCTACCGTCATGAACTCATGATTCCTGGCCAGTGTTGGAGAGGAAAGGTGATGTGATGAATTGATCCCAGCAGGCGGCAGAGCTCCTACGATCTGACACGAGGCGAAGAAGCAATTGCAACACTGCCGAAACGTCGAAAAAAATAGGGCCGAGGACAGCCAATACTACGATATTGTACGTTACCAGGCCGATATTGTCTCTCGGCTGTCCCCACGCAAGGCTAGGATCATGACAGAAAAGACGGAAGTCTCTCATCTCGCGTGTTTTTTTCCTAATCATTGAAAGACCAATGATCGACGAAAACATTTGGCTGTTAAGACAATCATCCAAGCAAGGACCAGGCCGGGTACATCGCGATTTCTACTTTCCACCCAAGCCGTCCGCCGATTCCCAGAACCCAGGATGAATGCCATTACCGCAGACACTTGCAGGCCGCTTATATTGATGATGTCCGAGTAACCAAGCGATATTATGCGGGCAATTCCGCCATCTGGATCGCATCGCGGTCGTCCGTAGTCGGAGAAGAGGATTACCTTCATAATCGACCCGATTCCATCTTGCTTTGGCTAAATGCAGATAGATTACTTACAAGGGTGTTTTGTTATTTTGCTATTTTGTTATTTGTCTTTCCCGTCCAATATGCATCCAATCCATCCAGCCAGTCGGCTCAAGCAGCGACGGCTATTTGAAGAGGTTGATCAGTATCTTCTCTCGAGACTTGAAAGCGAAGACGCAACGTATCACCCGAAGCGATCCTAGGTCACATTTCGGATCATGCCCGCGATACCCGCTCCCACTACCAGACCGATGGCAGTTGGGTTACGTCCTGTCTCCCTCGCCACGTGCATGTTTTGGTCCATGAACTCGTTAGTGTACGGAGTATTTGGACTGAAGCCCGTTGTCGTGTGACTCGGAAGAATGCTGAGAGAGGAGAAAGCAGAGCAAGCTCTAAGAGATGTCCTTGCTGTTTGGCGAGTCCGGCATCCAGCATCCCACGACACCATCTGCAAAATGACTTGCTGCCCACCTTTTGTTTGTTAACTCGATTTGAGCTCGATTTGTCCTACGAATGGATAGCCCGGGGCAGCGGGGCGAATCCGGTGCTAGTATCCACGACGTATTACTATTATTTTCATTATTATTTCGATTATTTTCTCCCCGGATTTGATGCCAAAATTAACTCGTGGCTGTGCTGGCAACCAACACACACACACCACTCACGGAAGCGCTGACACCTCACTGGCTCTCACTCTCGCCCTCACTCACTCTCAGGATTTCTAGAACTGGAATTTATGGAATCCGAAGGCTGGAATGTCACTGTTCGGTGGGGTGGAAGCGTGGCGACCCTACCAACGACTTCGTAAAGACGAGGCGACGTACGGATCGACGCAGATCCGGAAGGCTGAGGCGGCATTGACAGCGACAGGTCAGGAATAATCCGATCTTGGGGGCCGAAGCCATCCAAATCCGGACCCTTGGGGCTCTAAACAAGAAACAAAGTTTCGAAACATTTCCTCCGAAACATTTTTAGGTTGTCTTGGAGCACGAAGCGGGAATGATATTCTGACTCAATGCGGTTTACTGTTTCTTCTGCTTAAGGAACGCCGAAACCCCAGGGGTTTTTTTTTTTTTTTTTTTCTCTATTTCTTGCTACGCTCTCTGGGGAATTTGAAAAAAAAGGCAGTGATTGCTATGGTCCAATGACTGCGCGTTTTGGAGATATGCACAATCTTCTAAAGAAAGAACATTGACACGTCCATCGTTCTCAGATCTCAGCCGCTGACGTCCCCGACCACCCAGGGCAGTGAGAAGGATTTGACCTTGCATCCTCCAAGCCTAATGGTCAGCAACCACCCACCCAGCGATGTGTGTGTCGAATAGAGTTGGAGGGTTTTGTTCCAACGCGCAACCAGATCGAGGGTTGGGTGTGCTGCAGGAATCAAATATTCCCAATCCGTTCTGGCAGTTGGGCTCCGCCACGCACACTTTCCCCAGCCCACCATTCGTTCAAGAACAGAACGACTCCGGCCCATCCTTCTTCGTCATTTTCCACTCGGCTCGAGTCCCTTCCGGGCGGAGAAGCACCCCGGAAACTCAAATTCCCGGGCCCTAGCCGCCGAAGCGCAGCCCCATGAGGATGGCGGCTCCTGGCGTCTATTCTCGTCGTCATCCCTCAATGGTTTGGGGGCGGTCTTCCACTGGGCTGGGTCTGTGTCTTGCCCTGTTGGACGTGACGATGTCGTTGGGTGGTGAGAACTAAGGACGGGATCTTGAGGAGCCGGCGATGCTTCACAGCCCTCGTAGAAGGTTGGCCATCGTCGAGTGCGAATGGTGTATATAAACGAACGAGGAATCACTCAGATGGCCATCTTTTTAAGTTATCATCACCATCATCATCATCGTCATTGTTCGCATTATCACCAACCAAGAAGCCTCATCTCTTCAGTCTATCTGATTTACGACAAACTTAATATCTCCCTAATTTGTATTATTCTCTACGACCTTGATACTCTATTCACTTTCATTTTCTATTTATATCCGCGTCTAAGTCGGCCAAAATGCGTTTGACTTCCACCGCCGCCGCTCTCGTCCTCGCCTTTACCTCCTCCGTCCTCGCCGCCCCGGGCTCCTTCCACGAGCGCCGGCAGGACAACAACCAGGCTCCTCCCGCCGACGCCCTCTCCGTTACCCAGAAGCTCCTTCTTGCTCCTCTGTAAGTAGCCACTTCACCAAGGGGAGAAAGTGAAGGAAAAAACAAAAGAAAAGCAAGTCACGAAAAGTACCGAGGACTAACGCCAAGATAGTGCTGTCGACCGCTTCAAGATCCTCACCAAGCCCGAGGACTTCAAGTTCAACCTCACCCCCGATGACATCCCCGAGGGCCAAGGCGGAAGCGTCAAGCTAGCTAACCGCGCCAGCTTCCCAGCCCTTGTTGGCACCGGCGCCTCCCTGGCTGTTGGCAGGATAGCCCGTAAGTTTCCAAAAACCCACTTTCTCTCCTAGAGAACAGCTCCCTCTCTAACATTAGTCCCAATTCTAGCCTGCGGTATCAACACCTTCCACGTTCACCCCCGCTCCGCCGAGCTCCAGCTCGTCATCGAAGGCAGCCTCGTCACCGAGATGGTCCCCGAGAACGGCGCCGAACCCATCCGCAACACCGTCAACAAGTTCGAGGTGACACCATTCTACCAGGGCTCCATTCATCATCAATGGAATCCGACCTGTTCAGACGCATTTTTCGTCGCGGCGCTCCCCAATGAAGATCCAGGAACGGGCCAGCTCGTCAACAATATCTTTAAGCTTGACCAGAACGCGCTTCTCGATACCCTCGACAACAGGTTCGACAGCGCCATCTCCGGGGACTTGATTGAGAAGATCAAGCAGAACCTGCCTCAGTCCGTCGTCCAGGGTGTTCGGGCCTGCAATGCTAAGTGCAAGCCTCAAGCTCCAGAGAACACTGAGCCGTCCAAATAGGTGCCAGCTCGGATATAGGCGCCGAGCGTGGAGTTGGCTCCCTCTTTCCCTTGTCCTTGAATAGGTAGCGCAATTGTTTTTCCTCCAATCCTTATATCTTCGATACTTCGGGATCCTAATCTTAACTCTCGAGTTTTCCTAATCAAAAACAATCTTTTGTCCAAATTTCCTACTCGATTTCACAAGTAATGGAAAGAGTTACGTCTCCTATTGTTTTCCTGATTCCTACTTCTTAATCGTGGGTTTACTGGAGGGGGACTGGAATTTATACGAAATTGTAGTCTTAGTCTTGTGCTCTGCGAGTAGTTTAACAGCAGCAAATATATATCTCATATTGGATTGCGTTCATGGCTCCTGTATTGTCTCGTTCTTGTACTTTTTCTATGATATCCGACAGATACAATCCCATCAAAACTAATATTACACGAGGAGAAACGCCCTCTTCGTCGCATATCCTATGCCCTCCTTCCATTTTTCACCGGGCCATTCTTACACGTTCTTGTCTCGGTAGCCCGTCACCTTGGCCAACGAGTCAAAAGACATCGTCATGCTATGCCTACCCCCCGTCTTACTCCTCAAATGGCTATCGTAGTCAATCATCTCCTTGAACGGCACCTTAGCCGTGATCTGCACCCTCCTCATGGTCGACTTCTTCTTCAACGACGTGATGGCATCGTAAGGGTCCGGCGGCGCGTATATACTCGAAACATCCACCGACCCTTCCGTAACGATTTCGCCCGAAAGATCCTTCACCTCCAGGACGTGGCCGCCCGCGGCGGCGCTGATATCGTGCTGGACTACGCCCGCGGCGGACTCGGGGCACGTGATGATGACTTTCATGATGGGCTCGAGGATGCCGATTTGGCCCTTGGTGTAGGCGTCTTTGAGCGCGTCTTGAACAGCACGGCGTGCGGCACCGCTGAAGTGGCCGCCAGACGGCGTCTTGGTCGCTTCTATGTCAAGGGTTAGGGTGATGTGGCATCCGTGGACGGGAGATCCTCGCCTCGGGCCCCTGGCGAGGGCCGCGATGGCACCGTTAAGCATCTGCTGACGCGACTCTTCTGGGTTGAAAGGCAGATCTCCACTTTCAGGGAGCGGGATCTGGATGTGGAAGATGTTGCCTTCTCTCTCGACGGTAGACTCGAGAAGAGACCCGCGGTGGTGCTCCTCGATTGGTTCGAGCACTGCGGAGCAGACAACGGTGCCTGCCTTGTTCGCGAGGACCCTGTCGAACACCGCCTCGTGGGATCTTGTGGGAGAGGAGAGGTATTCCTTGTAATCGACTTCGATATCGCCAAAGGCGGCATCGATCTTGTACTTTTGCTTGAGTCCGTGAACAATGACGTCCAGGTGGAGCTTGCCCATGCCTTGGATGATGAATTGATCCGTCTTTTCGTCTCGGCTCCACCTCAGGCTAGGGTCTTCTCTCGACGTGTTCTGTAGCGCAGTCTGTAGCTCGTTTGCCGCGACGAGGCCGAATGGGTCGATAGCCAAGAAAGCGACCGGAGGTGGGATCTCGGGTGGCCGAATTTGGATATGCTTGGCTTCATCAGGCACAGCCTTGTGGCCAACCGTCGTGATCAGCGTATCTCCGGTCCGCGCGAATTTGAGCCCTCGTAGCGCACCGATCTGGCCCGTACCAAGCTGATCAATATTGTGAGTTTTGGCAGCATCAATTTGTACGAGACCCATAGGTCTCTCTACCTGGAGCATGTGGGTATTCCAGGGCGCCGCGTTCTTGGGGAGGTGACCGGCGTAGATGCGGACAAAGCTCAAAAGACCCTCCTTGGGATGGTTGAATACCTTGAAGACGGAAGCGACGGCCGCCAGGCGCTGGTGCCCGCCGCGGTCAACCGTCTTTTTCAGCACCTCGGAGAGAGGGAGATTCTTGGTCCCGCTGCGAACGACCACCTCTGGTCGCTCGTCGGGGCTTGGTAAGTAGTCCACTACGGCGTCCAACAGGGGCTCGACACCAATGCTCCGTAACGAGGCACCGGCAAAGACCGGAACGACGGCGCCGTCACCGGTGCTTACCACTCTCCGGATGGCGTCCTTGATGTGTTGATTCGTGATAGTTTCAGGCGCTTCGAGGAACAAATCCATAATAACCTCGTCGTGGTCTGCGAGCACCGCGATGAGGTTCTCCCTCGCCAAGTCAAGCTCCTTTGCAAGGTTTGGATCCATCTCGGGAGTAAAAGGCGATACCGTCAGTTTCCTGTCGGCCCATTGGAAAACTGTACGGCTGAGAACATCAACTACGCCGGTGAAGTCCTCCTCCTTGTTATACCAAGGGATCTGACAGACGATCGGCATACAATTTAACCGAGTGCCGATGTCCACGACTGATCTTCTGAACGATGCGCCATCGCGATCGAGCTTGTTCACGAAGACGATGCGGGGAATGCTATGCTCCTGTGCCGACGACCAGACTCGCTCAGTATGAGCCTCGACACCTTCGACGCCGTCTATGATGCACACGGCGCCGTCGAGCACTGGGAGACAACGGTCGACTTCAAACCTGAAATCTTGATGGCCTGGGGTATCGATGAGATTGATGATTCTGGGATGAATCCCCGGCGGGCAATCGGCTGCCGGAGGCCAATGGAAGGTGACGGCTGCGGATTGGATGGTGATTCCCTTCTCTCGTTCAAGTTCGAGGAAGTCTGTGACGGTACTTCCCTCGTCAACTCCTAGATGCCGATGTTAGTTGGCGAACTCGACAAGTCGGTCTCACAGGCAGGTCTCGTGGCCATCAATGAGACGTTAGCTGAACCTACTTCCTTGGCGAGCGGAGAAGCCACTACAGTATAGCATTCTCTCCGTAGTTGTCGTCTTGCCCTATAGATTGAGGGCCATTAGCACATCGTACATCGCATATCGCGCATACAATTGTAGCGCATGGGTGGGGCTGTCGAGGTAAGGCTTCCAGAATCAACTCACAGCATCTACATGGGCGATGATGCCAATGTTCCGGATATCCTTCACATGAGATCCCGGCGAAATCTGAGTAGCAGGTATATGGACCTGCCTCGAAACCAATGAGCAAGAGAAGCCTCGACCAAAGAGGCGGGAGGTGAGGCGTAGTCTAGGATTTTGCCGGATGATGCCCTGCATCAGCCATGCTGATGCTGTGATAGTCATGTTGAAGGACGCTGGAGCAGAGATGCCCTCATTGGCCTTCAGCCGACTGTTGAAATTGTGTCAACCGTAGATGGGTTCACTCGCTCATCATCGGCAGGTCAGATCAGCAAGTGGTAGCTCACTTCACTCTCATTGAGGAATCCAAACTTGGTGTCTGACGATCAGTGAGAGCTCATCCGAAACTCGGGACAGCTCCTACTGTTTGGGCAGGCGGTGAACGATCACTTAATGGAGATGGGGAAGTGAATCGGTAAATGTATCGGGTACAAAATCAACTATGTGCTTGGTATCAGACCAGAGGTAGCATTACTTGAAGCAGGGTGAGCTTTCCCTGTACTCCGTACTTCGTAGAGCATCAATTTGGTAGCTTCCAATCTAGGTCGTGGCGCCAAGGACGAAGTAAACTTATGAACTATGAAGTACGAACTACCGCAAAGTACCCGATACCTTGGCCTTCAAGTCCCTGTCGCAATCCACGACGCAATACGAAGGTAGAAGGTACAGGAAACTGTCGAGACAACAAACCAGGCCTGACCAGGCCTGACCAGGTCCACACAGGTGCTCGCATGAACTGAACTGAGTGATTGCGGTGGAACATGAACAATTTGAAGTACCTAAACGAGATCCACTGCAATTCGCGATCACGTTTCCACCCTGTACAGATGTCCAGATCATCGAAATTCAGCTGCCTGGATTTCCGCGTCATCGAACATAAACTGGAAACTTCATTATTTGTCCCATCACCAGCCCAAGCCTCAACAACCCCTTCTGCCCTCCTTTCGACCAAGTTTCCAGTTTCGTCGCATCCCACGTCTTATATCCGCCAAAATGGAACTCTCCGATATTTTGTGAGTCTCAGTCAATTGATGCGATCGCTCTCGGATCAAGCGCCAGTCCCCTACTCTTCTCCCCCTTTCGAGTCAAAATAGCTAATACTGATGATGATGTTGTCTTGCGCAGCCGAATTATCAACCTCGCCGTTGCCGGCTGCATGCTCTCCGGCGGCATCTCCTTCTTTTTCCCCTTCTCTTGGTAAGTTTTTCTGCGTCCGCCTGTCTAGACTCGGAATCCCTACCTCTATCGTCAATTTTCTTGCTAACGATGCCACCTATCTGATAGGCATGGGTATGTTTCGCATCTCGACAGAATAGTCTCGGCGCCGACCTTTTTTATCGCCAAAGCTTGAAACACATTTTCGCAAGACTGGGCGCAAGACATAGACTAATTTACCATGACACCAGAACCATCACGGCCGTCTACATCATCCTCTTCGCCGCTATCGTTGGTCTCCTTGGTCCGTCCCCGACTCTCCCGAGCTTCCTAAAAACCCCACCGAGAGCGAAGCGAGAACTAACAACCCCCCCAACAGAATTCCAAATTCCTCCTCAGGCCACTCGCTATGGCTCTTTCCTCTTTTCCTTCATCGGCCGTGGTTGCTGTAGGGCTCCCCATTCCCCCCCCCTTTAGACCACCATTCCCTTCTGCTTTCGAGCTGACCTACTAACCACAATCACAGTCTACATCTTTATCGGTAGCTTGATCCTCGGCGACAGCGTCTGGTCCAAAATCACCGGCTCCATCGTCGGCCTCACCGGCCTCGGCTACGTTGGTCTCGAGTTCGTCCCCTCGATCGAACCCCCCGCCAACATGAGGGAGGCCGATGCTGGCTGGGGTGCCGAGGGTGTCTAAGAATCGCCGTGCGACACCTTGTGTGAAGAGTAATGGTTGAATAGGCTTGGGGGAAACGAGGGCGGGGAACGGAATATAATGTCTTTTTGTATTCTTTCCAAATCATCCCTCAGGCCGTCTACCTCTTCTTTCTGGGGAAAGTCGGATCGGCGGGATCTGGAGAAGAGCGACAAACTTGTACGACATCGTCACCTACATCTTACATCTTCTCGGCGAAATGCGGCGCAAATCGACAGGGTTTGGTGGACGGATCTATCTGGTGGACATAAACATGGTTGCGACGTGGGAAAGGCGGATTTTTATGGGCTTGGTTGAGGGCGCTTGTAACACTGCTAATTTGTACACTTGTAGACTGAAGTGGACAGCGTGTCGTGTAAAAGTATAATGTAAAAAGGAGATGAGACGTGTTTCTTGGAGGAGATATCCGGCAGAAAGATTCACCTATGAAGTATCAATATCTTGTGAAAAAGTAAAACCACGAACATGGACATATATCTACATGTATGCTTGGACCCAAGGCGACACCGCCTCTAAGTTGCAGCGACCCTTTTGTTTCCTTCCCTTCATTCCACACATGGTATTATAAAATGCGGCGTCCGTTTTGTTTGAGAAACCCTTTTCGCCCTTGACCAAGATGCAAAGAAACCATAATATATATATACCTGCGTCTTTTTGCGAAACCTGCTCCTTCATCCAACCTTGTTTGCGTACGAGTATAGCCCGTTGCCGGCCAGTCTTGAGAAGAGGGGAGAAAATGAAAAAAAGGCAAAAGTATAAGGAATAAAAACAAAGCTCCATGACCCAGTATTTTCGATCATTAGTCGTAGTAAACGTTCCAGCAGGCCGAGTGGTAAAAAAAGAAAAAAAAAATACTCCTATAAAGAAGAAAGGTATTGGTCCGCATATAAAACGTCTTTGCCCATCGACCCTTTAAGTTTGCGCCGGTATCGCATCCCATTTCTGCTGAACACAAGGCTTTTAATGTCATTGATGTCTTCCCAATTGGTATCCAAGAAAACGAAGACGTCATCATTATTTCCAAGACTCCGACTCCCAAATTTTGTACCCCCATTTTGTTCCTTCAGCCCAATGCTATTCGTGACCGAGTTCGGCCAACTCTCGTTCTTTCTGTGCCAACATTGCCCGCATTCTCTCTGCTTCGCGTCGTAGGGCTTCCCTTCGCTCTTCCTTTGAAGGATCCCTCTCCGAACTGACATCCCGGTAATACGTTGGAACGTTCGGCGAATAATGGGAGCTGCCCGAGGCTGGAACTGATCCAGTGTTCGTCGCATAGCCATGCGGCGATCTCGCATTGGAATGGTAAAAGTCCCTCCTGTCCTCGTATCCGCTGGTCTCGATCGCGCCATCATCAGTGGGATTAAGGATCGAGATGATCGAGGATATTCGCTTCGTCGTCTCATGATTCCCTTCTGGGGATGTCGGCGGATCGGGCTCTGTGGCTGAAAAGGATCGCTTTCGGGATGAGAGGAACGACGCCGGAGACAATGACGGCTGCCTTTCTTCGCTCGAGGCGACTGTCGCTAGGGATGCCAGCCGGTTTTCTTCGTTGAGGTACATTGGAACATCATGCTGCGGTAGCCCGTGAGTGCTCCTGTAGGCTGCGGGGCCAGATCCAGGTGAACCCTGCCCTCCGGGAACTGAGAATCCAGGTCGAGGTTCGATTGCGAGTGGTTGATCCGGACGGCGTCGAAGGCCAAGGTTGACAGAGCCATCAGCATTCATGGTTCCGCGCTCCGGTGTTCCCTCAGTGCTACGGGTCGATCCCTCATACTCAACGCTCTCGGCATCGTCTTGTGCGGCAATGACACGCTTGCGTCGTTTTATAGTCGCCTTTTTCATCGTAACAGGACGGTGAACGCCATGAAGTTTATAATAAAGACCTGCGTAATGCTAAGTTAATCCTTGCCCAGGGATGGTTATGGTGTCAGAGGGACGAAGTCTTTAAGGCTAGGAGGAACAAACCACAAGCGTTGCATATAGTGTGCCCACTCTCATCTCTCCTCCATAGAGGGGTAATTGTGGTAGCACAATTCTGGCAGGCAATAACCATGGGCGTGTTTTGCGCCTGCTGGGACTTGAGGGCAGCGATATCCACTGGTTGAGATTCGTGGGGTTCTGTTGGCTGCTCAGCGGATCTACAACTCGCCCCCTGACCCTTTACGTTAAGCTGGGCTCTCTTCGCAATCCGGTTATTGTAGGCAGGACATCCGTTGCATCCGTCGGCACCACCAGTCCCGTTACAGCGGCCGCCCCCAGGGCAAGTTCCTGCCGGCGCTTGGTCTGCTGCAACGTATGTTGCTCCGGGAATGCTCTTCCCAGTTTTCGCTGCTGTCGGTAACGATGTTGGGAGTTTAGTGGGAGACTGGCGAGGCTCTGAAGTGAGGGCAACACCCGTTCGATTCAATTTTGTTGGTCGCGCGGTATTCCTCGCTTTCTGGTAGAGTCCGCATGCATTACAGATGGTGGCTCCTTGCGGCGATCTCCTCCATAAGGGCGTCCGAGTGGTGCCACAGTTGCTATTCGAAGAGTTTGTCATGTTAAAATCGGTATCAAGTACAGGAATACACAGCATCGGGAACGCACCTGCACACCTGACCAGTTTGGCCGCTGGTCTGCGCCCTCTGGGGGAGGGCCCGCTGGCCGGTTTCGGGTTTCGTTGGGCTATCAACGGGCGATCTAGAAGATCTAGAAGTGTAGCCACTTGGGTTCATTGCGGCGACTTGTCCGGGGTTCGTGGAAGTATGACGTTGCGGCGGAGACTGTGTAACGGGTTGCCGTTGCTTCGCGGAGATGGGCCTCGACGGTAGGGCCGTCCGAGGCGGCGGGGCTTGATTCGTCGCCCGAGATGAAGAGGGGTTATACTCCTCAGACATCGCCATTCGCTGCACGATTCTCGAACCGAGTCTGAGGAGGAGAGGAGGAGGAGGAGGAGGAGGAGGAGGAGGGAAGAGGAGAGGCGACTCGGCTCTGACGCTGCTGGTCGAAAAGGAAGATTTCAAGCCCTAAGATCTGATTTGAAGGGTGTGATGACCGCAGGTGAGGATGCAGGTCTAGGGGGACAAGGCAAGCATTTGCCAAGCCTCAGCTGGGATATTGATATTGGCGTCGGATGCGGATAGACCAGAAGAAATTGATAGGCCCGGACTGGGGAAGGGGGCGGTGCCGCTTATCAGATTAGAGAACACCCTTGTCGATTCCTCAGGTTCCGCAACAGAATGTACTACTTGTACAGGAGAAGAGTGAGGGAACGGGCGAGGAAGAGTCTATTATTACAGACGTGGCCAAAGTGTTGATCAGGTCTATGGGTAGAGGAACGCACAACTAAAGTCGGAGGGGCGAACCAAGAAGGGACGGTCGGGGGCTTTGACCGTCAGCGTCGGAATGTGTCAGCCAACACAGGTGGCGGACCGGGGGTACAAAACTATAGTACTGGCAGCTTGCAGGAGTCAGTCGGAAGCGGCCGTGATTGGCAGAGTCGCACTTTGCGCCAGGCTGTCGGTACGGGATGATGAAAAGCAAAGGTTGAGAGCCAGAAAGAAGTGTGTGAGTTTACAGGGAGAGTGGGCGGTCCTTGGCAAGTCACACCCGGAGGGGCATGATGCGGTATTCTCGAAGACCCTTTGTGGGGGCTAAGTTGAAATGGAGGGGGCACTTCCGCGTCGAGGAGAAGACGGGTCTCGAGCGTTCGAGGTCTGCTTCAGCCACGATGCAGTTGGATAATTCCTGGGATTCCTGTATGTCTTGTGATGAAGGGGGTGGGCCTCGTGCTGCAAAGTACTCCGTAACGGTGGAAGGTAGCGTGATGCGTGGGCAGAGGTTGGTCAAAGGAGAACACCGTCGTCACTCCAGAAGGGATGGAATCCAGCGAATCTAAGGCAACTTGGTGGTAAAGTGACTGGTGGTGGGATGTCGAAGAGACCAGACGTTGACTATTTGCTGACCAGGGGCGTCGATGCTTTGTAAGGAGCAGGGGTTGACGACGTTGCTTGGCTGGGGTAACAGATGGTGTGGTGCAATCCAGGAGAGTGGCACGCCTGGTCGGCTGGTCCTGCGCAATGCTTCGTACACTTCTCTACTTCGCACAAGTATGCGTACGGAGTACACCTCGTGCCAGAGAGAGAAGATCAGAAAGTCAACGCTGGGCGGGTTCGTAATTTCCGGGGGCGAATACAAGCTTTTAGAGTGGTCGCCAAGCTCACAGATGATTGAACGTGGATTGAAGACGGAAAGAAGAAGTGCCCGGGGGCTGAGTGAGTGTGGTCTGTGGTTGAGATGAGGTCTGCACCGGGGGAGAAGCAGAGTCAAAGTGCAGTGCTGAGTCCACATTCCCGCTACTATTCTCCACGTACGCAGTACTTTTGCCTGTCTCCGTGCGGTCATCCTATTCCTCCGGGCCCGGAGGCATGAGGTCTGCTTACAATCAGCTCACGATGATTGGTCTGCGAGGCAGTTTGGATTTGAGCAGAGAACGCACTAGGAGAGAACGTTGCAGAAGGGGCGAGCGGCACAATCGAACCGTACCAGGGGTACACTGGCCTTGTAGCGTACCTCGTACCTCAGTACTTGGATTGGAATTGATTGATTTGATTGATATCGAACGCCCAGCCTCCACTGGAATAAAGTATGGGCTAAGGCACTGATGTAGTGTACCGCTACCTTTGAGCGTCCCTATCCGTACTTCGCACTGAGGTGCTCACTAGCGTTTTACGACGGACGATGCAGTCTATTGAGCATACCTCAGTATTACAAGGAAGAGCGTCTTCATGGACGGAAACGAACAGTCGGGACTGTAATGCAGGGCGATGGACTCGCCCTTGACGAAGAGACCAGGTTCATCAATGTTGCGATTGCTCTTGGTCGGGACATCCCCAATGTCTCAAAACCTGCACCGTATTTGGACAATCACGGCTGTTTTAAGGTTCGATGTTACTGAGCTAACAGATTCGGGCTAGTATCTTCTGGGCAGGTATAGCAGTACTCGGTACGCACACAAGAATATCGATATGTTATCGATGTTGATCCCGACGGAGGGACGAGAACGTAATCTCAAAACCATCATCAGTTGTTCGCCAACAGTTCATGGACGACTTCGCAGTTGGCATGAAAGTTCGCGGAATCAATACAGCATAGTACATTTACATACGTAGGAAGCATGCGCTTGTCCGTCTCTAACGGAGAGGGCATCGCTACCTCTTCACGTTTGGCAATTAGCCTCGCCCTACGACATCTTTCTGGCGAACCAGAAGGCGCCCGTCTGGTTCCCCGGCCTCATTTTCGATGTGACCACGGCGAACCAGATCTGAGTGCTGCGTCGTCATGAAGAGCCCGACATGTCTTCTTCATGAGCCCAACAAATGTCTCATCGCCGACCGATCTCTCACCGCAATTCAGCTTAAGGAGTTAACGTTGGTCATCACTCACTTTTTGCCCAGGTCGGGGGACCCGGGTCAATTTCCGAGGGTCTACTGCAGCCACGCCTGCAGGCTTTGGAAGTTTTGGGCGTAGCATTGATCACTTCATAATATGACAGACCGAGCCTTTGGGGCCAACCTGACCTTCACCTCTACGAAAACGGTTTGCAAGGGCCTGATCGCCTGGGTTTTGGTTGATTTGATGCGTCAGCTTTGCTGCCGTCCAGCACTTTTGGTACGCGTCAGTGCGGCATTCCCAAACCCACGACTTAAATCAACCCGTTCCCTTTTCAGTACGGCTGATTCCGTCCCGATGATCTCAGGGAGAGCCAACTTTGGCACCCTGTCCTGGGATGATCGACAGTCCGGGGCCCAGTGATCCCGAGTATGAACAATGGGGTAGCTTCTGTCGTATAGTTAGGTCCGATCTGACGCCATTAGAGATCGAGTCTTGGGGCCTCAACACTGAGAAGCCGGCTGTTTAGCGATCAAGATTACGGCAAAGGGAACTTGCAAAGTAATAACGGGTAGCTTTCACGACACGAAATAAACCACTGTCAAAACTGGATGGATAGATTGACTGGAGCAGTCGTTAATGTACACACCGTTCGATGGGCTGTAGCCTCGACTCGGACTAATTGATACTTGGACCCCGAATGTGACTTTGATTTGATTTCGATAAGATTTGATTCGATCATTGATTGATTTGATTTCATTGAGCGTTGCAGCGATTAAATTGGCACGGTATCCGCCCAGCGATCCACCAATTCAACCCCGCTGGGCTAAGTGCCGAGCGCCGATAATCTCAGCAGGCCCCTCCACTAAGACGGGCTGATTCTCTGATTGATATTGAAGCCTGGTGACATCGATCAATCCGTACCTGTACAGTGTTGGGAACAGTCACCAGACGTCGCGTTGCCGAAAACGTCGGACTTTACAACGGGACGTTGAACTCACCAAAACGGGATGCAATAGTACCAATACGCCATTACACACCACCACGAAGTTTCTCCCTTTTTTTTTGAGAACCGAAATCCACTAGTGCCATCGACCCTTGTAAGGCGTGCTCCTTACATTCTCATGATCCTGATCCCTATGCCCATACTCCTTGATTGAAAGACTGATGAGAATAGGGGAGACCCAAGAAACGAAGTACCGGGCGGGTCAAGGACATCTACAAAGTAGCCAAGAATTAATTGCCGCAAAAAAGCCACGCTCATGTCCGTGCCTCCTCTGCCCAATCTGCTCCAGTCTCGAGGGCCTGGTGACGGCGGTCGAGGCTTCCGACGAGGACGGCGTGGTGGACCTGCCTCATCGTCCGGACCCGGTAGCCAAGATGAGGTAATTCAAGGCACGGACACCGACGCTGCCGTGTCGCGGCTTAGTGCTGTTAATTTGGGATATCTCGATGATCCGTATGCCCAATACTTCGTGCAAAGCGCCCATGGTCCGGGCAGCCGCCGGCTTCCCATCATCAATCGAGGTGCGCAGAGTCGTTGAGGAGATGGATTTGCGGGCTGTGCAGTTTATTCTGCATCGTACGAGATCTTTTTTTTTTTGCTCACCTTGGGTTCACCTATAGGCACGTATACGAGGACTACAGCCGTAGACACTCTCATCAGCACTTTTCTGTCGTCCGGGGACAGCTCGGCAGGAGTGTCGCGGCAGATCGTCTCCCTAGGGGCGGGCACCGATACCCGCCCGCTGAAACTTTTCGCAAAGCCAGGCCAGAATGGCCTCGTCTACCACGAGATAGATTTCCCTGCTGCCTGCGCAAAGAAGCTGCGCACAGTACAGGCTGTGCCAGTCCTTCGCAACATCCTCCCGAACCCATCCGAGTCCGAAAATGGTTCTTGGAGCGCGCAACTTCCAAGCGGAGGTGAGTACTGGTGCCATGGAGTCGACCTACGCAGCTTGATCCAAGGCCAGGAGGAAGGCGGCGGAAAATCAAGTTTGCCCGGGCTGAGAACGGATGTCCCCACGCTCCTGGTATCAGAATGTTGTCTGTGCTACTTGGAATCGCCAGATGCGGAGCGGATCATAAGGTGGTTTACGGATAAAATTGCCAGCATTGCCATTTTGATATATGAACCGGTGAAACCAGATGATGCTTTCGGGAAAATGATGGTATCGAATCTTGCCGCGAGAAGAATCCGCATGCCGACCCTTGAGGTTTACAAGGAACCCAATGACCAGGCGAAGCGGCTCAAGGAAGCCGGTTTCTCTACAGTAAAGGTCTTGACAGTGCATGATATTTTCGAGAAGTGGGTATTGCCGGAAGAGAAGGTGAGGCTCGACAGACTTGAAGGACTGGACGAAATTGAGGAGTGGGTGCTGCTCGCCAGCCATTACATCGTTGCATGGGGATGGGCCGGGACTGGGTTTACCATGGCAGATGAGAGGGGATGCGTCTCGACGACTTGATTAGCAAACACGAATAGACACGATAATGTATTCATTCCTCTTCTATCTCTCTTGACATTCAAATTTCAGATAAATCTTAAGTCTCGTCCTTCGCGACGGTCACTTGGTTGAAGTGGAAGTTGAGAAGACTCTGTCACGTGATGAAAGCGCGTTCACAATCCGGTTGCGGTGTGGCTGACTTCAACACTCACTTGCATCGTTTCGCCTTCTTTCATCAACGCCATCGCTCTCTTTGTTATATACTCGTGCGCCCTTTTATCGACTTTTTATTGTTTAAATTTGTATTGCTGTTTTATAGTACTGGGCTCTTTTTCCTTCCAAGGAGAAAGATCTTAAAACCCCCCAAGCACACGATCGAGACAAGATGGCGGACTCGCAGGAGAAGAATTACAAGTATCGGCAGGAGATCAGCCAGGTAGGTCTCGTCACGAGCAATGATATTAATGCTGAATTCCTTATATGGGGATTTTTGGACTTTTTGGTAGAGTGTTATTGTGCATCGGAGACATCATGGAAACAATGAGTGGGAGGACCCTCTGGAGCTGCGGATGTGGATATGGATTCCGATCAAGTGTGGAAGTCGCCATCGTCAAGTGTCAAAGAGGCTCTTTTGTTGTGTTTCGACTCCCAATCCCACTCTAAAGGCATGGTAGCGCTTGCCCTTAGATGAAGGGCAAGTATCTGCCTTCCTGGGCCTGGCCCTAGATTGTGGCGCTGGAGATTGATGGAACTGGACTTTACACACTTCACACACTTCACACACTTCATACCCTTCTCGTCTCTCTTCCCACACACCATTTTTCTTCTCTTTCCTTTCATCTCCAAAGCAATCCGGTGAGCCCCCTTTCATTACAAGAACTACTACATCGTGTAGTGATGAAGCCCTCTTCAGGCGCAGTCGATCCCCCCGAGCAGCGGCACCAGCAACAGAGTCCAGAAGAATATCACAAAACCACGATGACACACTCGTCAGATCCTGTACCAGCTGGCCAGCTTGGGGAAAGTGTGGAAACATCTCCTACAAGCCTAGACAGTGTCTTGTCCATGGACATCAACACCCTGACTACAACTACAGCTTCGCCATTGTCGCAGCTAGTGGAGCAGATCGTTGGCCCAGCTCTATTCCCTACTTGTGAACCTGCCGTCTCACCCCAAACAGGTTTTGATCCCGGTTCTAGCGAGAGTTCGCCAGTACCCCCTGATACGCTCGACGAGCTTGTCGATTTTACCACCATAGAAACAGCAGAAACCCCCTTGCAACTCACGAAGGGCGTCAGCGGCTCTTCCGGTGAGCCTGACCTTGTGCGGCAGGCTAGTGGCTAGGATCAGCAGCCAAGCGCGAAGAGGCAGAAGCGCAGGACCATTGCAGAGCGCGTCCTGCGACTTGACGAAATTTCACCCACGCCCCCCATGCCTCAGCACGGAAAGGAGAGCCAGCATCGGTTCAGAGCGCGGCTAATGTGGCTCATCGAACAGATGATGTATGTCTCGGGAGAAACCGCGGAACCATCGGTTGAAACGACTGGCATCATCGAAGATATTGTGCGACAGCAGGTTATTGAGCTGGTAAGCATACTATCTATTGAACGCAAGAAAAACCCGGCTTTGCACTCACTCTTTCCCCCCTACAGCTTCGCAACTGCACCGAGCTCGCTGCTAGACGAGGTTCTCGATCGATCGGCATCAACGATTTAATCTTCCAAATCCGACACGACCAGGCTAAGGTGTCTCGACTCCGAACCTTCCTCTCCTGGAAGGATGTTCGCAAGAATGTCAAGGATTCAGACGACAAGGGCGGCGATGCCGATCTAGGCGCTGCGGAGGACCCCGTTGGCGGAGTTGTACCCGGAGGTCCCGTCGATGATACTGCCAAGAAGATCAAGACGTCCAAGACCACCCTCCCTTGGGAGCCTAGCTCGTTCTACAACCAGGAAGTCCCTGAGCGCGACGATGAGGAGGATGAAGAAGAAGAGGCTATGAACCACATTACACTCCAGCGCCTCCAAAAGGCGGACGAACGCACCAAGGTCATGACAAAGGAAGAGTACGTCACTTGGTCGGAATACCGTCAGGCGTCCTTCACTTTCCGCAAGAGCAAACGATTCAGGGAGTGGGCCGGATTCGGAATTGTCACCGACAGCAAACCGTCCGATGACATTGTCGATATCCTCGGCTTCCTTACCTTCGAGATGGTGCAGACCCTGACCGAGGTCGCCCTAAGTGTCAAGGAGCAGGAGGATGTCCTCCACCGCGCCCAGAACGGCGGCGACAAGGCCGCTGGTGGAAACAAGAAGCGCAAGCTTAACCAGGGCCTCTTTGATCCCCCGAGCGAGGGTAGGTCGCCTATCGAGCCGAGGCATGTGACGGAGGCGTTTAGGCGTCTGCAGCAGCGACCCAAGAAATCGAGGGCTATGTTGAACGGCACGAGACTGTCTCATCGGACTAGTCTCAATATCGTGAGTCTTTGTGTTCTTCTCACATGTTTGTTGTTATTGTTAAATGTCTCTGCTAACCACCTTCACTACATAGTTCTGAGGGCATATCTCCTTTGCCTGGTCTCTTCGGTATCGACTTGGGCGTTTTCCTTTTCGTTCTGCGTTTCTTCCTCCCCGGATGATACCCTCAATTTTCGCAATCACGCATCGTCTGTTTCTAGGTGTCTTAGGAGTTAGAAGGAAGGAAATGGACAGCAATCTGCTTTCGGCGCAAAAACGGTTGTTTCTTGCGAATGGGTGTGTGTATTTCGCCTTTTCCAGTCTCATGAGTCTTCTTCTATATGATTATGCATCCCCCGACTATAAAAAATGTGCGCGCCCTATAAAGTCGAACGCCAAAATGCCAATATGCCCAGAGTAATATCTTCAATGCCAATTAATACATCCAAACATGACTCCATTTCAACTCCTCTCCACACCCTTGCCCTTCTCCGCCAAAGTCCCCATGCGTCTCGAAACCGTCGCATCCCTCCTAAACCTCGTCCCCACCCTCCTCAAACTCCCCGGCACAACAACCTGATGCTCCCCGACCGCTGCTGTCGCCGTTACCTCCTCCCCTTCGGCAGCCTCCTTCGCTTTACTCGCCGCTGCCTTTCCTCTAGCAACAAGCGCCCTCTTCCTCCTCTGCACCCACCTCGGAACGGGCCCGCTATACGTCGCGGCCCTCCTAAGACCAGCACCGTCGCTAAAGCCACCCTCGGCACTGACTCTCCTACCCTGGTGGTGCGGCGCGCCGGGAAGTTCGGTGAAGCGCGTGCTCCCGCGGCGGATATACGTGCCAAAGTCGGGCTGGGCGAGCATGCCGCCGCGGAAGGCATTGACGCCGACGATGAGCTTAGCCAGCTCGACGAGCTCCTCGACGTATTCGATAATCTCCATGTGCCCCGACGTAGCGGCGTTCCACGAGAGGATCTTATGGCGCGCGGCGATCTGCGCCGTCGTGTCGAGGGAGGAAACGGACGACTCGCAGTCGGAGTGTGGGGATTCGGTCGTGGCGCTGGCATGGCGCTGGCGGCGGGAGGCGACGACTTCGCGGACGCGGTGGATGAGGCGGAGCTGCGCCGTGCGGTTGGAAGGAAGGTACTGCGGAAGCGGGAGGCGCGTCGTCAGGGCCTCGTTGACGGCGAAGATGCTAAGTGTCACGCCGCCGGCCACGTTGCGTCTGTAGGTGTAAATGACGGGATTAAAGTCCTCGAGGATGGAGAAACCGTAGTTCTTCCGCAGGCTGACGACGTTATCCATGCGGTCGAGAATCTGGTGCAGCACGAAGATGATCTCGGCATACACGGGCACCAGGGCCTTGAAGTCGCCCTTGAGGCGCGGTTCGCTGACGCAAAAGGGCAAGAAAGTTTCGGCGGCGGCGAGGGCCGCTTGCGTCTTGTTGCGGGAGGACTCGAAGGCCGAATAGACCCGCGTCGAGTGTTGTTTTAGTTCTGGGTCATCGATGCCGAAGGACACGGCTCCCTGCATGTAGACGAGCTCGCGGAGGGCGGAGGAGAGGGATTCGATGAGGCGGTCTCGGGCTCGGACGGGGTAGAGGCAGATTTCTACGAAGATGGCGACGACGCCGCCGATGAGGAAGGAGACGAGGCGGGCGTAGAAGTTGACGACGGCAACGCCACTTTTGTTAAAAGATGCTGGTAAAAATGTTAGTGAATTCTACAAATAGAGATATAAATAGAAAAGAGACAACTCGGGAGCCGGGGGAAAGAAAAGAAAAAGGGAGGGGGGGGGGGGGGGGGGGGGGGGGGTTTAGAGGTGAGATATTACCGCATGCCACGACAGTCGACGTTGTGATACAAACAATCGCCGACTTGACGTACTTCGTCTCCACCTGCATGTAAGTCGACGGGATAATGCCAAGCATGAGAATGATAACAGCGACAGCATGGTTACCGCTACCAATGGCATAAGCAGCATAGCCAAGCGTACAACCGACGATAACACCCAGAAGACGCATGAAGAAGACAAAGAGCGAGGTGCCGATAGCCACTTCGAAAACGAGGATGAGCTGCAGCGGAGCCCAAACGCCGCGGAGATCTGTGTACCAGATATGCCACGACGGCAGGAACCCGGGCCAGCTGACAAGCGCCACGGCAACGCACAGCTTAATGGCGTATTCGAGGTCGTCGTCGGTTCTCACCCATTCGATCGCGTCGGCGGCCTTTCCTCTGATCTTCATTATCCAGCTCTCCTTGCCTGGTTTCTTGGATCTGTGCTTTTCCTCGAACCTGACGGATTTCTTTTTCGGCTTCTTCGATTCTCGGGTGGTGGTCGTGCCGGCGTCGGAGCGGCCTGCTTCTGTATCCCTTGTCCTCCATTTTTTCACCGAGCGGTCCGTCCTGATGGAAATCGTATCGGCATCATATGTGGGATGTTCGCTATTACCGTTCTCAGCTGCGCCGGAACGAGCGCGCTTCCTTGCTTTCTTGGGCAGCACCATGGCGTCGTCCTCTCCGCCGAGAGACAGCCATTCAGCCCAGTCGGTGAAGTGAGGCCAATACACTCTCGGCTTATCGTTGCGCCGTTTCCTGGCTTCGACGAGGTGTCTCGCGTACCTCAGCATCTGGAGGATATGAATGGCTGTCTGACGTAGACCTAGGAGGAACGAAGAAACGAGAAAGGTCTCGAACTGGGGAAGAATGTCCTCCTCCTCAAGGTCGTCTTTGTTCCCGGTGAACTGCTTGAACTCGTCCATAGAATCCTCGTCGAAAGTCGAGATGGCCCTCTCGAAGCTGTCGATAAACATGTCGACCTCTTCCAAAAGCACGCCCCTGGGTGTTTTGGCGCCCGACGGTAGTTCTGGAACATCGTAACAGTAGGCGAGCGAGGTAATCAGAATGGAGACTGCTTCCTTGAGAGCAACCTGGAATTCCTTAGTCGGCGCTCTGATACGACCAACGATGGCCTCGAGTAGATCGGCATCACAGGCTTCTATTTCGCGAGTCGGCTTCACGAGCTTTAGCTTTTCGAGAAACTCTTCCTTTGGCGTCGAATGGGTCCTTGCGGGGCCGGGAGGACGCTTGAAAAAGATTCCCGACGATGTCGCTTCGGGCACCGCGTCGACCATCTCCTGGCTATGCCGAGTTGTTGGCGGGGCAGATTTTTCCGTCACCACGGAAGAATTATCGTTGTCGCTGGGCTCGTCTTCCTCCTCGATCATGACCAGCTTGTTTTCGCAGGCACCCACAATCCTGATGGTCTCCTGGACGAGGCTCGCCATGCCTTCGGTGGTGATCGGCCGAAGGATATCCAAGGGCAGGGCCGAATAGGACAACTCAAAGTTGACTTCTCTCTGGACGTCTTTGCACCTGTTTAGGCTGTGTCGGAGGTCTGATTTGGCGTTTGTCAAAGACAATAGGGGTGACTCGTCCTCCTGGGGCTCCTGGGGCTCCTTGTCCTTCTTCTTTTTCTTCTTCTCCTCTGGTTTTCTGCTCCTCATGTGCGCTAGGGGGTTGTGCAGCACTGAGCGCATTCTAGATAGGGCCGTGGTCTGCTTCCTTTCTAGCGTCGCTAACGTTACGCTGGTGTCGACAGTAGTTAGCTTGGTCAGCGGACGAGTCAGGACATGTTCAAGCTCGGCTTCCGAGGCAATGAACCACGAGGTGGCTTTAGAAAGCGTGTCAAACGTCTCAGATAAGGCATGTATGGTAGCTTCACCCAGGAAACTAGAGGACGAATCGGGATATAGCACGAGACCGAAAAAGGTGACGATGGCTTGTCCGGTGAGAACGGGATACATGATAAGAGACAGCAGCGAAACGGTGAAGTGAAGGGGCCTCGCGGCTAAGATAATGAAGCTGGTCATGAGGAGGAACCAAACGAAGCTAAACAGCTTCGGGGTAGAGGATCGTAAGAAGCCATGGGTCATCGCGGAGCAGAGGGCAAAGATGGCGCGGATAGCGAATGCAGCGTTTATGTTCGAGTCGACGACGAGACCGGAGAGATACAGCCCAAGCAAGCCCCAGGCCGTGCCGACAACAACGCCAGAAAGAACTAGGATCTGAGTCTCGATCATGGAACCGACGCGCTGGGCCGGGTGAGAGAAGACAACCTGGAGCGGTATAAAGAACGTGTCGACTCCATAGGCCCTGATGACCGAAGGCAGGATGGAGATAATGACGGCAACGGTCATAGCGAGGTTGTACTTTAGTAACCGCCTCCAGCGATTGTTCGCTTTGAAATGGTCTCGCAGGTCCTCGAGCCAGGATTTTATAGTCTTGGATAAGGTCATTGTGAGAGAACTACTGCCATTGCCACCGCCGTACGGGACGGCGGAGACAATGTGCGTGATGAGGGGTTTGGAGGACCAAGACCGGATGATACTAGGTGAAGGAGTCGGCGGAAAGAGCGGAACGAGGTATTAAGCGTAAGAATTCTGGATACAAGCCCATGACGGGAGAGAACTACGGTATCCCTTTTGCGTGTGTGGATGACGAGAGTGGTTAAGATCGCAAGGAGTGGCAGGGACAGTTCATGCGGGTTGCTGTCGGATCGGATGCGAAGACACGCCAATTGGAGGTGGGTGAGCTTGAAGCGTCCTAAGAAAGAGGCGAGAGTGCGGGTTACGCTGCTGGTGAAGGTGTATGTATGGGGATCATCGATCATCTGCTATGGATGTTCAAAAGACTCGTAGGGCAGATCTGGAGATCCATGGAGCCACGGACTGCGAATAACATCGAGAGGATCCGGAATTAAGGATTTAATAATCAAAGCTGGATGGTACGAATGAATTTAATACTGCAGGGATGTAAGAGCCTAGGCGAGATGAGAGACGGAGAAAAAAAAGAGAAGAAAAAAGGCCAGAGCCCAATTGGTGGGACCCGGAGCCGAAAAGTTCATAGGACGTTAACCCGACTCGGGTCTTCAATTGTGCTTAGCTCTGGCAGCTCATGCGAGTGAGTCGAAGTCGAAGTCGAAGTCGAAACATTACATTTGGTCAGTAATTGATCGAAGCAAGTCGCCTCCTTACTCCCTGAAGGACACTAAAGGTTTGCCCTCGGTTCATATTCACTGATGTGCCCCAGTTGCATCGTATTCTGTTTCTATTTTTAGGACATTTTCAACGGTCGATTTGTACTATGTGTACGCTATATATCAGTTCATGTCCTTCCATCCATCTTGGCAAACCTCGAAAAGAGAAAAAAAAAAAAAAAAAAAAAAAATTGGGACCTGGCGTTGATTATCTACTAAGTAAACATTCAAAGAAGTGACGCTGCGGTACTTTCGTTGAGCTTTTTGAATCTAGTGAATCTTCTGCTTTGCGCTAGAACCGGAAGAGTCTCAACTCGAACGTCCACGGAAGAGGCAGCAAGAATCTCAACAAAGCAGACGCAGCCCGTCATAGATACCGGATCCGTGGGGTCCGCTATGCGGGTCCTTGCCAGAACCAACTCATCTCGCCCCGAGGTTACAAGCGCCCATCCAAGTTCGAATCCCGGCTAGTTGCAAGAGGTGTGTCGCATAGGGATAGCACGATGCCTGTCGAAACGTGCTCGTAGCATGCATACATGTATTCATCGCGTAGAAGTCTCGCGAGTGTCGAGGAGTATCAACTCCAGGTATATCGAGGCTTCCGACATTCCTCCCCATAGCAAGAGATTCCCAAATAACCCTATTCTGTCAAAGCCATAACCGAATATCCCAAATACCAGTTCGGGTAGCGCAGTAAACCCAGGACATATTAATCCGTTGTAACCGTTTCCTTTCGTTGTTGTTGTTGTTGTTGTTTCTTCTTCTCCGGCGTCCTTTTCCCCCGTTGTCGCCCATTCCATCCCCTCTACTCCAACTTATCCAAATGCTCCAACCTCGTCAAAACAACCTGCTTACTCGTCTCTTCAATCTCCCCCGCCAAAAACACCTCGTCCAGGATGGCATACACCTTGTAAAAGTTGAACACGAGATCGAGCTCGCACACGTTGCCGAAGAAGGCGTCGAGCACCTCGACGAAGAAGTGGATGGCCTCGAGGTACGCTAGCTCGTTGTCGTTGGTGTCGACGCACGCGCAGAAGAAGAGGCCCGCGTACCGCCGGTAGACGATCTTGTTGTTGCGGAACTCGACGAAGTTGGATTGGTATTTTTGGTCGCGGGGGGCTACGAGGCGGTGGACCTGGGGAGAGAAGGGCAGGGTCAGCTATTTTGCGCAAAGACTAGGTGCGTGCCGTTTTGCGGTGGGGCTGGGACATCCGGAAGGTGGTAATGAATGAAGGGTAGAAGAAGAAGAAGGAAAGAAACTTGCCTCGCCCTTGAGCTTTATCTTCTCCTCATCGCTGTATGGGACATACCACTTCGCCAACCGGGTCTTACCCCTGAAGCACAACGTCAGTGTCCCCCCTCTGCAAAGGAACCACGCGCTGCCAAAGGGACTCGTTGAGGGAGGCACTCACTGCCGATTCTGTATTAGTATGAATGACAGCATCGTCACTGTCTTCTCATGCTCTTCCTGTGTTCAACAGCCCCTCTGCAACAGCGAAGATGGAGGTTCAGGGGGGTGTTTCGAATTGAAAGTTGACGCTGGGGTGCACGTGGAAACCACATTTTAGCGGTCCGCACCGGCCTGGTGGTTCTAAATTACACACACCAGGGGGGTTGTTGTACACGATGAACAGGGGCCTCAGAGCGCGCTTAGTTAAGCGACGCACCGATGGCATGGCGGGGTAATCGCCTGCCACTGGAATGATCGTGCTATGTAGGCTTCGACTCGAGGCGCAGCCTTACGCATATTGACCTCATCGCATCACCAAGCTCTCTCTGCCTCGACCCCAACCCCCGACCTAACCCCGGACCACATCTACCACCCACCGCGACACCCTCAAGCTCGATCCAATACCCAAGTCCACTCTCCGAGTCCGGAACCATACATCAAAATGCCACCTCCAACAGCAACGTTATCAGTCCGTCTGCCCTTCCCCCACACTTCTAGCTTCACTCCCATTAACAACATCTCTCCCCCACAGGCCAAACTCAAAGTCCAACTAAAACTCTCCGTCGCCCGTCTCCGCATGGTCCAATCCCGCGACGCCTCCCTCACCAAATCCTCCCACCGAACCGTAGCCCAGCTCCTCGAAGCCCACAAACCCGACAGCGCCCGCATCCGCGTCGAGTCCATCATCCGCGCCGATATCCTCACCGAGCTACATGAGATCCTCGAGCTCTACTGCGAGCTCCTCCTGGCGCGCTTCGGGCTCCTCGACGCCTCGGGCATCCTGGGCGCTTCTTCCCGCGAGTCGCATAATAATCATAACCAGCAGCAGCCTGTTTGCGATCCTGGGTTGGAGGAGGCTGTGAAGAGTATTATTTATGCGGCGCCGAGGACGGAGATTAAAGAATTGGTTGTGCTGAGGGCGCTGTTGGGGGATAAGTTTGGGAAGGAGTTTGTGCTGAAAGCTATGGAGGGTGTGGAGGGCGGTGTTAGCGAAAAGGTGGTTAGGAGATTGGGCGTCGAGCCACCTAAGCCGCAGCTCGTCGAGGGTTATCTTGAGGAGATCGCGAGGGCGTATAATGTTGACTGGCCACGGGGTAGATTGGCAGCCGAGGAGGAAGGCACTGAAGAGCTGGATTTGCTAATTGATATGGACGAGGACGAACGCGGTGATGACGATGACAAGGGAAGTGGCGGCGGGCAGGCTCTCGCTGAGCTTGGGCTTCTCGAGCAAGACCCTCTGCCCGCTTCCCCCGAAAAGGCGGGAAATGCGCCAACCGAGTCTACAGGTCCCACGAAGCCAAGCGAAGCTCCGAAACCAGCCGGCCCCCCGCCGAAAAAGCCCGCGACGCCAAAAGCCACGGAACTAAAACCCATGCCCAAACCGCAGCCCCAAAGGCCGCAAGCTTCGAAACCCGCCGTCTCGAAGCCCGCCCCTACGGTTTCGCCGGGGAGTGGTATCCCCGACCTGTCCGAGTTGGAGCAAAGATTTGCCGCACTGAAGAAGCTGGGATGAACGCCGTCTTCTCTTTCTCTCTCTGCGGGGGTGGGCTGTAGTACTGCGGTCCGTTAATGTGATGGGGGTGGTTTTCGTCATTCGTGGGGGTGCTAGCGTTCTTATTTCTTCCTTTTGGGTTCTCTTTTTCTCTCCTCTATTTCCTTTTGCCGTGGTTACCATGTTACTAGGATACCAATCCTCAGCTGTAAGACATAGCGTTCTCAATTCTCCGCACATTCTAGCATGCTACCCTCGAGTTTTTTTTCAACTAGCAACTTCTTGGAAACGATATTATATATTCCATACGAATAACTTTGTTTCTGCCTCCGGGTCGAGAAGCCCGGTATGCTTCTGATACCTGTACGTACGCCCCCTTTCCGGACCCATGCGTGGGGATTTGGATATCGCCAGATCCTGCCACGGAACCTCTCTGTATTTTACAACCAATGCCAGTAATGGCATTAGACCTTCGAAGTCAAAGAAAGAACACAACTCCTCATCGCACGAGAAAGTCTTCTTTGGCTTCCTCTCCTGTCTCATTACTCGAGTAGTGACCTTTCCGCTTCCACCTACACACCCAACTTTTCCCAACCACGATCCCACTGAAGTTTATGTTGATGTTGTCTCCGCGCTCACCGGCTCCACCCCCACAGGCTCTATCTCCACAGGTTCTACCTCCGTGATCATAGGATCGGGATCAACCCCATCCGTGGCATCTCCTTGAATGACCTTGCCGCACTCGTAAGTCACTCGCCTCCAGCCGCACGGGTCGCTGGCGTCCTTGATCCAATCGACGGTAGGGAAGTAGTGGTCGTTCTTCTTCATCGTCACAACCCAGGGCACGCAGTCAAAGGTAACTGCCTTCAAGCGGAAGTCTAGCATAGTAGTGTTAGCATCGCGGCAGATTTTACTCGGATTAGGAGGGAGGAAGAGTGCGTGAGCGTGAAGACTTACAAGTATTGTCAGGGATTTCCCGGACGGTGGCAAGGAAGGTATCAAGATCCTTCGTGGGTTTACCATTGACGTGGGTGATAAAGTTCGTAGGAGCAAGGCCATACTGGTACGCCGGTGATCCCCGAGTCCTGGCCGAGACGTAAACCTCACTGGGCAGCTTGCTGATCTGCTGACGAACGGCATGGTGAGGGCGATGCAGGATGGCGCCGCAGAACCAAATAGCATGGTCGGTCTCGACGTCATCAGCCAGCACCGTGCCCGACTTCATTTGAATCTCCTCGCAGTTCCGGACGATGACGGCATCCAGCTTCTCGTGAGAGTACATGACGTCGAGCTCGGATACCTTGGTGATGATCTTCCCGTTGAGCGTGAGGAGGATGTCGCCCTCGAGCAGCACGCTGCCTTGGACGGGATTCCTTTCGAACGTCCGCTTGCTCACCATGAACAGCTGGTGATGCGACTTGTTGACCTCGGCAACCTTCTTGATCCACTCCTCTGATACGCCCATGACCCTCGCCTGCGCCATGTGGATGGCTCTGAACTCGACCGAGAGCATCCGCAGTTTCGGCACAATGCCCTGCTGGATCTGGGAGATGACGGGCAGCAACGTCGGTGTCGCGAGACCAAGGTGATACTCTTCGTCTCGTCCCAAACACGAGCTGTGCTCGCCGAGGTAAGTGAGCCAGAGCGCCTGCACCTTACCGTCGGAGCCAACGAGGACTCCGCTGCCGCACTGGGCGGCCAGGTTGGTGTCGACGGTGATGGCATCGACGTTGACGGCGCGGTACCGCGGAGCGCCGGAGTTGGCGGGGATGGCCACGGCCGTAATCTCGGTAACTGTCGTGGCGGCATGCACAATACGGCCGATGCGGTTGTACCCGATAAAGTGCGTCGCAGAACCTTGCACAAGTTCGGTGGTGCCGAGCTTAGCGCTTAGTACCGGCGCATCAACCAGCTTAGGATCGTATTGGATGACGGCGTAATTCTGGAGCGGGTGCATGAAGACCACTCTACCGTCTACGATGATGGAATCTGCAATGGTAATGGTGATATCGCAGAGGTCGTAGGGAACGATGGCCCTTGAAATGATGACAAGACCCTTTTCGGCATCAATGACGAGGCCCATGCCCCATTTTCGGTTCTTGGGGAAGCCGTCGAGTTTCAGGGGCATGCTGCAGTTCACATGCACGAAGCTTCGTACAAGATCGCCGACAGCGGGGTGAGAAGTGTGTTCGAGCTGAATGAACGAGGCCGAGCGCGTAACGGGGGGGATTTGGGGGAGAGGCTTGCCGATTTCTTCAAAGTCCCAGAGCCCAGTTACATCATTGCGCACGGCGAGCTTCATCTTCGAAGACCAGTGACGATCAATGTACAAGACAGAGGTGTTCAGTGTATGGAGATCGCGGAGATGCTTGTAGGTGACGACGACGCGCGACCTGTCCGGTATCGACTTCATCACCTCGATGAAAGCGTCTAGGTTTGGCGTCTTCTTGTGATCGACAGACTCAATGATCCATCCGTTATCAGCACCACTAAATCGGAAGGACCCCGTCGCATCGCAGACGTAGACCCCTCTGCAAGCGACGGCATACATGCGCGCCTGTTGGTATGAGAGATCGTGGAACTGACCACCAGCGACCGTCAAGAAGCGATCAGGGGTAATTTTATGCAGGTCACCCACTTCAACCTCAACCTCGACGTCCTCGCCTCCGCGCTGGAGCAGCAGTTGAATCTTCTTACCAACGCTAAGATCTAGAATCTCATCAAGGCGAATGAACTGGGTCAGGAGTTCACCGTTGACCTTGATAAGAACGTCTCCCTCCTCGATTTTGTTGTCCGAAGGACCTTCGGGAAGAACGATCTCGGCGACAAGCATGCTGTTGACTCCAGGGAACTTCTCGCGAACGGACGTCTCCCAATCGGGCGAAAGGCCGAGCCGGCGGCACTCGTCAAACGGCTTGAGAAGGAACTGACACTGTATCGTTCCTCGATCGACGGGCTTGCCTTCTTGAATGCAGCGAAGAGCTCGGGCAGCGCGGTCAAGGGGAAGGAAGTAATCGGTCGAGGCACCGTCGGTACGGCCGCCGGCCTGGATGGCGATGGCGTGGCCATCAATGTTGACAACGGGACTGCCGGAACTTCCTCCCGTGGCGGCGGCGTTGGCTTGGTAGTAGCATGTGTTGAAATCGCTGTAACCTTCTTGGTATTCGGGGGCGTTTCGGTCGAGACGACTAATAACACCTGAAAGAATACAGAGTTTTTCACCGGCATCGTTACCAACGACTCGAATCTCGATTCCGACTATCAGGGAATGAAAGAGTTAGCACATTTTCCTCCCCCTTTCATTCACTTTTCCGAAAACGCTACATGGGGCCCATACCCTTCGCCAGATCTGGTCGTATTTGTAGAGCTGTTACCGGCATATACTTAATAGCCTTAGGGTCGAATCGTAGGATGCCGAAGTCGTGCACGGGATCTCGGTATACAGGGTAGGCGTCCACTTCCTCGTGGTTGTCAAATACACAGTAGCCCCAGAAAGGACCGGCGCCGACGACGTGCCGATTCGTCAAGATGTACCTAAGAAAAAAGCGAAATTTATGAGTATGCCTGAACAACATGCGATTTTTCTCTCCATCCTTCCTCTCACATAGAGGGGGGGGAAATGCGCCATGAGGCAAAGGTGCTTGCTTACCCCTTTTCAGCATCTACTACGAAGCCAGTCGCCTCACTTGTGTCGGCAAACTCGGTATCAAACGAGCACGGCTGGCAGAAGCGGATAGAAACCACGGTAGGCACGACCTTTCCAATAGTCTCTTGCCACTCAAGAGTGTCGTGAGACAGCTTTAACATGGCAGAGAGCTGTGAGGCGTTGACTTCCATCTCGGAGTCGGATTCGTGGGCGTAGGCGTGATGATTATTCTGAAGATGGCCGTCAGGGGTATTATCGCCGGCGGACACCTTGCCATTCAAAGACCGGTGTTGTTTCTGTGGCCGCGCCTCCGTCGAGAACGAGGCCTTTCTCTTAGCTCGGGCGGACATTGCGTAATGTATACGGATGGGAGGGCGCCGGATGGCTACGCGGAAAAAGGTTGTCGGAGGTGTCGACGACGCAAAGGGGGGCGGGGATGGTCAAGGCTTCGGGTTTCGCGGGTATCCTGTTTTCTTCGGTCACACGGGCACTCTTGGGGGTGATCAGGTGGGAAAGGCCCGTTGCGAGCTGCGGCGAGTGGTGAGAGGTGGGTGTGAGAGGAAAGAGCTCGAGGCTGCCGGCGACGGAGTTAGTAGGTGGTAAATGCAGAGATGGCGAAGTCTTAGAAGCAACGTCGGGAGGCGACGAGTGCGGATACTGGAGGCCCTTTGTTGTCCGTGGATAGGGAGGGGCTCTGGCGAGTGGGTTGGGAGGTGTTGGGGAGATTTGACGAGGGAAGTGACAAGGAGGGTGTTGAGGCTGACAAAACAGCCAAGACAGCGCAGGGCAGGGCAATGGAGAGGAGGAAGTGACAGAGTTTGAGGCAGAGACGTACTATTTTATGGGTGCTTGCGAAAATGTTGCCGCAGCCGAGTTTGCGCAACAACCAAACAAGTCAAGCCCAGACTTCTACTTTGCAGACAAGAGAGAATAAGGAGGAGCGTGTCCAAAATGAATCAAACGATATTTGATTGCTATGCGTTCAAACAACATTCAACCAAGGTTGAAGGCATATATGAATCAAGGATTAAATCAGGGCCCTAGATTTGGTGTTGATGCAACATCGGATTAAATCAAACCACATTCCAACACATCGGTCCTCTGGATAATAAACAGGCTCGAGATCTCCTGCTCTTGGTGCTCTGACTGATGGATCAACGGCTTCAATGTTTTGTGAAGGGATGAATTTGCCTGGCTGGGCTCTTGTGCATCCTGCCTCGGTTCTGGGATGGGATTAAATCAATGTGACTGGGGACGAGTGGAAGGAGCAACTTTGAAAGCTGAATTTTCTTTTTTCTTTTTTTTTTTTTTTTCCTTTCTTTTTTTTGTCTCTCCCATTTTATGTTTGGCGTCTGCGTTTGCAGCGTCAAGACGCGAGGCTCAGCGCAGTTGGAATTACCGTGTTAATTGGCTGCTTCAGCACTTCCATTGTACCTATTCTTAATCTTTGTGCCTGTCAGGTACATTTGTTCCTCACTGATCAATGTACTCCACACAACCTTGATAGTTTTAATGGGTCAATTGGTTGGCGTTAACTTGAACATCATTGATCCATCGTGTCTCCGGGTGCAGGTACCTTTGTACCGAATACCGAACTTTGTACTTACAGATCCTTAGAAACCAGGTACAACATACTATGGACAGGGATCTGCCAGGTGCATCACCATAGCCCCCAACTGTCATCGTCGTCCTGTACCTTTGTTCGAGGCAATCGGCACTTGCCCCTCGACAGTATCAAGGTGGTGTCTGTCCAGCCAGGCAAGGCAAGAACAGGCAGAATCCTGGAGAATCCAGAGCACATAAAAGGTGGTGGATCACCCGAGTCCGATATTTCCTTTCCGTATTATTCCTTCTTGTTCGCTCTATGATTCCAGGATGGAGGCATCCGAGGTCATCTCCTCTCATCAGCTGGGCCATCGTCGCACACACTTCATGCAGGGCGCGACTCCATAGTAGAAAGGTGGGTGTGCCGGGTCGGGAGCACCAGAGTGGCTTAGTGTAGGAGTAGGCTACAGAATGCCTCTCCGAGGTAATAATAGTTTCGCAGTGACAGCCTGCTCGTCGTAACAGCATCCCAGACCCGTCCAGTTCTTGTGCCTACGTACTTATGGTTCTGCTCTTTCCGATAGCCTCGTAATTACGGGTGCGGGAAGCTAGAGTGGCAGAGCACGACTGCGTGCTGCTATACGGTACCACACCATTACATCCTACATACATACATACATTCACGACTTCTCCCCGATCCCGACAATCCCACCCTCCTGTGGATGCACCAAACCAGACAACCAACCACGTCCTTCACACCGTCCTCTGCGTCCATAAGGGTGTGCTGCGTGCTGCGTGCTTCGTACTGCTTGCCGCCGCCGTGTCATGCTTCTGGTCCTCCTCCTGCAGAGACTCCTGTCTAGACTGCAGGGCACGGCATGCAGCTGAGTGGGATCTATGGATGAAAGATGTTATTTGGCAGGGAAACCCCCTCCAAACTCGTAGGAAATCAAGTGTAGCTCGTGGCGAGTCCACTTACTAAACCCTTCCCAGTTCGGGATTGGCAGTTGACAGTCTAGGAAAGGAGCTGTGGTAGTCTTCTCACACTTACTTGCAAGATGTGTTTACTTTCTTGGAGCGATCGCGATCACGGGTTTGGCTTCATCATTAGGTTTGATATAGAAGTTTCTTTTTTATTCCACCCTCAGGTTTAGTTAACAATCTGAAGCGCCTGTGCCATGTTATACCCTTCTCCCTTTGGGAAAAGGGGGCTTTTCTTGCCTGTGGAAAATATCAATGTTGAAGAAAAGCGCGCCGTCTCAAGTGAAACGGAAGCGACTCATCTCTCTAACCAGAGTTATCTCGCTATCTTCTCAACGTATGAGCAACTCATATGGCTCCTAATACCAAACCCCTTTCATATCGCAAAAGAGAATTACTGATGCGAGATCAAGAAGAAAAGTGAAAGAAAAAGTTGCCTGGGGTCTCAAGAGAGGGCAATCATGAAGAAAATAGGAGAGAAGAAAAAAAAGGAAAACAACTAAAACCGGGGATATGCTCATTCCATCGAGTGGCGCAAGTATAAACGGGGCACTGGTCATTCACCAGCCGTCCAAAAAAAAAAAAAGGTGGTAGATGCGAATGTTGGAATCCTTAGGCGTTGTCGCCAATAGAGGAGGCAGCGGCCGCGTTGACCTCCTCGATCGAGCCGGGGACATCGATCTCATCATCAACGATCTCCGTCTTGACGCGCTTCTTGTTGGCAGAGCCTGTCGAATTTACGTTGAAAAGTTAGCATCTGTGATGCAATACGTCGCTCGGAGAGCAGTCCACCCAGCCGAGTAGGAGAAAAAAGAAGAGTGAGAGAACTTACCCTTGGGACGGCCACGGCGCTTCTTGACCGGAGTCTTGGGGACCTCATCGTCGGTATCCTCGATCTTCTCGACCTTGATACGAACACGCTTCTTGGAAGGACTGTTGTCCTCACTGGAGCTGCCCTGCTCCTCGTCCTTGACCTTCAGCTTGCGAGCAGCTCGCTTGCGGGCTACCGGGAGAGGGAATTCGAAACTTGTCAGTCGGGCAATGGTCGGAGTGGTGGTGAGGGGGATTGAGATAGATGGAAAAAAAAAAAAAAAAAAAAAAAAAAAAAAAACATACGCGAAACCTTAGGAGTAGGACTGCCACCATCGTCCTCTCCTTGCTTGGCCCTCATGTCAGACCAGAATTTGTGCCAAGCTTGTTGGCAGGCCTTCTTGGTGCGGCCCTTGATTTCGACTTTATCCCAGTCGACGTGGCCCTTCGTGGGACGCCACTGGTCGAGAACCTGCATGCACAGGTTGGCCTGCCTTCCATGTTAGCGTTGGGGATGCTATGACGCGGGAGAATGGCAATGGATGGGGTGGCTCAACTTACGCGCTCAGTCTCCGTCCAAGATTGGGAAGACATGGTGGCTTAAAGTTTGTGATTGAAAAAGCTGTGAGAGGCGTGGTTAGCTCTGAGTCCAGCGTGGTGATGAGAATGTCAAGGTGCGTTTCGAAACGAAGTAGAAGGAGAACACACTTAAATAAGAGTGAGAAGGAAGCTGTAGAAGATGTTTTGATGAAATGGAAATGGGGTCGTCCTCAAAGATGTTTCGAGGGGAAGAAGAGCAGCGGTGGTCGGTTGAGTATGAAGAGTGAGGAAGAAACAAGTGAGAGGAGAGGGCTGAAGTAGAAGGGAGGATAAAGGATGTAGAGGAGGGAGGCCAGGAGGGAAGGAGACAATATGAAAAGCTTCTCTTGAATAGGCGAGAGCTCTCCAGTCTCCAATCTCACCTTGCACTCGCCTATTCTGGGGTGCGGAAGGATCTAATATCTCGTCGAATGAATTTGCTTGGGAGATTAGGAAGGGGCCCTCTCACTTGAGAGGGTAAGAGAAGAAGGCGAGAACATCCTGTCCCTAGCACTCGCATAATTTGAATATTTAGATGAAATGAGGTACCTAGATTTCTCTTTGGGGCGAACCAGAGTGAACTTACTGCCTGGATTCTCTTGGATCTAGAGGCAAGAGAGGTCCAAAAGGCAGGGCCTAGTCAGGGTGATTAGGAAGCTACAACAGAATGAAAGAGTAGACATGCCAGATTGAGGAGATAGTGGGTATAGATGTAGGTTAAGAGAGAGGCGAAGTTATTTGTGTTGGTGGATGTATTTGATTCCAGCTGAAGCCAACTCTGGTAGATGAAGGAGAGAGAAAGAAAGAAACAAAGAATAGTATCCAGGCAGCTCAGGTGCACTCACCTCTTCAGCACAACATCAGAGACTGCTATAAATTTACTCCTATTGGGGATTTCGTAGCATATAGAGGCTCAGAAAATCTAAGAAGCCATCCACGGGATCTTAGAGAATCTGACAGGGCTCAAAGGGAGGGTGCAACCAGGGAAACTCGGCATCAGGTGCACTCTCCATACAAGGATGAAGTATTCTATCAATAAAACTCGTATGCTCCAGGAGATGTGTGAATATTTAATAGCTCTATGTTCTGCTGTTACTTCTTCAATCCTGTCATCGGAAGTGGACCGGGGACAACGCCGAAAGGTCATCTGTTGGTGCCCCGAAAAGGTGGGGCAGGGACCCGGAAGGAGGCCGAGGCCGAAAGTTAGCCCAAATTCCAAGTAAGATAGATTGTATCGAGGTGTCAACCAATATATTCGAGAAGCATAAAATAAGCTTTGCTATGAGACAAAACACCAGGGGCTATAACATCAAAGTTAGGGAGCCTGTGTTGACTCACATCCATCAAATGTAAGGCAACACAACACAGGCACACAGATAGCGCATGACTCCCGAGGGCGTATCTTCGTAAATTGATGAACTTCTATAGTTTGGCGTGATAGCTGCGTAAAGTCTTCCATGGCCGTTGGGAAAACAAACCGGAGAGGGTATCTGTCTCAAAAAATCCGGCTACTCAACACCAAGCCTGCCAAATATGGTTCAGAAAACAAGAGTCTATGCATGCATGTAAAAAACACATTTCCAGAGAAGAGGAGAGTCCTGTAATCGACCTCACAAAATCATAAAACTCTTCTCATACGACACCCATCTTGTCCAGCACATTCAAGTGTTCGTCTAACCGACGCTCATGCTCCTCGCATGCCGCCGCCCACCTCTTCCGCACTTCCCGATCCTGCCGCAGCCACTCCTTCCGCTCCCTTATCCGCTGTTTCTCGGCGGGTATCTCCTTGACGGTAATCGCTTGCGCATTGGCCATTTGCTTCTGCCGCTCTGCGAAATGGTTGACCATGATAGAATGATACACGTTCCACAGCGACAGGTACGTATTGAACGATCGGCGGTAGGTGCTTATAATATCGGGGGTAGGTCGTATGCCGTTGCTGCCCAGGGCGGTGGGAAACACTGGCGCAATGGGAGGGGTCGGCATGTCCATTGTGCGCGGCTTCGGCTTGTCCTGCTTGATGGGGATGCTCTCAGAGGGCTGGCTGGTGTAGGGTAAGCTCGATTTCAAATCACCAATGGACGCCAGCCCTGTGCCTTGAGGCACGAATGGAGGTACGTTTTTGAGCTCGCTGAAGGTGGCCCGGAATTCGTCTGTATCCTCCGATCCGCCGCTAGTAGGCTTAACTGTCGAGCGCATGGTAGGAGTTGAAGTGCTAGTCTTAGGCTTTGCCTCGCTGGCTTTTCCAGCACGCCATTCGGGTTTCGACGGTTCAACAGGCATTGCTCTCGCGCGAGGGGGTTGGGTCGGCGTGGAAGATGCCGGAGGAGGCGGGGAGTCGATATCCATGGCGAGAGGGCTGTCAACACGTGCAGCCCCGGAATTCCTAGACTTGGTTGACTTCGTATTTAGGTTTGCCGTCGGCTCTTCTGCCTCGTCACTAACCGTGGCACGATGTGGAGTCGATGTCGGCCGTGAGGTCGTGGATTTCTTTAGCGTTGAGCGCAAATTTCGGGTTGGCGACACTTGTGTGCGTTCGTTGGGTCGTGGTTCGAACGCTTGGGGTCCTATATCACTCCAATCCTTGGGGTCGAATTTGACGTTGGGAGTCTCGGGAGTCTCATCCACCGCTGGACTCTGATGTGAAGAGTCTGCAGCTTGTCTCGGCCTCTTGGCTGGGGACGCTTTACGACCAATGAAACCGCTTGACCTGCTTCGTCGAAGAGGTGTTTCGGGAGCATCTTTTCCACCAGCTGTGAACCGAAAGGCGTTGTTCTGATCGCTATCGCGTACAAACCAGGAACCCATATCTTCAGTAGCATGCTGAGTGAAAAGGGGCTGCGGAGGTTTTGGCGGGGAAGTCCCATTGGGCTGGCCAGCTGGATAGAACCTTTGGAAAGCAAGTTAGATCTGGGAAGGGCGGGTTCAAGGTAATAAAAGATATGAGTGATTGGACAATAGCAAAACATACCCTGAACTCGATTTTGCTTTTGCTTGTGACTCGTCATTGTGACCTGCAATATCAAGTATGTTAGGTATCCAGGGCGATGATAGAACTAGGCCACCTCGAATAGAACATTGATAAACCCACCATTAGCTTTATCAAAGCGGCTTGACGTTCTGCCATCTTTTGTCGGTTTCCTGCCACGACTTTCTTCCCCCGAGCTTGCCGTTTGTGCCTGTCCTTCAAAGATCTTCGTCCGTTCTCCATGGGTGCGTTGGTAAGGCTGGCTCGTACGACCCTTTAGTATTGACTCGATGTGTTCCGAGTCGGTATCAGATCCGCCCGACATCGACGGTCTGGGTATTTCTGTCCTTGGAGTCGAGGCATAGCTATTGCTCTTGGCGCGAGGCTCGTCTCCTATAGTTGAGCTATTTGGCCGATATCCGTTCTTGGGGGGGCTTTCCTCCGAGCTCATCTGCTCCCTATAATTTGCGAACGAGCCTGGTCGTTGGGCTGCTGCCTTCCTTGGGGTTCTGCTAGTCGGGTGAGGGCGCGGTTGAGCTTCGGGGGCGGGCTTCTGAGTTCGGGACCCCGTAGTCCCTCCCCATTTTCCTGTATTGCCCCGTCTTTAGTCGTATAGTTAGTGACTGTTGAGTGAAGTCTGAGTGAATCGAAGTCGACAAGCTACTTACCCCATCTCGGCCCACCCAGAATAAACTCCCGGCGGCGGCTGCCTTTGAGAGGTATTGGGTTTGGGCGCACGCTGGCCATGGGCAAAGTACTTCTCCGGCCCAAACTGCTGGCTCGCGGTCGGGGTACGCCTCCGATTCCTTCCTTGTTCTTCATTGTCTCTTTTTCGAGCCTCCTCTCGTTTCCTAGCCTCTTCCCGCACTATGCCCTCCGTTCTTAATCGATTGTACTTGGCTCGCTTGGTGTCATCTCTGAGGGTCTCGTATGCCTGTTGGATGTCTTGGAAGTTCTCGGTCGCTGAGTGATTCGACCTGTCGCGATCGGGATGAGCTTTTCGGGCTAGAGTAAAACGTTTAGTCTCGTGCTATATCCAAACAGTCCATGGGCCTTTGGAATAAAGAAGACATACCGCATTTAAGGTAGGCCTGCCTGACCTCCGACTCTGTGATGCCAGACGGGCCACTCAAACCAAGGAGTTTATAGAAATCCCTCTCTGGCTCGTAAGCTAGCGCCATGGTTCCTTGAAGCGTTGTTCGAGGGCGCCGTGGTGAGATTCATCCAGTATGTGATATGCGTGGTCGTCACTCGTTACAGTAAGGCGAGGCGGACACTAGGTGCCCAACTGGGCAGCCAGGGTGCAGAAATGCCGAAGGGGGGGTTCTGGACGAAGAAAGTGAAGACTATAAGAAGGACCGAGGCATTAATCGTCGGGGCGAGGGACGTCGACTCCACAGACGCGACGGGACTGCCGTTGCCGCAGCACAGCTATTACGTATATGGTCGGAGGCTTCGTTCTCTTTGTTGTCTGGCGGCCACCAAATGGGCCGACGGGAGTATGCGCGGGACAACCTGGTTATCCGCTTCTCGGCCAAACTCGCGAAAAATATCGTTGCTGGAAGCGCCTTGGAAGAAGAACACTTCTCACAAACTCCTCGAAGGGTTGAGCGAAAGTCGTAGGTGGGGGGTTATATACGGCAAAGCGTTGGAACAGAGCACAGCAAGGCTCAAGGCTGGCTGGTATTCTATTTAATGGTGAGGAATGGATAATCGCAGCACAATATAACTTTCGAGGCAAGCTCAACCAACCAACAAAGAAAGGTTGTGCTAAGTTTGTGAAGTTGTTTTTTTTTTCTCACAGAAAATAACAGGAGAAAAGATTTGGATCAAGGAAGAATCTCGTACGAGGCAAGAGATATATGCAGGTCAGCCCATCAGCTGGATTATCTCTGGATGTGGTTGGTGAACTTGTGTGACCACTCCGATGTCGAGAAAATAAATCGCGGCTCGAGAAGTGAGGAATCAACTGTTGTGGATTTGGGCGTTGTCCAGAGTGATGGGCCATTAAAATGTAAACTTACAATTGCGGGCTCTTGGATTCTTAGTGGGGTCCCAAGCTGGGATGCACAATGGGCTGCCTGGCGAGAATCTCGCAAAGTGGACGAGGCAAGATCGACCAGGTGGATGGTTGCCGGTTGGCACCTGGCAGAGAGCGACAGGTGAATTCCTTGTCGACATGGTCGCCATTCCCGAACCTTCGATCAATGTGGGCAGGCCGATGGAGATATCTACGAAGCAGACTTCGGCACAGCTCAGTGCATACTTCAATGTAAGCAACTGCACGGATTGGACAACGCAGCCGCAGAAAATAGGAGAGAAAAGAGCTCAAGCTCTTCCTTGGAGGACACTTTAGCCAAGCCCGTCCCTCTTCAATGCGCATCAAGAGAGTGGACGAGATTCTCTAGCATAGAGCCAATGCACTTATATCATACACATGACATCCTATTTTCCTATTGAAAGCAACAAAAAAGAACAACCTCCATCTATGTATCACATTTCTCCCGCTAGCATGTACACTCTGAAAAACCATCCAACGCCGATTTGCGGCCCCAGAAAAAGATCCATTCAAGAACCCGCATCTCCGGCCGCCGCCTTCTCGGCAGCGATCTTGGCCTCCATCTTCCGTCTCGCCGCCAGAATCATCTCATCCCTTCGTTTCTTGAGCAGCGCTTGCCTCTCGTCCTTGTTTGAGCTCCAGCCTTCTTTCTTCTTCTCCTCCGATGGCGTGCCCTCCTCGCTCTCGCTCGACAATTTGTTCTGTAGGTTGTACCGCGTGATCAGGTCGGGCTGCTTGGGTCGTCCGGCCTGCTTAGCCTGCTGTGCGCTTGTGTTTGCTGAAGGATTCGATCCGGGAGGTGGCTGCGGTTGGAAAGTGATAGGGGGCTGTAAAGAGACAGACAAGAGATCAGCGAGCGAGCTTCTTCCCCCCTTCATGGGTAAGATAAGACTAGACAACGGCGCTCGGTAAAATGCCGTAGAGGTAAAAAGTAAAACGATGGGCATCTCTTACCGTTTCCATCCTGCCCGCCAGGATTCGTTCGGTAGTCGCTTGTATACTCCCTCCATTCCTCTGCAGATCCCACAATATCGTCCTCCGATCCACCTGGGGGAACATCTGTTGTATCCGCTGCGCCGCTACCTCCCTCAACCTCGCCGCGTTCGCATCACGCCCCGAATTGTTCCTCGAGTTCCGCGCCCGCGGTCCCGACGTCGAAGAGGAGAAAAAGAGGTAGCGGGTGACGACGCCGATGGTCAAGAGGAGGATGATGAGGAATGGCAAGGAGACTTGTTGGTCTGACATGGTTGCTGTTGCGGAATAGGAGGATCGGAATCAAAAGGCGGGCAAAATCGTGAAATGTCGACTCAAATCGGTGGCGGTGAAGAATGGATATGGGACTTATTCGTCGGCTCGAGTAGACCGCGCAGACCGCTCTTGGGATGGTAGGTGAGAGGATGGGGACTGAACAGGCAAGGTAAGTCCCCGCAATTCGGAACCGAGGGAATGGAGAGCCTTTGATGTAATCGTGTCGGCAAACTCGGATTCGAAGGATAAAGGAAGGTGCCAATGTCTCGAGAAAGCGTAGGTCGGAGGATGAAAAGAACAAGAAATAAAATAGCGCTATTGGGGAGGAGTCGGTTCCCTCGAGATCGAGGTCGAGGTCGAGGTTTAGATTAGGATTAGGTGACGGTGTGATGGGTCCCCCCGAAGATTGATTGATGGAGGTATCTAAATCTAAATGGGGGAGATTTGCAGGTGCTTGGAGTACTTGTAATCTACATTGTGGTGTACCTTACACGTCAACTCCGAGCCACTTTTTGCCTCTCAGCCTTGCCCGAAAGTGCTAAGAGCGGTGCCAGAGGGATGCCAGAGGGTGCCAAGCTGACCAAGCTCACAGGTGAAACTACTCGTAAGAACGCGAAGTCGCATGTCTAATTACTTCATCTAGCAAGTACATACATATTTGATGGCGTGCGAAATTCACACCCACCACTGGCACCATTTCCATTTTTGACGCATGGTACTTAGGTACATCTCTGGCGAGATTCTGAGGGTTTGACACGACATTCCTCGTCCAGCCTCGCTCGAATTGCGATGCGCCTGTATTTTTACTTTCATATACGTAGAAGCGTGAACGTTACAATAGAAGCCAGACCCGCATAATCTCTATCCAGAGGCCGCCGGATCCTAGGATTCTACGGTCATGTTCGCAGAATATTTTAGCACTGGCGGTCACAGATAGCCACAGACTCCCAAAAAGGAAGACGTTCAAAAGTAGAGCAGCGGTGCAACGTGCACCGCACGACATGTTTAAACTAGTATGGTCGTCTAGTAAGAGGCAATGCCTTATTGACCGCCACGACCGACATACCGTCCACCATCCCCTCATAAAACCTGGTAGATGCCCAGCTGGTCCTCCGCAGGCTCCCATTCTCCATGGGGATGCGTGTACTGAGGGTAGGAAAACAACAGGAAAGCAGAAATTCACATCGGTGAAGTGGGTCTGGACCTCCATGACCATTGACTTGGTAGAGAAGCCCGGGTTCGGGGGGCCCGAGCTAGCACACCATGGCCCATGAATACTGGAGCTCGTCGGTCGGCTGCCTCTATTGAGCGCCGCCGCCAAGTGTTGTGTCCAGGTCGCCGTAGTGGAGAGTGAATTCCCTCTGTGGGCGGGCACGGTTAGTCTCGTGACCACTTTCCTTTCTGAGGAATGACGTCTCGCCGTGTCGGGAACCTACCCTATCTCGCTGGAACCGTGCGGGATCCCAGATGATATAGAACCCCCTCTCGGCGGTCGGGCTTACTTGTTGCGGCACCATGTGCTCGTCTTTCGTCAACCAAATTTGAAGTTTCTTATGCCACCTCCAGCTTCGTTGATGACTATTGGAACATGGGTGTTAGCTAGATCAGATATCACGATGTTTTAGACCTTGCAAAGCGAGATCCTTACAGTTCTTGAGCAGCAAGGTGTTGCGTGACGTCGCCTGCATTCGCGTAGAAAATGAAGAATAAAGTGTCCTCGTTGAAACTAGAGATCTTAGTCTCGATAGGCTGCACATTATTCACACTATAACAGTCAGGCAGCCTGAAGTGAGGAATCGCCGGCCGCGGTGGTTGATCGTCAAATAACGAGTAAATTTGGGTGGAGATGAGTCTGTCACAGAACATGTTAGAAATGTCGACGTTATGTTGGAATGACCACATATTGTGAACTGAGATCCCAGGGATCTGGGGAGACTTACTCAGACGATGCCAGGTCAAGGCCTAGGGAGTTGGGATCGACTCCTAGTACCATAGCGTTATAATCGGGGTAATTATTCATGAGTGTGCGAAGACCCTTGAGACCCCACTTGTCCTCCGGCGCCATGCCCGCAAGAGGGTCTTGGACTTCAGGAACGGAAGGCTCTTCGACTTCCTTGGCTTTCGAGGGGGGAGGAGCATTACCGATAGCTCCAAGACGATTCCGCGTCTCTGCCGCCTTCGGTGATCCCTCACTCGCAGCCAAACTTCCTTCTCTGAATGATCCCGCCTTCTGGCGTGCATCGCTTCCAGATGCGCCCTCTCTGCTATCTTGAGACCTTGATCCACCTTTGACCAAGTTAGCATGGAGTTGGGAAATGTCTGTACGAAGCTACCGGAACTTACTCGATGCATTCCGTCCATCAGAACCCCCACGGTTGGCCGAAAGAGCACTTAACAGACCGTTCTCGGCCCTAGCGCTCTGCCCTGAAGCTGCCGAGGAGTTGTTTTGAGAACCGAAGCCTAACGCAGACATAAGAGATGCACCCCTCTCTTGGCTTGGGTCGCCGCCGATTCGATTTAAAGGTGGAAAATCATCCACACTGCTTGGTTGAACTTGGGATGATGTAGAGGCATTGATGGTGGACTGGTTCCCAAACCGGAAGACATTCTGATTTGCCGGCAACCGCCCTGACGCCCCGGGAAACATATCCTCCTGTTGCGTTTGTTGCGGTAAAGGTGCTGACCCTTGCCGTGGTACCTGTCCAGTCACGCCCCGGGCACCGCCGATACCAGCACCTGCCGACCACATTCCCCCTTGACTGGAGGCGGGTACTTGCGCCGAGTTCGATAGGGAAGGAAATTCACTAATATTGCGTTAGCAGACCCAGAATCACTGATGTAAGATGTAAAAACAACAAGGGATAGAAGCAAGCTTGGAGCCGGACTAACAACCGCATTGGGCGTGTTTTTGTCTCGACTAGGGTAGTGAAATTGATGAGTTGCAGAACAGGACACAAAAGCAGACATTACCCCTTGACAATTGCAGCGTACTTAACGCCGTTCTTCCTTAGGGCTTCAGCCGACTCAGCAGTTTCCATTGTTTCCATCGGCGCTCGCTTGACTACAAGCCGGACGCGCGTGGGACCGATGCCCTGTACAGAAGATGGCGGATGGCTCATCTCCTCTCAGTCATGAGGGCAAGATACTGATTCGAAGACGGCAGCTAGGATAACCAGCCGCCACGAAGCGTAGGGATGCTCGAAGGTCGTCTCGCAAGAACAGATACGGAAAAAGAAACAGTGGAAAGGTAGAGAAGGAGGGCGGGTTATGGTGGGTTATGGTGGTATGTGTCGCATGCGGACGAGAGGGGGAAGGGGAGAAGTGAGCGTACAGAAGAGAGTATTGCTCAATGTGTGTATGTGTGTGTTGGAGGGGGGACGGAGAAAAGACTCCCATCATTAGTTTGTAACAGGGAAGGAAGAAGGGGAGGGGGCGGGGGAGATGCGTTCTTGCAGGCATTGATTCACAATGACGGAACAAAATAGAGAAAAGGAAAAGGAAACCTACGCTAAGTCGAGCGGAGCCGCAGGCACTTGTGAGGCGAGTAGGCTCTGTGCGAAGCTCAAGTTTCCAGCTCCCGCTTGACGGTGAGCATTTTGAAGCCCGGCGCCGCCCATAGAAATACCGCCACCAAACGCTGACCATCCAGAGCCGTTATTTCCTAGAATCGATGCGTGAATATCAACCACGTGCTCAGGCCGTCGTCCCAACTCGTCGCACAGGTTCCCTACCTAGTTTTCCGCCATTCGGTATCCGGTTCGATACGGTTCGTCCCGGTTGTTGAGGTTGTTGCTGGGCCCCAAACCCAGTAGGTATCCCGCGCATTGTTTGAGGTACCGCTCCTGATAGAGGCGTCGTTAGCTTCTAAACGTTCCCGGATATGAGCGTATAAAAGGGCGCAAATTTTGAATCTGGAAACTTGAAATATCGTAGGGAATAGATAGGAATAGTTGTGCGGCAGGCCCAGACGATAGCAACGCAGCGGAACGGACACCGTTACTGCAGTAGTTCAGATGCTCAACTGATAGGAGAGATCTTCGGGCACAAGTGTGCTTGGAAGAAACCAGATCGCCTGAGAATGGCAACTACCCCAAACATAAGAATGATAGAGGAGTTTCATTGCAAGAAAGGCTACGGTGTATTGTATTGGGTCCCAAACAGCTGGATCTGACGCAGTGGCGGGTGTCGCAGGTCGGTATCGCAGGCATTTCGAGAGCCATCGTCGTCGCAAGGGCGATAACATGAGTAACAGCACCGCGCTATCGAGAATGATGCGAATATTTTGTTTTCGACCGGGCTTTTGAAGGGGCAAACGGGATTGTCGGGGCGCGGAGGGCATGAACAGAAGCAAGCTTGGCAAGCGTATCGGGTCCTACCTTGTCGATTCATCATTGATTTTGATTTCGGCAAATGCCGGATCTCGAGAATAGGCGCGTACGATGCTGTCGCGGTATGTGTAAGGCGGGAGGTAGATTTCTGTCGGGGAGATTGAAGCTTTCCAGACGTGGGTGTTTGCGATGCTGAAGTATGTGATCTTCTTGGATGTCGTCAAGAGAAGGCTTTGGATACGAACGTTCGTTCAGGGCCTCGTCAGTTCTGCAAGGCAATGCCAGGTGGCAAAAATTAACTCTTGGTGTCGACAGGTGTTGACAGCTGGTATTTGTAGGCCGTGCGTCGTACTTATTACTTATTATGGCATGACAATAATCCTTCACTTTTAAGCGCCCTCATCGATCCCATCCATATAATCTTGACCAGTTGGCTTGTTTCATGAGCCTGAGAATGCAAGGGTGATGAGCGGTAAGGGACTCTCTCCCTTTTCTTTTCTAAAATTGACATACGGACGAAAATTCCGGGATAGTCAAATGAGGAAGTACATCAGCATGGCGAAGCACAGCGTCCACCAAATGACTCGACAACTAGCTGGACTCTTTTGATTCATTTAATGACGGCTTAGGCACCTGTTGAGTTCAGCGAGGAATGCTCAAGATTCTTTTTCTCTATTCCCGTTTAACCCTTGCTTTTAGTCTATCGCATTGCGGAAGCTTCTCTCGAATTTCTCCGGCACCAGGTGGCGACCAATCACAACAATCTTGCCTTCTTGTGGGACTTGATCTTCGCCGTTCCTTTCTTGATCTAGAATCTCGAATATCTCTCTCACGCCCTGGATCATCTTGACAGCGCCGTTTTTGAGGACCAGCCGACCTTTTAATCGATGGGTCTCGAATGGTGCCGCTGATGGGAAGCCAGGAAGCTCAGAATCCCAAAGCACCGACCTCAACCAAACATCCACCTTGTCCAATTGCTCTGACGAGAGTACGGGGACCAGAATGGTAAGCGTCGAGATAGTCTGTGAATAACTACGTCAGTATAAGGCAATCACTTGTTGCAAGGGCCGAATAAGCGCGTACCGGGTCTAGATGGCTGTGGCCTTTAGCACGGAGATCTTGATCTGAAACACGGTCGTAAGAGTGCAAATCTAATAGGAACCCTTCAAGTTGAGGAACGGCCCCTCTTTCGGTAATGTGAAGCTTGGCGAGACCGTTGATAGATTGGATGCGCTCCTTCACGCGTTCAAGCTCTTCCTCGCTTACCAAGTCGGCCTTGTTGATGACGATGACGTCGGCATGGGATAGCTGGACATGTGCCGTCGTCATTAATGGCCCATGAGTATCTTCGTGGGCCTCATTTTGTACCTCGCCGTGAGGATCTTCCAAGCTGCGAATAATGTTTTTGGCGTCAACCAGAGTCACTATGCCGTCAAGATAGATGGTGCTTCCTAGGCCATCATCAACCCAAAATAGTGGCGCCAAGTTACCCGGATCGGCCAATCCGGTGGTCTCCAATAAGATGTAGTCAAAGGCGCCTTTCTTCTCCATCAAGGACTCGATGGCGTTGACACCGGAATCTCTGTTTCTCGTCAGTCTCGGCCGTTGAAGAATGTTTAGCATTTGGGGATCTTACTTAACAGAGCAGCAAATGCAGCCGTTGCCGACCTCCAGCCATTCTTCGACCTGCTCGCCCCCCTTGTTGACAGTAAGGGACTTTTCAATATCCATGGCTGTACAAGAGTTAGCTCATGTGCTCGACTGTGTAACATGGATCTGGTAACCTACAATCACCAAATTCTATTGAATGCAGTCCGGTAATTAGCATAGGGGGTCCGCCGCCTTATCTTAAAAGGCCTATGTTGCTTCTTGAATTTTTTTCCCTCACCGTTCATGATAACTGCAATCTTCTTGCCATGCTGCGCTGTCAGGATATAATTAAGCAGAGTCGTCTTCCCGGCGCCCAGATATCCTTTCATTTTGTTAGAGAAATACCGCCCTCAATATAAATCTAACAAAAATATTCAGTAGTACCTGTTACTATAGTAATGGGGACCTTGAAGGGCACCTCTTCTTCCCCTTCCTCTTGTTGTTGCTCTAGCTCGTGGTCTCCAGCAACGTCGACGAGGTCTGGTGGCGCATCATCTTCATAGTCCATGATTGGAAATGTAGCTGAAGCTTGACAACGATCGAATTTGCAGCTTTTATACTAAAGCCGGTATCAATCTCGAAGATTTCAGTCTTTGCAATATGAAGAGCTCCTCTTCAACGGAAGACTGGTTTATATGGCTACTGGAACTGTTTCTTTGGTGGCGATGTCACTCGGAAACATTCAAGTACAACAACCCCACCACCAGATGTGGGATGGCGGAGGTCGTCAGAGGTACAATTGTAGCTTTTTTCTTCTCCATATTCGCGGGGCACCTTTTGGAATCTAACCGGAATTTTCCCGACCTCACAATCTCCCGTTCATTCTTGTTCTGTGTCCTAACAATAACCAGTCTTGCGCCGTCTGAAGCCGAGACAGCAAGACCAGGTGCTGACAATCCACCCCCTCTCGTTTGAAGGACAAGGCATAGCGATATATTGTATGAACTTGAGAAGCGTTCTGACGCCTTTTATGCGAAGTTCCTCAAATAGCTATTCCCTGGGCTTATGCTAGTTTGAATTACTTCGTAGTTTGAATCTCTCCCAAGTGGATAAACATTTATGAACCCCGTTGCCATTGTGCTTGGCGAGATGTAAGGCGGACGGATGCTCAGAGGCTCGAAGCTGTTTCCTGTGGGCCCGATGAACTCGTGCCCAACGCCAGCCAGACAAGCTGCTAGGCGAGAGTCTGGATGATCCCGATACCGCGAGAACTTTTCGGGTTGCTAATATTTACAGGACTCTGATATCTCCCTTTTGCCGTCACAAAACTCTCCCATTTGATATTATTCAAGGTAGGGGAGATACCTCAGCTTAGATGCATGCGACGTCGACGCTGACTAAGCTAAGCAGTCTCCCACGCCAATTCGTGCAGTTGCCCATGGTTCCTGGCGCTAAATTCAACGCGGCTTTCATCTCGCCTCGCCTTCCCTGGCAACATCTTGCATTGCTCCCAACTTCCAGCCCAGCTTTCCGTTGCATTTTCCTTTCGCCTCATCATCATCACGATACCCAGCTATCAGCACTTCCGAATTGGATAACCCGTGACACTCTTTCAGTCATAAACTCTTTTCAACACCTTGAGACTCTTCGTTTACCATGTCGATGCCGCCCAGTTCACCGCGGCTCCCCAGCCCGCCTCCCACGGCGGAAATACAAATCGGGCCAGCCTCCCCCTCTGGCAATGGGGCCGCAAACCGCCAAGCATCGCAGATCGAGCAGGCGATACTCGAAACGAGCTCCAAGCGAAGGATTCATCGCGGCACCAAAGCTGCGGACATGGCAGCTGGCCCCCCGTTGATGCCCTTGAGCGAGGTGAGCTCTCTATTCAATTCTCTAAGCGATTTTGTTCTGGCTTCTTCTTACGGATCCTAAACTCACACTCCTCTACACAGCTCGACTCTGCCTTCCAACTGCAAGAACACCTCGCCGCGTTGCACTACCACCACAGCAAAGGTCGCACCCAACCCATCACTCGATCGACGGCTGTCCAGCTCGCGACCCCACCTCCCTCTACAGATCGTACCCTCTGGCTCTACGAGCTCTGCCGGTTCTTAATCTCGCAATGCAACAGCCTAATTATTGGATTCCTCTTCGATACCCCACCATGTAGCGCCTCGACGTGTCCCGAGATGAGAGCCTCAGAGTGGCAATTCCTCTGCGCCGTCCACGAGCAACCCAAGAGTTGCTGCGCTATCGATTACTGCTGCCACACGCTCGATTGGGCCGCCAATGTTGTGACCGACCAAAAGATCTTCCCGAGCCGCTTCGTCGCACTGTCCGATACCCATAACAAGAATATCGCCATGAAGAACCTCGTCAATGTTTTCCGCCGACTACACCGCATTTTTGCCCACGCCTGGTTCCAGCATCGCAGTGTTTTCTGGTCTGTCGAGAGGGAAACCGGCCTATACGTCTTCTTTAAGACAGTATGCGACATGTACGACCTCCTCCCTGGCGAGACCTACAAACTTCCCCCCGAAGCTGAGGGACTGGACCCAGAAAAGGCCTCGCAATTGAGTGCAGTTAGCGATAAGCAGGCGCAGGCAACACCTGTGAGTGGATTACCAACCGGAGGGGTCTTCCCCGGGGGCCAAGCTTTCCTGAAAGCAGAAGACGCGCCACGCGCTGAGGACGACCACGGCGTTGGAAGGACGAATACCAGGCGCCATATCCGTAGCAGCCCGTCAACTGGCAGCGCCGTTACTACCGTCATTGAGGCGGATGAAGACGAGGGGGCCGAACTTGCGGCAAGAGCCAGAGCGTTGCACATTGCCTCGGCGGCATCCGCGGAGCCGGTATTAGAGGAGGAGGCCGAGCCTGAGGCCGAGGAAGTTCCGGTTATTGTGGAGGATTCTGTGATGCAGGAGTCGGGGGAGTCTGTGGATTCGTCATCCGTGGAGGCCGAGACCCCTACGGTTGCCACTGCTGAATCTACTGTAGCTCCGGTGAAGAGCGATGAAGACAAGGAAGAGGCTGCTCCCCTTGGGGATATTGAACCTGAAGCACCGAGTGAGGAGGAGACATCTGCGCCGGCGGCATCTCAGGAACAACGTCAGTCGACTGAAGTAGACGAGGAAGCGCCATCCGCCGTGACAGACGGAAAGGAAACCTCAGAATCGAAGGAGATTCCTTCTACCGATACTGCGGAGGACGGGGAGCCTTCTGCGGACGCGACTACACTAGTAGAAGAAGCCCCTTCCGAGCCGGTTGAGGAGAAGAGCATTCCTGCTCCGTCAGAGCCTGATGCGCCAGCATCCACCGAGGAACCTAGCGCTGCTGGTGAGCTGAAAGACACAATTGAAAAGCCTACTGAAGAAAAGGAAAACACTCCCGACGACATTGATACCAATCCCACCGAGGAAAAGAAGGAGTAAACGACCACCTATACAATGCGCAGAGACTAGCGTTAAAATCACCGCTTTACTTAAGGACACCGACACCATCTTCCATGCAACTCTGCGATAACCTTTTCCCCCCTTCCCTTCGCGCCCACATTCCCCAATCAGACGATGCGTGATGAAGCGGATAATAGAGACAACGCCTTGACTCGCAGCGCCGTGACCATAGTCCGTGTCTGCCTCGCGTGGCTGCCACGACATTCTGTGGGCGCAACACCGCGCCGAGCAGGCAGCAGGAGAGGTGAAGCTTGAGCCGTATCGATCGCGTGACGCTATAAGAGTATTCCACTTGCACGGAGGGGATAGGGAGAAAAGGTTTGCAGTTTGCATAAAAAAAGGGAATGGGTTTCGGGGGTCCTGTGTCGTGGGAGGATACTGGAAGGAAAGAAGGAAAATTAAGCTGTAGATTGAGTGTAAACCCATTGTAATAATAATCAATTGATAAGTCCCACAGGTTGTCCTCTAGATTGCCGTGCGTTCTGCATAAAGCGCTTCAGCATTATGATTACTGGGTTCGAACGAGAATGTTGGAATCCAAAGTCATCAACCCAGGTACACGCCTTGTGTTCAAGCGCAAGGCAGCCTATATCATCAATTCAATATCGCCTACCCAACTCGCCTCCGTATACACCTATGCAATAAATACAGTCGACCCCCTTAGGTCACCCTCACCCTTTACCTCCCCATCCCGGGGAGTCTCGGCGGTCCACCACCAGAACCGCCAGCAGCAGCAGCAGCTGCTGCTGCTTCATCGCCTCCGGTATCATCCGACAGCTGCATCTTGGCAAAGACATGTCGTACCTCCCTTAGATTCTCCACCTGCGCCGAAACGGCAACGGCGTTGCGCTCGTCGGCAAATGTCCGGATGCTTTGCAGTATCGGCGTGAAACCTTCGTCGTTTGGTAGCCACCACCGAACGCAGGATGGCTCGCGGAAAAGCTCGCTCATCTTGCTACGCAGGGTTAGAGGATGAATGTACCTGTTGGTTTAAGCCAGCAACGTTAGCATCAAGTCCTCGGGAGTGGGGGGGAACTACGTAATGAGAGCATCCTTTGAGACAGAGAATGCATAATATCCTCCTACCCTAATATTTCCATAAGAGCGAACTTGCGGCGGATCCAGTTATGATGCCTCCTATCTTGCGGTAAGAAAAGGGCCGATATGGCGATGCAGGCCTCGATCATAATCAAAACACCCTTTGGACTCTTCGGCCAGCGCTCGATCGCCTCAAAGATCTGGCAAATGGCATAGGAATGTTCTCGGAGTTCCGCGTATAGCTGCTCTCTTTGCGTTGTCGGGGACTGGCACTTGTGCATAACGCTGATGGAGTGCCACTCCGATGTAAGCAGAGTCGTGGACACGAGAGGCTGCTCGTACAGAGTCCCAGGCACGTAAGGGTTGACTATGTCGCGTTCCGGATCCAATGGATACTGGTTAGGGAACGATTTCACGGAGAACGCTGGATTCGTGAGCGCAGGGTCAATGTTCGCCTTCCAGTCTTCCAAGACTCTCGATATACGATCGTGCTCGGCCCTGAACCCTTCAGGGGATATCTCGCCTCGATATCCCTTCGCGTAAAGCATAGACATCTCCATCGAGACAAGTCGCAAGAACGCGGTGCCCTCCTCCAGCCTCCACTCAACCTCCTGGGGGTGTGTAGCAATCCTCTCTCGGCAGAAATCGACAAAGGCCGTGAACCACTCTCGTGGAAGCGCCGTTTTGAACCCTCCCATCACTGCGACGAAGACGTCGAAGCGTTGATACCAAGCTAGGACCATTCGGCTAACTGGAGAAAGCATGACTGTTTCGGGGGTAAATAGATTCATGAGGATCTGTAGAGCGGCTTTCTGATGGCCCATAATGTTAATCCAATCTCCGAGATATTCCTGCCAGAGTAAGTAAGTATAGATTCGCGACACGGATGCGATGAAATGAAAACGCGTATGGCGCTACGTTGGGTTGGGTGGGGGGGGGGAGAACAAAGCCAGGACTAACTTCTATCGTAGCTAACTGCAGTACTGTCACGATTGTTGCCACTGTTTGCGGCTCCTTCCTCTGCAGAGAATTCAGAAGCAGCGTGACACTCTTATTATAATACTTCAAGAAGTCTTCGACCTTGGCATCGGGTTTTTTGAGTGTTTCATGGTAGGCGGAGAACCCCACAACCGCGTTGAGGAGAGCCTCATTCTGGAGGGCGACGTTGACTAGCAAAGATGGGAAGAATCCGTCCGGGTCGTTTGGAAGGCAGTAGTGGTAATGTGTAATATTTTCGCAAAAGCTATTCAAGTAATATTGGAAGTCGGCCGGCAGGTGAGACCAACTCGCGAGTGTATTGGTGACGTGTAGAGCTGGATCGGACTGGTAGGCGTTCAACGTCACGGTGCTCGACGTCGCTGGTGAACCTGATGGTGAGCTCTTGCTGCCTTCTAGAGAAGGGGTCTCGGAGCTGTGTCGCGTGCTGGATTTTGTAAGGTTGGGTGACCCTGCTCCGCTAGGTCCTTGGGATGAAGTGTATCTCCAGTTTGGTTGTTCCGAATCCTCCGCCTCCTCCTCCTCCTCCTCGTCGGGAATCGGCTCTAGTTTGACATTTACTTCCGTGTCTGCTTCGTCGCCGCCTATCGAGGATTCAGGGCTGGTCACTTGCTGAGACGGCGCGGGTGGCGGGCTCTCTTTCGCTGAAGCTTGCGATCCGGGCGCTTTAGACGAAGGGTGATCGGGGTAAATACATTCTCGGTTTCCTTTCTTGCATCCTGTATCTCGTCAGTGACCTCCAATATATGCGCGCAAACATATGTGGCAAGTGGAAAACTAAATCTCACGTTCGCAGATCGGCCGCGTTTCGTCGCACTACAAGAACTCAATCGTTAGGTGGATGGAAAAGTCAATGCTGGGCATCCCGAAGTTATTTCTTACCTTCACACGCCGACTCCTACACATGAAACAACCGGACCTCGTTCGCCGGTGCTTCACGGTGTCTAGTCCGCTTGTAGATTTCCTCCTGCTCCGCTGCGTTTTAGGAACGCTGAACATCAGCGGGTCGTGGAAAGCAGTGAAGTATCCGATTCCGGAGAAAGGTGCCGCCACAGGCGGTGACGGTAAAGGCACTACACCCGGCATATGGGCCTGGTGGACCTCCTGGGCCATGATGTTAGGATTGGGCTGGCCGCCCACCATGGAGGTCAGGAACTGGTGGTGATGGAAGTCTCCCATGGCGAACGTGGGTGTACCGCAGACCCCAATAGCCTCCCTCGTGGCAGCCGTACCCCTCGAACAACAATCTTCGCACCGCCAATTAGAGGTCGATTGACTGTTGGACAGAGCACTGAGTTGATCTCGTCGCGACCTTACATGCTCTGCGGGGAGATGGGCCAAGGATCGTACCCGCACAGATGGTCTCGGAAAACTAGGGGAGTTGTCCCTTTCAAAGATGAGGCGGCACAGATAACTTCAATGTCGGGTTCACAGATGAGGGCGTTATAGAGGGATGCAGGTTCGAAGTGGTGGCTTTGTCCAAAAGATTAAACAGGCGACAATCTTCGACGGTCTCCCTCCCTACATCGAGAGTGCGGCTTCCTCGGGCTTGCTAGTTGCAGTCGGCGCTAAATGAAAGTGTCGGGGAAGGCTGGTTTGCCGTGGGGGCGGACTGATCTAATGGCGGGAAGCTGGTGATTGGAGAATGGTGTAGCTGATGTTTCTGTTCAAGGCGGTGGACAACCTAACAGTCGCCCAGTGCGTTGGACCTAGTCGGAGACGACAGATGTCCCAGCTCGAGACTGGCGTGAGGTCCAAGATAAAGATAGCTTACAGGCGGTGCCTAGTGGCTCGTTGAAAGGATGGCTGGATTAAGCTAGGAGAGACATCTCATTAGCCTGCGGGGAGGTAGCGGACGATAAATAGTAGCATCGATAGAAAGAACCATGGGACATCCGCTGCCCCACTGCCAAACAGAAAACCCTTAGGAGGAAAGTACAATACTTGTTTATCGTCGACACCATGGAGCCGAAACCCCTGCTTGTTCGTGATGACCGGAGAGGATATCACGACCCTGTACGATCCAGTACGATTGGTTTGGTGTAGAGCGGCTCTCTTGGATGAAGGATGAAGGATGAAGATGGGACGCAGACACATACCTATGAAATGCGAGAGCTAGTTGTGGAGGCCACCTCCACCATCACTATCACACAAGCTCGAAAATAATGTGCGCAGATCAGTGCGGGTCAGGCGGGGGAGAAAGAGGGTAGTCTTCCAGATATCCGTCACGACGGGAGACTGATCAGGGCCCGATATATTGTGCGTAAGGGGTAACTACTTTATTGTCAATCACCGATTGAGGGAGATTTCTTGCAGGCGGGTTTAGCTTGCGGTCTAGTTATTGATGACAAGAACGGAATGGTGTGAACCCAAGTCTGGGGTTATAGGAGGCACGAGATATAGACCTCCAGTACATACCGGATATGTACGAAGTAGGGGAAGGAAGACTTACAGAGTCGCGGTTAGGAGGCAGAGCCCATACAAATGAGGCTGAACAACGGACCAATTTCACCGGTATCCTTAGTGAGGACTGGGATGGGAAGGTAATAACGAGACTATTGACTGGAATACCAAGAGTTGGACGGCGGTCGTGGTTTGGGAAGACCACGGCGGCAGGGAACTCGGGCGAGAAATCTACTGTGGTCTCGACCAGGCCACTCACTGTACTTCGAATGTAGTTGGGATCCAAGGGAGACGCCTCTGGTTGGACAAGAATGTATGGTCAGGCGTAAGACTTGGCCATCCATATAACAGCCGCACGAAGAGCCAGGGAGCAAGGAACTGGACTGTAGGGTCGTTGCATTATTACCAGGTCGTCCTTCGAGGGCGTGCAACTAGTGGGTGAATGGATATGGACGGACGGAAATCTCCCAGATCAACCACGAAGGAAAGAGGAAAGAGGCCTGGGAGGGATTGGAACTTACCCTGGGCGTAGCTTGGAATGGGAACGAAATACAACTAGATTCCTTGGACTGGATGATGACTGGTTATGTGGGACGCACCGTTCAATAAGCCGAGCGTATCATTCACTGGGAGGGGATAAACAAAACATGTTGGGGTTCGGCGCAGGGCTGGAGGAATGAGGAAGAGATGTGCAGGTTCCCGGGGGGGTGTGGAAGAGGCTGGAATAGAGCACGAGGTGTGATGAGGATCGGAGGGGGGAGGAGAGTTGCCTTGTAAGTAAGTACTCTGTACCGGGGTGCAGTTGCGGATGTTGTTCCGGGGTCCTGACCCTTGGCGGGAGGTTCCCAATGGTCGGGTCAAAGGCAGAATGGGTTGCTTGTTAGGGTGGATGGTCTTGGAGGAAGGCTCCGTACAAGTAGTACTTCTCAGTCTTAAACTGCCTCCAGTTTGTATCCGTGCAAGAGGGAAAGAGAACGCCTGAGTGTCTGGGAGTACTTCGTAGTGCTCCTCTCCTTGTTTGTCTGAATAAAGACTTGCGACGGATTACGAAGATGAGAAGAGCACACAGGTATTGAGATTGAGGGTATAATTGTATTGATGCGAAAACGAAGCCGCGGAAGCCATGAGGTAAAGTGTCAAAGTGGTAGTGTGAGCTGCATCGGTGTCTTGAAGGGAAAGACTTGATCAAGCTTGAGCAGATGTGGCACATACTAGCATGCTAGTACTTCGTACGGCCTCCTACTACATACTTCCTAGAGAACAGGACTCGGACGGTGGACTGACTCCGCACTTCAGTAGCGTTTCGGCCTACCTAAAGTAGGACAAGAAGCCGGGAGGGAAGCGGAGTTAACAACTTAGTAGAGGGCATGGGTGCTAGTTTGACACCCCTAGTTACCGTTTTCACGAATTAGCCAGATCAATCCACACTCTCCCATTTCCTCCAATATTACTTCGTACACTAGATCGCAGGTAGTCCCCCCTACGGCGTATTTCGTATACGTCGTTAATCCGGGCATCATCGCAACAATGAGAAAAACAAGCCCGTCAAGAGTACTTCGTGGTGAAGCCTCTGCGGGTGGACCAAGTCTGGTTCTGGTGGGGAAGGAAGGGTGGAGGGAGTCGAGGATCAGGGAATTGATGCCGACTAACAAGACTTAACGCTTCATCTCAAGCTCGCCGCCCGTACCTGCCGGCTCCCAGGTAGCTGCTTCGTAGCTGAGAACCACACTATCATCCGGTGTACACGTAGTATTTTCCACTGACACATTGTATAATTACATTCACGACTCTAATTAGGATGGTCGTGGGCTCCCTTGAATGGGCGGTTATTGGTGGTACATGCGACTTGAGCCAGGCCAAGATCAATATTAGTATTATTACTTCGTACTGACGGAGGAAAGAGCAGTGGGTTGCTAGGAAGTGGGAGAGTGGATTGATTGATACGATCAAAATGGCTGTCAGGTACGACGGGATGGGACGGTCATTGGCATGGATATAGGTACACAGATGTACACTACTAGTATCGTCCAAAGATCAGGCAAGTAAGCTAGGAGAGTTCAGTGGTCTTGACTCCCCACTAATGTTCAATTGATTGATCCTTTGATACAAGTAAGTGACTAGAGGCTTACACACGCCAGACTCCGGCTCGAGTACCTGGACATGAAGAGCCCGATAAGTAGTCAGGTCAGGGGAGACAGTAGTTCTTGGGTAGTGTACTCCGTACTTTCCACACTGGAGGATCGTTGCTGATCCGGGAATTGAGACTGTTTCGTAACTCACAAAGTTAAAAGCGCCAGGTACCATGAAGGATACCCACTTCGTTATGTAGCTTCCCGAGCAAAGTGCCTCGAATCAGGTGGACAATTGCGGAACAGGTACTTCTTCCGTCTGAACTATGGTGGTACAGCCAGACAGGTACAAAGATACAGGATCCAACAGCTGCTCTGGCTTAGCGGGCAAGGCAGGCAGGAAGGGGCGGAAGAACAAATGACGGATAAAAATTGATGATAGAGGAGGAGAGGAGGAGTGCACTCAAATGTGGAAGCCAAAATTGGTTCCACTCGCCGAGGCGTACGGAGTAGGCGCTGATTTCCACGTTCAGCTAAGGGTCATGGGGTAAGCATTGAACGCTTGCGCAGACTCTGGCGCCATCCACCCTTTACCAATATTGATTTTAAAAAGAGATTAGGGCTATTCATGTGCTAATTTATTTCACAGATTCCTGCGGCTTTTTACAAGTACACAGCATCAAGTTTGATTTGATATTGATAGTTTTAAGACCGGTGATGTATCTCCACCACGATATACGAAGTACACCAGCTCTTGGATCTGTGGATTCCACTGTCCTCATCCCACTTCTTCACCCAGAGATAGCTCATCGGAACCTAGGCGCTCTTCATCAAGAGCATTACCCCTGGCTCCACTCTGGTCTCCTTTGGCACCTGCCGGTCATGTCATTCTGGGAACTTTGCTTGTTCAAAGTACCCGGCAGTTCACGACATAGCCAGCAAGTTGATCAACTGTGACCACCAGAGTGCCTACTTCGTAGTGTAGATGTCTTTAGAGTGTACGAAGTAGTGAGAGGAATCCCAACTAAAGGCGTGGGTTACTTTAATGTTGATGCTAGTGTGCGTCCCTGCCAAACTTATCTCAGCTGGAGGTTGAGGGGCGGAGAACTTTCGAGAGGAAGTTTCAATGTGTGAAGTACGAAGTACATTAGAAGCCCCCCGAAAAAAAACACCACATCTTTGACAGAGAGCTCGAACGGAGATTGAGACCTTGGTGGTGGTGTTAGTCGTGTTCTCCGTCGATAATCGACTGCCCTCTAGAGAAACTCAACCTTCAATTGTAGGACTTCGTAATTAATATGTGAACTTACTTCGTACTTCGCAGCTTGATAGAACGACCCGGCGGAACCTGCTGGAGGAACTCTCACCTCAATCTCATCCCTGTTCCGCCATCAGATGAAAGCTCCGGTTCCGCCATCTAGCCGGATTAGGAAGAAGGAGGGGGTGGGGGGCACAGCGGGGGAGGCAGGGGGCAGGGACCCGTCAAGCATGGCCTGCAAAGGCAGGCATGTAGTACGATATTTCCATGTCGAGATTGCCTTTTCCTGTCTATTTACCTGGTTGATACTATTAGTAGAGTATAGTGTCGAATTTAAGTGTGGCAGTCTTTTCATCTCATTAGACAGGAAAATCGATTTGCGCAAATAGGTTGCCATCTTGGGCAAGATTGATATTTCATTTGAAGCCAAATACGGATCGGTCGATATG